ATTTATTGCCTTAATTCAGAGTAAATATTTTAAAATTTCATTGTTAATTGCTATGAACTATAATTGCCATAGTTTAACCTTTAAGAAGGGGATTTTTTTTTCATTAAGAATAGGCTATATTCCATTTCAATTTATAAAGATATATTAGATTTACAGCAATTTTCTTCTTGAAATGAAGTGATGTTGTTGATGTTTTATAAAAATGTACATTGTGGTATGGTCACATTGACTACGGTTCTATTTATGTATACATATTCTACAGGGACATGGGGATGTACCAGAAAAGAAAAGGAAGGTTATGTCTTCTAAAAAGTTAGGTTGTCCTGCTTGTATCAGGATAAGAAAGGTTCTCAAATTTCCAGAATATTCAGTAAGTTTTTATCTTATTTTTCTTCAAAATTAATCTTTCTGATATGTAAAGTATTTGTTTTACAGTTCAGTAAAGAGGTAATAATTATAGTTTGATTTTGTGAATTGATAGTATGTTTGCGACAAGTTTGACTGTTTAAATACTGTGTTAACTTATTTGTTAACTATGTTATGGTATATCAAGTGATTTGTAGAATGCAGTGATATCATATATGTAGCATGTTGACCTTTGATATAAAAATGAGGCTACACAGAGTACGATATGCATTTGATATAGATATTTTGGACTCTGAAAATGGAAAAGAGGCTCAATTGGTAAGATTGGATCAGATAATGATTACTTTTGGAACATCAAAAGGTTCAGATGCTGAAAGTTCATTTGTTATATTTTATAAAGAGTGAAATAAACTTAGATATCTTGACAAGCTAATCTAACTCCTTTTTTATTTTAGCTCGACTATTCGAAGAATATGGAGAGCTATTGTAGTCGCCCCCGCGTCTGCATTGGTTAAAGTATTTTGTCAAATATCTCAATTATTGCTTGAGATATTCAATTGAAACTTTGTAACAATGTACATCAGTTTGCAAAGTTGCATAACTCTGCCTTCATTATTTGCAGAATTATTTGCCCCTTTGAAACTTAGAAATTTTGGTTAAAGGTCTTCAAAGATATTTACTTTAAACTTTACACATGTACAGTATTGAAGGTCACATCTCAAGATTTATTACTGTGCCATGTATTTTGACAGAATTATGCTCCCTTTTGTACTAAAAAAAATCTCCTTTTCTTGGTTAAGTTTTAACAAGCAAGTTTTGCATATCTCTGAAACTATTAAAGATTCAAACTTGTAACTTCATATGTATACTTGTGGTCATAAATAATGATCACTGAACAGCACTCATATCTGTGTCATGTATTTAGCCTGGTTTATCTCCCCCTTTTTTACTTAGACTCTTGGTTAATTTTTACATGTAAGTTTTACATATCTCAATAACTATCAGAGATTTTGATTTGAAACTTCACATATGCATGAAGGGTCATAATTGTATGTCACTGACTTTATCTTGCATTTAGGCTGATTTATCTTCCCTTTTCTACTTAGTCTCTTGGTTAATGTTTTACATATCTCAGTAACTATTAAAGATATTTATTTAAAACTTCACATATGCATTTAGGGTCATAATTGTAGGTCACTGACGAAGATCAATAATTCTATCTTGCATTTAGGCTGATTTTTCTCCCCTTTTTCAACTTAGAAATTCATGGTAAAGTTTTGCTTGTAAGCTGTTATCTCTATAACTACTGAAGGGTTTGTGCCTTTTTATACCCCCGCACAACAAAGTTGTAAGGGGGGTATACTGGAATCAGCTTGTCCGGCCGTCCGTCCGTCGGTTTTTTCTTGTCCGCCCAATAACTTAAGATTCCTTTGACCCTTAGTCTTCATATTTGGCATGGAGGTTAGCCATGATTAGTAGATGACCCCTATTGATTTTGAGGTCACTAGGTCAAAGGTCAAGGTCACAGGGGCCTTGACTTCAAAAAGCTTGTCCGCCCAATAACTTAAGATTCCTTTGACCCTTAGTCTTCATATTTGGCATGGAGGTTAGTCATGATTAGTAAATGACCCCTATTGATTTTGAGGTCACTAGGTCAAAGGTCAAGGTCACAGGGGCCTTGACTTCAAAAAGCTTGTCCGCCCAATAACTTAAGATTCCTGTGACCCTTAGTCTTCATATTTGACATTGAGGTTAGTCATGATTAGTAGATGACCCCTATTGATTTTGAGGTCACCAGGTCAAAGGTCAAGGTCACAGGGGCCTTGACTTCAAAAAGCTTGTCCGCCCAATAACTTAAGATTCCTTTGACCCTTAGTCTTCATATTTGGCATGGAGGTTAGTCATGATTAGTAGATGACCCCTATTGATTTTGAGGTCACCAGGTCAAAGGTCAAGGTCACAGGGGCCTTGACTTCCAAAAGCTTGTCCGCCCAATAACTTAAGATTCCTTTGACCTACAGTCTTCATATTTGGCATGGAGGTTAGTCATGATTAGTGGATGACCCCTATTGATTTTTAGGTCACTGGGTCAAAGGTCAAGGTCACAGGGGCCTTGACTTCAAAAAGCTTGTCCGCCCAATAACTTAAGATTCCTTTGACCCTTAGTCTTCATATTTGGCATGGAGGTTAGTCATGATTAGTAGATGACCCCTTTTGATTTTGAGGTCACTGGATCAAAGGTCAAGGTCATAGGGACTTTGACTTCAAAAAGTTTGTCCACCCATTAACTTAAGATTCCTTTGACCCACAGTCTTCATATTTGGTATGGATGTTGATCATGACTATAAGGTGACCCCTTTTGATTTTGAGGTCACTGGGTCAAAGGTCAAGGTCACAGGGACCTTGACAAAAAAAAGCTTTTCTTCTCAATTGCTAAAGAATGTCCTGTCCGCAATGTATTGATTTTGACATTTTCACATTTGAAGCATGTAGAATACATAACTTAGCAATGCACTGGCTTAGTAACCTCAGATTTGGCAGGGAGGTTGTCCTTGAGCTCTTAATGGCCACTGTTGATTCTGACAAAGTGGTATGCGGGGGTATTCACGCCATGATAGTGGCAGTTCTAGTTCAGGACAGTTTTATGCATTCATAATAATAAAGTAGTTATGTACTTGATAAAACATCTGAATGACAAGCCTTTGTACCTTTTTGGTCAATTTTATGTATATATAGGTAAGCATTATTATACTCAATAAAATACCCTTGTGACAACTTTTTCGAATAGTCAAGCCTTACTGTCCTCCGACAGTCCTTCTATGATTTTCAAAAGCAAGTTTTATTTAGATAAACACCCCTTTAGTATAAATCTGATGGGATATTTTTATCAATGTGAATTAATTTTGCTTTACTTTGTCAGGTCTTTTAAGTTCATGTTTAAATTTAGCAACTTTGACTTTCAGCCTGAAAATGCAAGAAAATACACAAAGATGAAAATGGCTGAAAAGTTAAAAGAAAATTTCAGTGAAGAAACAAAGCGGTTTATTTTGGTTTATGTTCATATAGACAGTAACCATAATCATGAGCCATGCCCTGTAATACGTCCACCTAAACACAAGGCATTAAACCACAAGAAGAGTAAAGGATGTAACAGAATAGTTAATGTAAGTTATTATACCCCCAAAAACGGAGTTTGGGGGGGTATATAGGAGTCACCCGGTGGTCGGTCGGGCGGTTGGTCGGTCCAGACGTCCGTTGCATTTTCCTTGTCCGGACCATAACTTGAAGACTAATAGTTTGAATTCAATATAACTACATACAATGGTCAAGCACATTGAGAGGAAGTGCAGTGCACAAGAACCATAACTCTATCTTGACTAATTACAGAGTTATTGCCCTTTGTTACTTTTCCTTGTCCGGGGCATAACTTGAAAACTACTGTTTGGAATTCAAAACAACTTCATACAATTGTCAAACACAATAAGGGAAAGTGCAGTGCACAAGAACCATAACTCTATCTAGAGTAATTACAGAGTTATTGCCCTTTGTTACTTTTCCATTGCTTTTTTTTGTCCGGACCATAACTTGAAGACTAATAGTTTGAATTCAATATAACTACATACAATGGTCAAGCACATTGAGAGGAAGTGCAGTGCATAAGAACCATAACTCTATCTTGACTAATTACAGAGTTATTGCCCTTTGTTATTTTTTTTTGTCTGGAGCATAATTTGAAAACAACTTGTTGGAATTCAAAACAACTTCATACAATTGTCAAACACAATAAGGGGAAGTGCAGTGCACAAGAACCATAACTCTATCTAAAGTAATTACAGAGTTATTGCCCTTTGTTACTTTTCCATTGATTTTTTTTGTCCGGACCATAACTTGAAGACTAATGGTTGGAATTCAGTATAACTACATACAATGGTCAAGCACATTGAGAGGAAGTGCAGTGCATAAGAACCATAACTCTATCTTGACTAATTACAGAGTTATTGCCCTTTGTTACTTTTCCTTGTCCGGGGCATAACTTGAAAACTACTGGTTGGAATTCAAAACAACTTCATACAATTGTCAAACACAATAAGGGGAAGTGCAGTGCATAAGAACCATAACTCTATCTAAAGTAATTACAGAGTTATTGCCCTTTGTTACTTTTCCATTGCCTTTTTTGTCCCGACCATAACTTGAAGACTAATGGTTGGAATTCAATATTACTTCATACAATGGTCAAGCACATTGAGAGAAAGTGCAGTGCACAAGAACCATAACTCCATCGTGATTAATTACAGAGTTATTGCCCTTTGTTACTTTTCCTTGTTCAGAGCATAACTTGAAAACTACTGTTTGGAATTCAATACAACTTCATACAGTTGTCAAGAACATTAAAAGGAAGTGCAGTGCACAAGAGCCATAACTCCATTTTGACAAAATACAGAGTTACTGCCCTTTGATACTTTTCCTTGTCAGGAGCATAACTTAAAACATACTGGTTGGAATTCAAAACAACTTCATACAATGGTCAAGCACAATAAGAGGAAGTGCAGTGCACAAGAACTATAACTCTATCTTCAGTATTTATAGAGTTATTGCCCTTTGTTCCTTTTCTTTGTCTTTCTGGACTTATTACAGAGTAATTCAATTAAACTTCATCAATGGCCAACCACATTGAAAGGAAATGCAACATATAAGAACAACAACTATCTTTAATTGCCCACAACCATAACTCTATATTTCAATTCTTTTACAAGGTATTCTGTTACTAGTAATATCCTCATTTCCGAAGCAGTCTTGTGGGGGTATTAATCACATTTAGTGATAGTTCTAGTTTTGTTCTCTGATACACTGTTTTATTAGTTTAAACTGTCACTGATTTAAGAATGTCTTTTAGTTGGGGCATTAATTAGAGAAAATATGATAGCATCTTAAATGAAACATTATAATAATCAAAGCATAAAAACAGTTGTCATATTGCAGGAAGGTTTACAACATTGTAAGCTTAATTTCCCACTATGCCAATTAAATAATACATTAACATAATAACAATTCCAAAGTTAAGATGTAGTTCGGGGGTTAAATGCCCTCTGACACTTACATCGGTAAAGAATATGAAAGGAAAATATTTACATTCCTAAACATATATGTGTTAAGTTGTTTAACCAAAGCATTTGGTCTTTTTGCAGGATTCTGCAGAACATGTAAGAAAAGGACTTGTGCTGAAAAAATCTGCAAGTTTAAAAGGGAAAGATTTGTCAAACTTGGCATTACAATTAAAAGATGTTCATGAAATACCTGCATTGATTGCTCAACCGAGAAAAGATCAGAAACTTGAAGATATGGATATTCATCAGTTGATGTCACTTTACTATGAAATTACTGGACAAGTTCCAAATGAGATGTTTGCTAAAGCCTGTAAGCCATTTACAAGACAGAACCTGATATTGTTGTTGCACCTGTGTATAGTTTTTGCTAATGCTAGCATGGATAAACAGGTTTGTAAACGTCCAAATTTTACATATATGTACTTTTTACATGACATAATTCTTTCTTAAATTGTGTTAAAATGAAATATGCACTGCATGTATCATAAATGTAAAGGATACAAATATTTCAGATAAATAATACACAAGATAGGTAGGCTATTCAAAGAAATGTGAAAAGTATACTACACACCTTGACATTGTTAAGCTTTTGCGTCTTCAACAACTTGTTAAATTTTGTCTCATTACTGGACAAGTTCCGAATGAGATGTTTGCTAAAACCTGTAAGCCATTTACAAGACAGAACCTGATATTGTTGCTGTACCTGTGCATAGTTTTGCTAATGCTAGCATGGAAAAACAGGTTTGTAAACTCTATTTTGAGGACCAAGTCCTCAAACCCTGATAATAATAAGGCTCTGATATATTTGCCTAATTTTTGAATTATTGCCCTTTGTTATCCCCCGCCGATGGAATCGGGAGGGGGATATAGTTTTGGCGTTGTCCATCCGTCCCTCCGAATTTTGTTTCCGGAGTAGTTCTCTGCAACTACTGGCTGGAATTCAACGAAACTTTATGGGAATTATCAATATCAAGAGGAGATGCGCATATCGTCAGCTTGTTCCGGTCAGACCCTTTAACTCAGAGTTATGGCCCTTGATTAGTTATGTAATATGCATATAGAGTAAAATTTCATTTCCGGAGTAGTTCTCTGCAACTACTGGCTGAAATTCAACGAAACTTTATGGGAATCATCAATATCAAGAGGAGATGCGCATATCGTCAGCTTGTTCCGGTCGGACCCTTTGACTCAGAGTTATGGCCCTTGATTAGTTATGTAGTAGGCATATAGAGTAAAAATTGTTTCCGCACTACTGCTCTGCAACTACTGGCTGGAATTCAACGAAACTTTATGGGAACCTTCAATACCAAGAGGAGATGCGCATATCGCCAGCTTGTTTTGGTCAGACCCTTTGACTCAGAGTTATGGCCCTTGATTTGTTATGCAGTATGCATATGGAGTAAAAATCGTTTCTGCGCTAGTTCTCTGCAACTACTAGCTGGAATTCAACGAAACTTTATGGGAATCTTCAATACCAAGAGGAGATGCGCATATCATTGCCTTGTTCCGGTCAGACACTTTAACTCAGAGTTATGGCCCTTGATTAGTTATGCAGTATGCATATAGAGAAATAATTGTTTCAGCGCTACTTCTCTGCAACTACTGGCTGGAATTCAATGAAACTTTATGGGAACCTTCAATACCAAGAGGAGAATGATGCACATATCGTCGCCTTGTTCGGGTCAGACACTTAAACTCAGAGTTATGGCCCTTGATTAGTTATGAAGTATGCATATAGAGCAAAAACCTTTACCGCGCTTCTGCTCTGCAACTACTGGCTGGAATTCAATGAAACTTTATGGGAACCTTCAATACCAAGAGAAGATGCGCATAGCGTTGCCTTGTTGGGGTCAGACACTTTAACTCAGAGTTATGGCCCTTGATTAGTTATGCAGTATCCATATAGAAAAATATTCGTTTCCTCACTACTTCTCTGCAACTACTGGGGGGGATTCAATGAAACTTTATTGGAACCTTCAATACCAAGAGGAGATGCGCATATTGTCGCCTTGTTCGGGTCAGACATTTTAACTTAGAGTTATGACCTTTGATAACTTAGGCAGTATACAACCAGAGCAATAATCGTTTCCGTGCTACTTCTCTGTAACTACTGGCTGGAATTCAATGAAACTTTATGGGATACTAAGAAGAGATGTGCATAAAGTCGCCTTGTTCCGGTCAGATACTTATAACTCAGATTTATGGCCCTTGATTAGTTATGTAGTATGCATACATCTCATTGGCATTTCCAGATATTACTATTTAACACAAAGTTATGGCTCTGTTATTGCCCTGAATATTTATCAAGTTCAAAGAATATTACTGTTTATGCCATGATTAATATATAAATAAAGCCTTATGTCTTCAGTTGTTGTGTAAATAAAAACCAGTACTCGGCGGGGGATATAAATTCAACAAATGTTACACTTTGTCTGCAACATTACTCTAAAACTATAAGAGGTATCAACATGAAACATTGTAGGTACATAGATCTCATTGAGTTGGTGTGCTATGCACAAGAACCATAACTCTACCCTTCCTAATTTTTGAATGATTGCCCTTTGTTTATTTTTACACTTTGAACTTTTTCCGGGGCATAACTCTAAAACAATAAGAGTTATCAACATGAAACTTTGTAGGTAGATAGATCTCATTGAGTAGATGTGCAGTGCACAAGAACCGTAACTCTGCCTTGCGTAATTTTGGAGTTATTGCCCTTTGTTCATATTTACACTTTGAACTTTACCCAGGACATAACTCTAAAACTATAAGAGATATCATCACGAAACTTCATAGATAGATAGATAGATAGATCTCATTAAGTAGAAGTGCAGTGCAAAAAAACTTAACTCTGCCTTGCCTAATTTTGGAGTTTTTGCCCTTTGTTCATTTTTTTATACTTTCCTGTGTCCAAATCCTTCTCGGGGAGCATCAGCCGGTTCAGCCGGTTCTTGTTAACCAGGCTTCCACACAAAAATGGTTATTAGAGGTATGTCAAAGGGCAAGCCTTATAGATTTCTTCTGTGCACAAATCCTCCTACATTTCTCAAGGGATTTTGAGCAAACTTTTGTAGAAGCTTTGTCATCAAGTGCCCTGGATCATATTGCTGGGGGTTTTGTGATTGGGTAAATTTTAACCCATTAAGCGATATACACACCTTTTAACACCTTTTTCACCCCCCTTTTTTTGTTGTCTCAAATGGTGAACAATGCCTTATTTAGGCCCCCAACACTTGTTTTTGTTTGAGAAATGTTGTTATAAAAAAGCGACCACTTTTTCGGCGCGGCCCCCCAACCAAAAGATACATCAGGGGGTTGCCAGAAAGGGGATGTGCCCCCTTCTGTTTGAGGGGTTTGAAGGGGGATCGCCAAGAAAATTTTGGACTTGTGAGAGGCTATAAATTACCCCAGATTGATCATAAGGTAATGTGTAACCAACGCTGAAAAGCATTTGACTCTATCTCAATCCATTGAGAAGTTGCAGCACTTTGAAATCAATTTTGATGGAAAAAATCAACGCAAAATAGTGATTTTTTGGCAATTTTGAGATGTCCGCTCGTTGCCATTGTAAAAGAATATTTAAGCCTGAGCATGTTGTTGCAAGGGCAATGGTCCAGTCAACATTTGTGCCAAGTTTGATTAGTATTGAAGCAGTTTTTATAGTATTATAGCAATTTGAACTTGTAACGGGAGACTTTTCAATGAAAACAGCCATTTTTCACAAAATGCTCATGAAGTAATGGGTTAATGAAAATAATCAAAAAATCTACAGAACAACAATTTTTCTTCACATTTATATGACAGGCCATGTTTAAACATGGAAAAACACAATTTTGGGTAATTTCAAGTATTTTTATCATTTTCTGTTAACCCATTACGCGGATATACACGCCTTTTAACGCCTTTTTCACGCCCCCCTTTTTGTTGTCTCAAATGGTGAAAAAATGCCTTATTTAGGCCCCCAACACTTTTTTTTTGTTTGAGAAATGTTGTTAAAAAAAGTGACCACTTTTTCGGCGCGGCCCCCCAACCAAAAGATACATCAGGGGGTTGCCAGAAGGGGGATGTGCCCCCTTCTGTTTGGGGGGTTTGAAAGGGGGGCGGAGTCCCCCTCATCGCCAAGAAAATTTTGGACTTGTGAGAGACTATAAATGACCCCAGATTGATCATAAGGTAAGGTGTAACCAACGCTGAAAAGCATTTGACTCTATCTCAATCCGTTAAGAAGTTGCAGCACTTTGAAATCAATTTTGATGGAAAAAATCAACGCAAAATAGTGATTTTTGGCAATTTTGACATGTCCCCTTGTTGCCATGGTAAAAGAATATTTAAGCCTGAGCATGTTGTTGTAAGGGCAATGGTCCAGTCAACATTTGTGCCAAGTTTGATTAGTGTTGAAGCAGTTTTTATAGTATTATAGCAATTTGAACTTGTAACGGGAGACTTTTCAATGAAAACAGCCATTTTTCACAAAACGCTCATGAAGTAATGGGTTAACCTAATTATGGCCTTTTGTTTTTTCTCCTTATATAGAATATAGAGTGAACAATTTCTTTTGTGTGCAGCTACTCCAACATTTCATTTTGGGATTGCTTTTGAGCCCCCAAGGGTCAATGTCACTGTTACTAAAAATAGAAAATTAGTTTCCTGTCAATAACTAGAGTTTATTAATGCAATGTGGTGTATAGTAATTCAGCTTTATGAAGATCTGGCCCAGTATTACTTTTGTGCCCCTAAGGTCAAGGTCACATAGTAAAAATAGAAAATCATTTTCAGGTAAATAACTAGAGTTTGGAAAGAGATATTTTAGTGAAATTTGGTGTATAGTAAGCTTTTGTGAAGCTTGGGATTGCTTTTGGGTCTCAAGGTCAAGGTCATTGTAACTAAAAGTAGAAAATCGGCAGGCAAATTTCTGTATCCGATTTTCTTTAGAAGTTCAGGAACCCACAAAAGTTTGGTGGTTTGTTACAGCCCTGACTGAGTAGAACCACCAACATTTGATAAGCTAGCTGGAAAGCTTCCTCACATGAAAGAATTTTAAGTTCCTGACAGGGTTTGAGTGGTGAGTGGAAAGCTTATATTAAATATGTTAAGAAAAATTACATGAGACTGTTGTTATTTTTTATAAATAGACACATGCAAGTGTTCGATTGAAGGGCACAGAGGGGGAATTTACGCCAGTAGAATGTTATGATGAAGATTGTGCTGTGGTAGACTCACACATGCATTGTCCATTCTGCTCTAAAACAGACTCATACACAGATGTATCACTCCTGAAGGCACATTACACAAAACAACATGTTGACAAAGCTTTGGAGTTTTCTGGTAAGTATTCATTACAAGAGATTTCTATTGAATGCCAGTTTGAAAAACATGTAATATGGGAACGCCTATGATAGACAGGAAGGTGACATCCACTTTTGTCCAGAGAAAAATTAACTTCCCTAGCATAGAGGGGTTATATTATTACTATTAGTTTATATAAACATTGTTGACAGGTTCTATGGCCATATAAAAACAGTTGTCTGCATATAATTGCTTGGATTATATTGCAAAGAACTGTTTATATAAGGTCATATACTGTAACATGTGAAGAATCTTTCTAGCAAACTTCCTTTTTTTTAAGAGACAAATGAAATTTATTCATGAATTTTAAAATCAGATAGATTCGATGTCACAAATATCTAATGAAAAGCGACATTACAAATGTTCAGTATTATAATACTTGATATAAATGTTCATCAACACAAGCTGAGCACTAATAAACCAGGTCTGTACTCTATAGGTCAAATGTTAAAGGACAAGAATTTATACTTTTAACTTGGCACAAATGTTTCCTATTGTAGTATTGCAATTCAAGTCTCTATAGGCAAAGTTAAAGGTCTGATAAGATTATGAAAATGCCTATTTGTAAGTGGCAAATGAATGTTGACTTTAGCACTCTGGTAATATGGATGATGTGCATTAAGTTGTTACATTTATAAGTAGTTCATTTATAGTTAGTTACAACTGCAGTGGAACGTTGTTCAAAGTTGCCATATTAATGCTTTATAAAAGATGGTTTGCATTTCAGGTCTGAAAATACTGCGTTGCTTTAATAAATGTGAAATTGATACCAAAGTCATTCATAATAAGACGTTCAGTGGAGGTCACTGGCATTGTTTTGCATGTTCTAATGCCATAGAAAGACGTTGTGATACATTCATACATTATGAGAGACATTTGAATGCATTTGGCTCCAGTTTTCAAGTTCATATAGCACAGGTAGATTGTTTTTACTTTATTGTTCTTAAAGAAAACCTATCATTCATCAGAGTTTGTTTTTTATTGTTTTTTTCTGGGACAGGTCTGTACATCCCCAAAAAAATCTTAATTGACACCATTGGGAACATATCCGTTTTCTGGACATGTGTAAATGATGTAGAATAAACAGTATCTTTATTAAAATTAATGTTGAATTATATTGTTTGGGGGACAGTTTGCTTTTCCAGTTTGGTTGTATCTTCTATACATGTACACATTTTTTACCTCTCCTGAAATAACTAGTTATACATCATCTGTTGTATATGCCTACATTCATGTACCAAGTTATACATCATCTGTTGTATATGCCTACATTCATGTACCAAGTTATACATCATCTATTGTATATGCCTACATTCATGTACCAAGTTATACATCATCTGTTGTATATGCCTACATTCATGTACCAAGTTATACATCATCTGTTGTATATGCCTACATTCATGTACCAAGTTATACATCATCTATTGTATATGCCTACTTTCATGTACCAAGTTATACATCATCTGTTGTATATGCCTACATTCATGTACCAAGTTATACATCATCTGTTGTCTATGCCTACATTCATGTACCAAGTTATACATCATCTGTTGTCTATGCCTACATTCATGTACCAAGTTATACATCATCTGTTGTATATGCCTACATTCATGTACCAAGTTATACATCATCTGTTGTCTATGCCTACATTCATGTACCAAGTTGTGCATGGATATTGAAATCTTATTTAAAAAATGTCAGTCCAAAGATCTTTTGTGATTATTTGTAGTGTTATATAGTTAGCCTTGAGATGAAATTTGTTCAATATTTGTACCTATAAAATGATTTAAAGAAAGAGTGTAACTAGTGTTTTGGGGTTTTTTTTTATGCTTCCTCAAGTTCCTTTCACCCTCTTTCTTCAGTTGTTAAACAATGTGTTGTTCCTATCACTACTATATTTTATGTAAAGTTTACCTATGAACCACTTACAGCTTTTCCTCTGTCTTAACATATTTTGAAAATGAAAATATGTTGAACATGCAAATGTAACATTGCCTGTGGTCAATATCTGTCTTGAAATCCAAGTTATTAAACTCAAATAGTTAATGTTATCAGGATTATTACTAAACGAATATATGTATATGATTTTATTATTTCAGGACGTCAATCCAGTATCATCTCACAGGACAACTACCTATGAAATTCAGAACACACTACATGGTATAGAAATGCGCATGTCAGATACTGACAGTACACCAGATTTCCAGGTTATTGGAATGAATAGCATACCAGACACTGTCAATATTAGTCCTTCAAGTAAGTATTTGATGATAATTCAAACACTGTTTCAAACTGGTGTTAAATCATGACAACTGTTGGATATATTCCCTTTCAACATATTTTAGCAACACAGCTATTGTACTAAGTAATAATTTTTGTGTTTCTTCCAAGCTGGTATTTGTAATAACCCTCTCTTTAAGAACATTTTTTAATTTCTAACATAAACAGCCACGAGTTGGATTCAAACACCTGCAGACATTTTCACAAAAAATCTTACGATTTATCTTAAGTTTTTCACTTACGATAATGGTAAGTTAAATCTTAAGTCATTTTCACAAAGCCACTTGTAAGTTAAAATTTTATCTTAAGATAAAAAATTCACTTACGATAAATCTTATGACAAAAACATCCCTAGCAACGTTTATTTGATAGTGATGTGCATGCTCTATATTTGATTCCGGTTTTAAAATCAAGTAATAAAGAGCTTTAAATATGTATTGAACACAATCAAATTTCAATAAGAACAAAAAATGATTCAAACTAATATAGATTTAGATCTAATTTATATCTTGATTGAAGATAATTATATATATATCTAAAAGATTCAGAAAGAAGGTATACTATGTTATTAATAAATAAAAAGGTACCACTAGTTTATGCTGGCAATGAAATCGAACTCACCAATTGTACAAATTATAAGTTTTCAATAATACTAGTCTACAGTATGGAGTTCACATTATTTTAAACTATTCATAACCCTCTCCATCGTGACGTCATCAAGTCATGAGGTCACAAATATATGTTGAAAAATAATTATATCTCAATTTGTGTTATTTATAGCATACTGTTTGCTTTGTATTTAGTTGTCCTCTAACTTTTTGTTTATTTTTATTCAGATTAGGTAAGAGATACATGATATTTAACCCTTAAGAGAGAAAAAATTACACTTACGAACGGGGAAGACCTATCGTAAAGTTACGACAGATTTTGCACTTAGATTTTCTTAAGATTTTTTGTGAAAAGGAGATTTATCGTAAGATTTCTCTTACGACAATAAATTGTTGTAAGATTTTTTGTGAAAATGTCTGCTGATCACAAGCTTGCACACAAAGGACCAATGCTTTATACAATAGAGCAAAAGATGCATTCCTTGGAAATTTTGTCCGCGGTTGCACTCAACCATAACATAAGAAATTACCAAACTGTCTTAAGACATTAAATTTTGGTACCATAGCAATTATAAAGAAAACATTGAACTGAAGGTTGAACAGTGGTTGACATTCAGAAATTGTTCTCTGCTTTAAATTTAAGACAGTATTAGCTTATTTCATAGACAGCTTATTATGAAATAAGGTTTACATTGAAAACAGCCTTAACAAATCTGTCATTTCTATGGAGACAACAACATATAAGAAATTGTAAATAATGATTAATTGATGATACACCACTGCAGACACAGTTAAAGGATGTGTATAGGAGTGAACATGTAGGTTTGTTGTTATCATAGTTTAAGGCAGATATCTCATGGCAGAGTTGACAGATTTCATTAAACTGTGGTAAGCATGTGATATGTGTGTACAACAAGCTATTGGTGTTTGTCTTATTTCTGGCCACATTTCAACATTAAATTTGCAGCAACAAAAATCAGAAAAATTAAAAATATAAATATTTTGCAACTTCATGTTTAAACTTTGGTAAATTGTCTTTTTCAACTATTCATAGAATATGTTAGTGGATGTAGTCCTTCCAAGAGACCATACACTGATACAGGACTTGGTGAACATGATGATGTTTTATATGTAGAGGAAGATGAACATGGAAATGTGCTGTCCACATATACAGCTGAGGTAAAAATATTATGATATTTCATTGTCAATAGCTCCAATGAATTTGGTTAACTTTAACCTTTTTGAAGCTAAAAAGTTAGTCAACAATATTTATCACTGAAATTGGCCCTACTGATACATATAAATATTATATCTATGTGCTATACAGGATATGGCTAAATGTACTTAACAATTTTGGTCCTTGGTATTGAGAATTACAAATTTGGTTACGGAACCGCCTCCGTGGTCGAGGGGTTAGAGTCGATGACTTCTAATCCAGTAACCTCTCTGGCGTGGGTTCGATCCCCGGGAGATGCTTTGGTAGTTTAGCGCGGAGGAAGGTAGTCTAGTACTGGTGTAACTCTCCAGGAATGATAGTTAGGAAACTACCCGCCTATATGACTGAAATACTGTTGGAAAAAGGCGTAAAATGAAACAAACAAACAAACAAACAATTTGGTTACGGAATCTCGGTGGTTCTACTCAGGTGCCTGTTCGTGCCTGAAATAATGCACGGAAGGGCACCTGAGGTCTTCCTCCACCAGTAAAACTGGAACGTCGCGATATGACCTATACTGTGGCGATATGACGTAAAACCCCAAACAAACAAACAAACATATTTGATGGGGAGCATCTTGTGGACCTCTACAAAGTTTTCTCAATTCATGAGCCTGTGGTGGAAATTAGCCTTGACCCTAGGAACACATGATATTATCATACATTCATATAGCATTAGACTTTAACAGTTTTCTTCACTATAAAAAAAGGTCTAGAGCTTAGATGTTTAGTGTTAAGCATTGTCATTCGGACTTCAACCAAGTTCTTCAAATCATGATCCTGGGGTCAAAATTGCTTCTGCCTAGGGGCTCACTTTATTTTACGATCACATAGTCTCATATAGGAAAACTATAACTAACCTTTGTTAATTTTGTTCAAATGAAAATGACTCTGACCAAGATTGACCTGGCCCCAGAATTAAAAAAACATTAGATGTTATATTGTCTCATAAAGGAATACCTTTAAAAACCTTTGTCTTTTCCAAAACTCTGGTATTTGTGTAGTATTGTTAAGTGGTCAACTACAAGTTTGACTGTTCAATTTATGACCCTAGAGTGAAAATTGGCCTGTTCTTGGGGGTCACTGGTGCAGAGTTTCATAACTTTTCTTTAAAACTTGTCTATCCGAAGTATAGGGAGAGCTATTGTACTTACCCAGGCATCAGTGTCTGTGTCACACTTTGGTTTAGTTTTTTGCATGCAAGTTGGTATCTTCAAAACTACTTAAAGGGATCAGTTGAAACTTCACACACTTATTTGAGAGTATAAAAAAGGTATCTTTAAGTCCTACAACTCTAGCATGAATTTTGAGAGAATTATTGCCCTTTTTTACCTTAGAAAATCTTACATTATCCAGGCTCTTGTTTAACTATCATTCCCTGAGAAGTCAAGCAAACTGTACCAACAGCTCTTGTTTTAAAACTTTTGTTTTTCTCATACCCCAATTTTACATAGACTTATAATGGAAAACTGCTTTAAAATGTACTTCTATTAACTGCAAGACCTAGAGGTTATATTCTTTTGTAGAATTATATTGTAGACCAACTCTTATTTTGGTTCAAATGATGACATTCAGTGCTTTAAGATGAAATATTTGATTGGTAATTTCATCATGGCCTCGTGTTATATTTTTAGCAAATTCCTACTGCTGGGCAGGAAAATGTTACAATATCATATCCTGAGAACTCTGATGTGAAGCAGTTGAAGAAAAAGATTCGAGAACTTGAAATAAGCAATAAGAAAATGGAAACACATAATAATCTTCAGAAATCATATGTTGAGTTCCTGGAGAAAACTGTAAGTAATATAATATTTAAGAATTTAAGCCTGTTCACAATTATAATGATATATTGTTCTTTGTCTTTGCTTATGCCTTATTTTGAAGAATGGGAATAGTTTACATGTTATACAAATAATTTAAAATGACTAAAACCTTAGAATTTACTAATGATCCTTATTTGTTTAAATTCTTTAAAGCAATGAAGATAACCATGTACTAGTTTTTGAAAGGTCATTAGTTTTATTCAAGCTTCTTTTTTCGTTACAGTTTGAAATAATTTGAAGATTGGGTCTTTAGGTCCTATTACAGCAAACTTTTGTTAGCTGTCAAGTCAAATTTACTTTTTATTCATAATTTGATTAAATTATTTAATTTAAAAACTCAACTAAAATTTTGATCAAAACTTTAGTCAGAAAAAATGTCTATTATAAAAAGAAATTGTCATGAAACATTTTGGCATGTCTGAGTGTTTGCATATACCACGGCCAATTACTAATTAAAGCCGTGCATATGCATGTGAGATATTATGTCAATTTAGTGCTAAAAATAACTCTTTATTTTTAATCCCTTGTTAAAAAAAATACATGATGATGTCTCATAATTTGGCCTGTCAATTGTCTGCTGTTAAAAATGTATTTCGTTCTACTTGATGCATTGATAATGCTACATGACACATTGATTATGTTACATGATGCATTGATTATGCTACATGATGCATTGATATTGTTACATGACACATTTATTATGCTACATGACACATTGATTATGCTACATGATGCATTGATAATGCTACATGACGCATTGATAATGCTACATGACGCATTGATTATGTTACATGATGCATTGATAATGCTATATGACGCATTGATAATGCTACATGACGCATTGATTATGTTACATGATGCATTGATAATGCTACATGACGCATTGATAATGCTACATGATGCATTGATAATGCTACATGACGCATTGATTATGTTACATGATGCATTGATAATGCTACATGACGCATTGATTATGTTACATGATGCATTGATAATGCTACATGACGCATTGATAATGCTACATGACGCATTGATAATGCTACATGACGCATTGATTATGTTACATGATGCATTGATAATGCTACATGACGCATTGATTATGCTACATGATGCATTGATTATGCTATGTGATGCATTGATTATGGTACATGACTCATTGATTATGCTTCATGATTTATTGTTTTCAAACATGTGCATCCTCGGACACATTATATGGAATTTCTAGATTGATCACTGATAAGGCATGAAAGAATCCAAAGTCTCTGGCAGAATTGGAACCTAAAGTGGTGAGGGAAAATTGGTTTGAAGACAATGACCATAACCACCTTGCCATGGTTTGTTTAAATAAAATATAACGAAGATATAACTAAGAATTTTTGTTAATATTGTAGATTTCTGACCTGAAAGAGGAGCATAGCAAAAAAGTGGAGAAATTAGATGCTGAAATTGAAGATTTAAAAAAACAACTCATTATTGATGATGGTATTTCAGAATCACTAGATAATGAAGAGAATAATTCTGACAGTTCTCTGGGATCATGTGTTAAACCTGCTAATACTTCTAGTGCAGTACCAAAAAAAATAAATATTAAGAAAACAAACAGTAAAACAGAAAAGAAATCATCAATGGTGAATGATGTTGTAATGGATAAAGTTGAAGATCAGTTGAATGGCATAAAGAAAGAAATGGAGAACTTGAAAAATAATTTATGTAATCATGTTGCACCAGGTAATAATGTTGGAACAAACCCTATGATACAGAATCCTTCTCCTCTGTGTTATATTTCTAACCAAGGGATAATGACGCCATATATTTTACCACATAACATGACTGGTTTACCTTATATAAATTTTGTAACGGGTCAAAATGTTCCAATGCAAATGTTTCAAAACACAGCTGCCTTAAATTCACAACCTTTGAATACTCCACAGAATACATTGAATAACGACCTTAGTTGATTGGTCTGGGACAAATGAAAAAATAACTGATTGGGTCCAAAAAAGGGTAGTAACGGGTGTTGGACCTTTTTAATGAAAAATAATTAAAAGGATTAGATAACAAAAACAAAAAAAATTTTTGACTCCGAGTGAAAATAATCAAACATCTACTGCAGGAATTGCAAATATTAAAATGGAAAACTAAAGCCTCTTTACATTAATATTACCAGCTGTAGCACAAAAGATACTTCTGATATTATACCTCTGGATGAGACAAGTACAGGCACAGAATGCTTTGTTAGCCCTGATAATGTAGAAGCAATCCAGAAAGTTCCTGTTGATAAACCAATACCTAAGAATGCTGTAAAGAAATCAACTGCAAATGAAGTAAAAGCTGACCGTGTATATGTGTGCCCACAAACCTCTCGTAAACAGTCAATGAATATCAAAGTAGCAACAAAAGGAGTGAAAGAAGAATCCTTAGATATTAAAGGCAAAGAAAAGAAAAATACTAGTGGTGAAAGTGAACAAGAATATTTTTCTTTATTTGCCTAAAAATTTTTAAGGTTATAGGATTTTTCAAAAGGGAAAGTTTTTGAAAATATGGATCGTAAATAAAAAAATTTAAAAAAAAGGTGGAATTAATGTAAAAAAATATGGTCAGGGTTGAATTGTTTCTTTTAATGTTATTGGAAAACATTAACTTTGTTTTTGGTTTTTATGGAGTCAGAACTCTTGTGTTATGTAAACTATTTACTTTTATGTAATTTGTTTACTGTAAAATATTAACACTTCATGATAATTATTTCTTTCAATGAGCAATATGCATAAAATTTTTGTTGTATCAATGTTTCTTTTGTTTAGTGTATGATTATGAAAACTGATGTGAATACAAAAATGTCAGAAGTTGAACTACAAGATTTGTTTTTAGACTTCTAATAAACACTAAACATGAGATTGCGTGCTTATATGTGGTTAAATCTGTTTTATGCTTTTTAAACAATTATTGATAAAAAGATTAATAATTGTATAATTAAAAAATTACAAGTAACTGTTTATAAAACAATATCTTTGTAGACCTGATCAAACGTCCTAACTTGTGAGCATTTGTGACAATATGAAAATTTTCCTATGTGGTAATAAGAATCTGCTTAACTGTGTTATAGATTTTTGCCAAACTTTATATGAAGGCTTTATGTGTCCCTTTAAGAACATTCTTATATTTATTCCTGTTTAATACAGGAGCTTAAAGAAGCTATCTTGAAATCTTAAAAAAAGAGCATAAATATTTTGCATGTAACCTTGAGGTCCTCTAATTTAGAGGTTAATAATTGGTTGCTGCTCGCCATTATGGGATAATGGCTCGAAGATGTTCATAATGGCCTGAAGGACTTTATGAACTCAATACCAATTTTAAGCTCACCTGTTACAAAATGAAGAGGTGAGCTTTTTGTGATCACAATTTGTCTGGTGTCCATCCATCCGGTGTCTGCTAGAGCTCAGATATTTGGCATGAAACATCTTCTAGTGAGTGTTTACCAAGTTTGCTCAAATAAAAGTGCTTGGGTCAAAATTGGCCCACCCCGGGGTCATTGATTTTCCTTATATGTATATAGTAAGAACTTAAAAAATCTCTTTTAAAAAAAAAAACCCAAAGAGATAGAGCTTAGATATTAAGCATGAAACATCTTCTAATGGGTATCTACCAAGTTTGTTCAAATAAAAGCTCTGGTGTCAAAATTGGTCCCGCCCAAGGGGTTTATTGATTTTCCTTATTGATATGTATATCAAAAAACTTTAAAAAATCTTCTTTAAAAAAAAAGCAAAGAGCTAGAGCACAGATTTTTAGCATGAAACATCTTGTAAGTGTGATTTTTATATCTGCTTTTGTTTATAGTTTACAATATTACTTGTTTCTTGTCATGGAGAGTTTTTATATTCAGGTGAGCTGCAATTTCAGGGCCATCACGGCCCTCTTGTTGATTATTCAGGCCAATTAAGGATGGTTTGCAACAGCAACGCATTTTCGTACTGACGTTATTGCTTCTAGGGTCAATGTTTATTCAGACAGTGCAAAGAAGGTTGCATAAGGGTAATCTCACCAATCTGCAATCAGGAAGATTTCCATTGACTCATCACTGCCACCCCCTTTGAAGTGGATGAGGGAGCATGTTGGGTGGATCAGACAAAACGGGAGACATTGTTCCCTTTACTGATGAGTCTAGGTTTGTCTAGACATTACTGACACAGACAGCCTTGCGAGAATGAAGACCTTAGACCATGACCATTATAGGGATGTGTCACTTTTTGTGTGGGTAAGGCATACGCATTCAACCACTTCTTATAAATGAACAAAAACAAATAATCAGTGTATGCATAATCATTGTATTAAGTGTTCAAAATAACCAACAAAAATAATTAACAAATTATCCAAAAAATAGCACAGTTACAATTTCAATTATGTGAATTATTTAACTAAACATTCTCCTTATATCCCATCAAAGTGTCATAAAACGGTTAGTACATTCTTTGATAGATGCCATGTTTGTAATACTAGTACATGTCTTTCCAACGACAATATTATCGCCGACAACATGAGTAAGTTTATCACCTCTTGAACAACCGTCACATCTATATAGTTTATTTTCTCATATTTTCAAGAGTCTTCTGTCATATATTTATGTTACTCGTTGTTCCCTTTGCTCTTTCTTCCTCGCATATCTTTATTGTATTGATATAATATGTTTATCTTTTCTCTCGTAATAACAGACTGTCCTTTCGAGTAAATCGTCTGGTGAGTCGATCTGGTCAGTCATTTGTTTCACAGAAGTAATCTTGTCCCGGGTAATATATATTCGTTGCACTAACACTAAGCACTTCACTTGTCTCATTGCATGGGATGTCTGGATTGAATTGGTACTATTTTCTCCGGACATCATTGTTACTATGATTTTTTACATACGTTTTCATATTTGGATATATATGGAGTACAGTTTCGCCTGCGGTCCTCTTTCGCATTCGTATATAGTAGCAAAGTTTAGTGCAAAACACAGGAAAAATATACATAAAACATAATAAACAAAAATACAAAACAAAAAATACAAAGTCAGCAACGCAACAAAAGCAAAATATAAAACAAATCAAACCGAAAAACAAACCAACTAAACCAGTTACTATTGGCAGTCATCCTATCACTAGTTGAAATAATGCCCTTAAATTAACATGAAGTTGGGTTAGTTTTTCATTGAAAGGTAAATAGACTGAAGTAAAACGCATTTAAAACAAATTTAACTGAAGAATTTTTGCATTTCTTTTCTAATTTTTTCTGGTATTAGACTGCTCACGTTTGCCTTTCTTTTATCTTGTTCCTTCTTTTTCTCTTGCTCTTTCCTCACTCTTGACCTAAATCCGAGCCCTCTTTTTGCTGTATCATTATTCCAACTCTTGACGGGCTCGGATGACTTGTATGGCACTGCAGCAGTTGTGGCTATCATACAAGGGGTAGTGCGACCTGGTAGACTTGAATTGGCTTTCGTAGCCGTTGCAGGAGGCATAATTTTCATATTGTATGGCATTTCGGCGTTCTTTTGCTTCATAAGTTCTTTATTTAGAACTTCAAGCTCCTGTTCTACCCTAAGCGCTTCTTTTATATCAGCATCCCAGTCGATCTGAACTTCAGCTGACGGAGGGCGTGGCTTATAATATTCCTTCGATGGATTGTGTACAGAAATATCCCCGTCAAGCTGAGTGGTTACGTGCAGGAGCCTTCGTCTGTTTCTAAAACTACCTTGCTGTGAGGTATCGGGTCTGGGAGCTGATGGAGGGGCCGGACTGTAAATTGATGCCTGAAAATGGTTTAAGGTTAATACCATAAAAGTGTAAAGGATGTGAACGATTAAATTACATGATAACATTTGTCTGCTGTCTTGAAAGATAAAAAAAATAGTTAATGCACTTAAGATATACGTATATAACTTTTTCTAAAAGTTGAAACAGTTTGGCGTTTTGGACTGCTGTTGGGATTTGTTAGGATTTTGTTTTTGAAATTGGGGAAAAAGAGGCTATTTGAGATTAGGACTGGGCCCTTATTTCGACCTCTGGTGATAGGGTGATAATGTCCTGATTACACACAGCATTCAAAAAGTGAAAGAATGATAATACATATGTATATAGTTGAGTGCTAATAATAACATGACAACGAATGCACAGTACTTCTTGTAAGTGAAATTTTAATTGCCAGATCCTTTGGGATCACTAATCTCAATATACTTTTGGACTTTGTAGAGGAATGAATATTACTCAAGCGACGTGAGAGATGCTGGACTTTTAATGTCTTTTTTACAGATTATCCGTCCATAAATAGTTTAGTTTGCGTTTCCAATACTCTTGAGGAATCTCACCTTTTCCAGGTTTTTTTCATTAAGGTCAGACTTAATTATTATCAGGATGTTTTTTTATATTTTTATCTAAGATTTATAGAGAAATAAATGAAAGGCAGACTTAAAGAAATAATAATGATTTAACAGTCAATAAAAGACAAAGTAAATACCTGTATTTTATCTAAACTATGGGAGTCTATGTGAGCAGTAAGCATTTTTTTGGCTGTAACAGATTCCCCTATTGTAGATACATCACTAGTATGGTTTGGAACACGCATATTTCTCTCAGGGGCACCTCTTCTGTATTCTTCATGCTTGATGTTGTTCCTCCTCTCGTATTCCAAAACTTGTGGGCTTTTCTCTATCGTGCTCTTGTCATGAATGCCTTCCATTAATGACTTATATAAAGCATCCTCGTCGAGAACCTCTCTATCTGCTTGGCGGGTCTGTTCACGATATGGTCTGTTAATCTGTGGCAACTTTGTTATTTTGTCTTCGAATCCTCTCTTGTAATCTTCAGTGGCATGCCATGATGGAACTACAATATAAATGACAATAAATATTATTTATACCCAAGGAGAAGTTGGAGGAAGGTTTTGGCACTAAGTAGTGTCTTCGAATTATTTTTCTAGTGTATTCGACATACATATCGTATGTTGTACGATAAGGATGTTCAATTGTTAAAGTTTTGTTATTGTAAAAATCATGAGCTAAAAGCATGGAAAATTTCATAGCATATTTCCATACAAAGTAGTTTTAATTGAAATATATTTATGACTTGCATAAATCCACATATTAACTTGTTTTAATACGTTAATTGATTCTTTATTGTACTAGTATTTGAATTTATCTACGTTGAAGTATAATTTATTTACCACTCGGGGTTTTAGCTCGACTACGAAAGGCAACATCATTGAGTCCAATGTTTGTAGCAGACCTGTGTTCACAGTAATTTCTAGCCGGCGATGGTTTCGAAACTAGATTTTTACCGACAACGACGGGAGGAAGGCGTGTTTCGTCAACTTTAGGCTTTGGCCTGGAGATTGGCGGTAATATATTACCATTGAAGTCGAGTGTGAAGGTTTCACCGGACATTGAAGTCCCGAAGTATTGATCTATAAAAAATATAGATTAGTTAAATGCGATTCATTAATGTCTGTCACTAAAAATATGGGTAAATGAAATTTAGTGTTGTTTTTTTATCAAACGCATAATACTTTGAACACCAACATATATATTTACATTATTCTTCAATAATTCTTAAAGATGTAATACATTGAATATTATGTAGTAATTATATATTAGCACTGCATGAGAGTATGGATTCATCATTAAATAAAGTATAATAATTACCGTTAATATCATCGAAATCGTAGATATCTTCATACACTGTGTCAACAGGTCTGAAAGTAACACAATAAGTCAATCGAATTACAATAAAGGTCTCTCACTAAATGTAGTTTTTCTTATACATAAACATTTGAAAAATTCCCGCTTTTATAATTGTCTTCTCAGATAGTCTTCGTTACATGTTTTGTGGTTGTTAAAATTAATTATTTCTCCCTTTATACTTAAGCCCCTCCCGCACTCAGTCCCTGTTCGCTGTTTGATGCAGCGGGATATTGCGGGGTGGGGTGAGCGCGGAGGGTGCTTCATTCCGTAAACGTTGCTCTCCTTTGATATTTACTATATTTGACTAATGTATGTAGTGCAAAAATATTGCCATAGTTTAATTTGCGTTACTGAGTGTTATATAAAATCACGTAGCACGTTAATTTTGCATGAAAAGTAGAGAAAACTTACTTGTATTTTGTCATATTTGCAAATATTTGATGATTTTAAGGCAATAAACAAAAGTGCAGCTGACAACCATCAGCAACGTCAACGTTGCTATGTCACGTGATAGCCCGTTGCCACCTTATTGTTTGATGACGACGTGACGGACTTTTCGACGTCATTTTCCGAGACGAAATCAGCCCCAAAAACCATCAATATGGAAAAAGAAACAGAAGGTACTGCCGTGTGTTGACATTTTTTCATGAATTTATTTGCAAATCACCGGATTATTTATTGTTGTTATAAAGAGGATATTGAATGAGTTTACGTAATAATAATAAAAGGGTATTAATATTGTATTTTTCATGACTAAGGTAAATGCCATTACGACATGACACGACGGCATCAATTTGGGTGCCACTTTATGGAACATTTACTGTTAACAAAATAGTGATCTTACTTTAACTGCGCGTGATTTCATCAAATGATGAAACATTAAATAGGGCGATTATTCATTCACTTGCGCGTAAAATGCATTATGATACGATAAATGGGTATAAAAGGATTATTTTGGAAATATGTCAATTTTGAGTGCATTGTTGTAGAATGATGCACGGTTCGAGTTCAAATGCGCAGGAATATAATCACGAAGGCCGATAGCCCGGAGTGATTAATTACAAAGCACTTGAACAATAAACCGTGCATAATTATAGTATAATGCACGAAAAATTAAAATCTATTTCCATTCCAAGATGCTAATAAAAAAGAAAATTGATAGAAATATGCTTAACTACATCATTTTGTTTATTAACGTCATATGGCGTGTAACACCGCGAAACACTATTCACGTACATCGGCGTTACCTCATAAAAACGTCTGAATCACATTTTACCAGCGTATTTGCAATTTTCTATATCATTAGAAGTTTTGTAAATGTCACTTGCCTACCGAAAATCGAAATTTTACGGTATAATATGCACTGTTGTACTTATAAGAGTCGACAAAAAGCCAAAATCACGCTCAAAACGGTGGTCAAACCATTTTCACGTATATCTTGAAAATTAAGCAATTTCGTGGAAATAATCTTAATGAGGGAACAAGAACAATGTCTTCGCTGCCGTACGAGGCTTTTACTTTTTTCAGTTCGGTTAAAGATATACTATGCTCATCTTTGCGTAAATAAAAAATGAATAATAAACTATATTGGAAGTCACGTTCACTAATACAGGACAAGTAAAATTGGTCTTTTCTTTAAAAAAAAACTGCCAGTTTTTTAACGACACTATATATTTATACTGTGACGACCTATGTGTGTAGAGTTTTAAACATGACATATTAACTTTGTGTGAAGTCAAAACATGTTTATTTCATATTTACAAAGAGACTGCGTAGCAATTGTCAATATTTTCCGATATCAAATTTGAGCTTAGTATATCTTTAAATAAAAAAATATTTTGGCCAGTTTACTTACCGCGTTGGAAAGCCCGTCAGGTAGCCGCCATTTATTGCACAATTCTGCGTTACTTATTGCACGAATCGTGCGTTATTTTACATTCCGGCGTTACTGTATATACAAGGTACGTAAGGATTCGGTTTTTTGTACTGTGCATTATCTCCATATATCGCATCATCATGCATTTGACAGCCCTGTTTAATAGGGGAATAGTGTCAAGCGTGTTAGATTTTCTATTTTAGCTCTGGTAACGCCGGATGACGTAGAAACCCCCTCTAACTGAATCAAAATTACTCTTAGGTGATATTAAAAATTTCAAAATGTGTTTATATTTTACACTTTCGAACTACTCGAAATTTCAGTTATCACTTTCATTAAGAGGGGTCCGGGAAAATAAAATCAGAGCTCTTCATCATTTATATAATGTATACAAATCTTCTGCAAATGATACATGTATTATCAAGTCGTACTGGTGGCAACATAATTTCAATGTGTTGTCATAGCAAATTACTGAGTTACAGTAAAGAACATGTACTTTGTCATAATATTTTGATCACATACCGGTTGTTTCGTGTCCTGGGATTTATTCTAGCACTGTCCTGTCTCCGCAAGTTATTACCAACTTCTTCGCTGAATTTACAGAAACAGGAATGTAGGATGTAGCAATGATAGTATTAAGCTTATTGTCATCAACTAAACAACATGACATTTGACCGGGCAAGGTTCATTTATGTAAATATACATGCTGGCAGCATCAAAATGGAAGCTTTACCTACTCCAGTCCACAGGGATCTGATACTTACCCAATCCATGTGTACCCCTACCCACAAGTTGTGCATTTTTTCAAACATGAGCCACTGCCTATTGGGGGCCATGCTTGACTTTTCTTATTTATAAAGTCAACACATCCAAGATAGAACATTGTAGTAAAGTATGCTCTTAGAAAACACAATTTTCTTGTACAAAGTATTATTCAAACTTCATATTTGATCTTTACAGTCAAGGTCGTAGGTGTTCTTTTGTCCAAGAATAAATCAAACCGATAAACAACAAAGTTATGACCATTTATGCATATTTTAAAATTTGGTCAAGGTCAGTTTACAACAAATCAACATGTGAGTTTTGTCATGTGTTCTTTAGTCTAAATATAAATCGAATTTGTAAATAAATAACAAAGTTATGACAATTTTAGCAAAATATATAATGTTGCCTTGATATACAAGGTAAAATAAATGTCAAGGTCATATAAAATAAATTAACATGTCAGTTTTGTCAAATGTGTTCTTTTGTCCAAGTATTAATCAAATCTGCAAATAATTACATTTGTAACAATGTTTTGCAATCTAAACAAAGTTCAATGAATTGATTTAGATGGCCCAAGTGATTTAAATGTCAAATAAATATTTGAATTTTTATCAAGTGAGCTTTGTTATAAGTGTTCTTTTGTAAAAATAAAAATCAAATCCATAAATAAAGAACAATGTTATGGCTAATTATAGCAAAATTCACTGATTTGAACTTCAAGGTCAAGATCATTAATGAGTGACAGTCATAATCAATTTGGTCTACTTGTAAGTCTTGTGCAAAGAATTGTTCTGTTGAAGTATGAAGTATAAAAATATCCATTCATAAACAAGCAATTATCATAGTATTGCAAGCAATCCATAAGTCCCCTACCGGTTAGAACCCCAGCAACATTCTGATGGGCCATTGGCCATTCAATTTTACCAGTGGAGAAGGACATGAATCAGAACTTAAATCTTTTGAGTTCTAAGTTTGTCTGTATCACAGTAATGTGCTAAACCCTGGGAAACCCTGCCTAATAAGGAAATTATGTTTATACAACCTTGTCATATTATTATGATGTGGGATTTTAAAGTTAATCCTATAAGGAATGAAGAAGTTGGAGTGAAAAATACCAATTTCTCGAATAAAATCTAAGTTCAAGGGGGAGATAATTCTGGAAATAGTCTTGCTAGAGTATTTAACCTTCTCAAAAATGTTGAGTGATAAAAAGAAACATATATATGAAGTTTGAAGTAGATACATTAGGAAATAAAGAAGTTATTTAAAAAAGACAACATTTTTTTCCATAAAAATTCTAAGTTCGAGGGAGGTAATACTGATAATTTTTGTGCTAGAGTTGTAAACCTTGTCACATATGATGTGGTTGATGGCCAGAAACTTATATTTAAAGTTTGAAGTAAACACCTTAAGAAATAAAGAACTTATAGTGAAACAAGGGTGCCATAGTCACAAAATACGCCCGTTTACGAAAAAGCTTTAGATGGAGATGGGGGCATTATGGATAAATGTTATCTAGCAAGCAAGTTTTTATTCTTGGCACTGTGTTGTTATATGAACCTTAAAACAAATCAATAGGGAAGATATGCACAGAATGTGTGACCTTGACCTTGGTCGCAGGGACCTCAATTTTATGCACGGCACTCAGCCTCACAATGATGAACATTTGAGCCAAATTATATTGAAATCCCTCTATGCATGTAGAAGTTTTGCTCCAGACAAGTGTTTTTCTATGAGCTCTAACTGTGACCTTCACCTTTGACCTAGAGACTTGGTTTATGTGCAGGGCACTACGTCTCATGGTGGTGAACAATTCTATAAAAGTAACATTAAAATTCCTCCATGCATGTAGAAAATATGCTCCGGACAACATCTGGATATTTAATCATCTCCAGTGACCTTGACCTTGCAAATATTAACCTAAATTAAATGTGTAACACCTGTAGTCATGATAGTTACCATTTGTGCTACAATCCATCAATAAATGATGACTAAATGGTCCCTATAACCATCTTCAATTTTTATCTGAACTTTGACCTCTATGTGTAACCTTGACTTTGGTCGCAGGGATCTGAATTTTGCATGCGACACTCAGCCTCACAATGGTGAACATTTGTGCCAAGTTATATTGAAAACCCCCTATGAATGTAGAAGTTTTGCTCCGGACAAGCGTTTTTCAATGAGCTCTAAGTGTGACCTTGACCTTTGACCTGGAGACCTGGATCATGCATGGAGCAATACATATCATGGTGGTGAACATTTCCATAAAGTATTATAAAAATTCTTCCGTACATGTAGGAGATATGCTCCAGACAAATTCTGGATATTTCACCATCTTTAGTGACCTTGACCTTGCATATATTGACCTAAAGTACATGTGTCACAGCCGTAGTCATTATAATGACCATTTGTGTTACAATCCCTCAATAAATGATGATTAAATCGTCCCTATACACATCTTCATATTTTTATCTTTTTTTAAACGGGCGTATAAAAAGTACATGTAATTTAATAACTAAAAAATTCTGATTTAAGATTTTATTCTAGGGAAATACATTTCATTACAATTCTTAATCTTTGAATGAGCTGAACTGATATTTACTTGAAAATTAAAATATAATTAAATTTCTATGAGAAAGTATTTACATTTGATAAGGTAATTACTGTATGCTCTTTATGAACAAATACCAAGTCTACAGAACACCATAGTTATCACAGTTAAGAATCTTGACCAATGAATGAAACATGTGTAAATAAATGTTACATTCTTTAAAACATACTCAAGACCAAGAAATAGAGGATATTGAATGAGTGTAAGTTCAATACTGAATTTATTGCACGAGTTGAATAAAATTATATTATGCGAGCCTCTGGCGAGCATAATATTTTTTTATTCAACGAGTGCAATAAATTTAGTAATGAACTTACACGAATTTAATATTCTATTTATCACATACCCAAAATAAAGACCGTTTAAAGTGAAATAAGAGTCATTTTTCATTGACGCGCCTATAGTATGACGCTAACATTTAGCGCGTCTTTACACTGTGTTTGTATAACGCTAATGACGTCACGTCAAAATATATGCACGGCCGTGCAATACCATATTTACGGAGTCGCAAAATCGGCACGGGTGTGTGATAAAGAGGATTATTTCATGCCCTTTGATTAAATTCTATTTTTAGAATTGAAAGTGAAAATAGATCAAGGGGAGTAATTGTGTAAGTCATTTATGAACAAAGTAATAACTTTGTTGTCTCCCTTTGATTAAATTCTATTTACAAAATCTGGAAATTTCATCATCTTTAGTGACCTTGACCTTGTATATATTGACCTAAATTATATGTATCACAGCCATAGTCTTGATAATGACCATTTGTGCTACAATCCCTCAATAAATGATGACTAAATGGTCCATATACACATCTTCATATTTTTATCTGAACTTTGACCTCTATGTGTGACCTTGACCTTGGCCGCAAGGACCTGAATCTTGCACGCGACACTCCGCCTCACAATGGTGAACATTTGTGCCAAGTAATATTGAAATCCCTCTATACATGTGGAAGTTTTGCTCCGGACAAGCATTTTTCAATGAGCTCTAAGTGTGACCTTGACCTTTGACCTAGAGACCTGGTTCATGTGCGCGACACTGCTCCTCATAGTGGTGAACATTTATATGAAGTTTCATAAAAATCCCTCCATACATGTAGGAGATATGCTCCGGACAAAATTGGACGCCGCCCGACCGCCCGCCCGCCAGGGGCGTTCCCATAATACGTCCCGTTTTTCAAACGGGCGTATAAAAGCTGAAAAATTTAAATCAGAAATCTTGAAATTCAGGCTATTTGTTGCCATAGCAACCAGAATTTTCAACATAGGAAGAAAAGAAAAAGATGTGCATAATCTCCAGACTGCCATCTACCCATATTTTAAGTTTCATAAACATATTTTCAGTACTTTTTGAGTTTTCACTGGATCCAGTTTATGTGCTAAATTTGCCATATTTTCAGACTATTTGTTGCCATAGCAACCAGAATTTTCAACGTAGGAAGAAAAAAAAAGACGTGCATAATGTCCATACTGCCATCTATCCATATTTCAAGTTTCATAAAAATATTTTCAGTACTTTTTGCGTTATCGCGGGATCCAGTTTTGTGGATGGACGGACTGACGGACGTTCTCACAGGACAGTAATTATGTGGCTACTCTATTGTTCTCTCTATTGTTCTTTTTAGCCACACAAAAGAAAATAGCCACATAAAAGTATTACGGAATGAATGACATCAAAGAGAAAGAACAGTTACCTATTGTCCCTCTAGCCACATAATTACTCTCCTGTGAGTGTGGACTGACAGACAGACGGACAGACAGTCGGACAGACAGACAGATGGACGGAGGGTAAACCTAAAGTCCCCTCCGGTTAAACCGGTAGGGGACTAATAAAGTTATAGCCAATTATAGAAAAAAATCAAGCAGAATTCAAATAAATGACCTTGAAGGTAAAGGTCATTTATGAGTCATGTCCAAGTTTCAGTCTGGTCCACTTTAAAGGTCTTGCCCAAAGGGTTGATGTGTCTAAGCATGAAGACAATCCTTGAGAAATAAAAAGAGATAATGGCCAATGTTTAAATTTCTGGACAACAATGGGAACAACAACATGACTGTAGCAATTGCTTGAATCTTTTCTTCAGAAAAGTCAAACTTAAAATCAAGAATAAAAAATAATTTCCCAATATTCACAACAATAATATTACATCATCAGACAATTTTCAATATACCTTTAAAGTATTTATACTGTAAAGGTACAAATGATTTTGAAAATTGCATATTATAGACTCACAACAACTTTGGTACAGCTTTTTGCTAGCAACATCCTAATCAAGTTTCATCACATTTGGCCCAGCAGTTTTAGAGGAGATACTGTTTAAAAGAGCACAGTAGACAGCCTGGTCACAATTGCTCATACTGTGCTCCGGCAAGCTTAAAAAAAAATGCAAAGACATAACAATAAAGTTTTCTCAGAAATATTCAATATATTTTCTTACATTAGCAACACAAGCATATTTTCATATGACCATTTCACAAACACATTTCTTCTAACAAACTGTAAAATATCAAAACAAGCATAACTCAGTTTGTAACAGAAGTAATTATTACAAAATGTATAAATCATTGTACAGAAATTGCCAAAAATATAACAATCTCAAGCAAAACTAGAACTGTGTCCAAAGGACACGGATGCCCCCACTGACAACATATATATGGTATATAGTGAAAAAATCAACAAAGGGCCATAATTCTGTTCAATTTGGTGGCAGCAAAAAATCCTTCCATCTACACATTAAGGTTGTTCATCCCTGGAAGTTTAAGCAAAATCTGCCATCCGGTTTAAGAGTTGCGTTCACAAAATTTCTATATGGTATATAGTGAAAAAAATCAACAAAGGGCCATAATTCTGTTAAATTTGGTCGCAGCAAAAATTTCTTCCTTTACTACCATCTACACATTAAGGTTGTTCATCCCTGAAAGTTTAAGGGTTTAAGAGAAGTTGCATTCACAAGATTTCGGGACGTACGGACGGATTGACAGCCGTAGGGACAAGTGCAACGCTATATGCACCCCACTTTGTGGGAGCATAAAAAGAGTTTATCTGTTGCTGTGTGTTAAACAGTGTAACCTCTGCAGAAAGGCCCTCTGTAGAGCAATAACCTCTTTACAACACTGTTATCAATTTTCCCCAACAATATTAACCTCTCTAGAGAAACACCTCTCAGAAATAACCAGAATCATTATCTCAAAAAGTGTGTTGCCCTGCAGAGGCTGCATTGGCATTCTAAACAAATAAAAATTGGCAATATGTTTAACATGTACTGGTAAATGCATAATAACTCATCAGTAAGGAGATAGAGGAACTTCTATTTTCTGTGTTTTATAGTAAAGTTAAAGCAAGTTAAAAACAAAGGGGAATAATTCAGTCAACATAATAAAATAATTCAGTCAACATAATAAAATACAAAGGTGGCATGTTTGGAAAATGACCCAAACATATGCTTGAGGTTTCAAGTGAACACCTTCAGCTGTTGCATTGTTAGTTTTATAAGCTTGATATTAACCAGTATTTTTTTTTAACAAAGGGCTGTAATTTATGTAAGAGTTATGTGTCCTGGAAAGTGACCTACACTTATGATCTTCAAAACATGTTAGCATTTCAAGTTAATACTATTTCCTACTCTTCTTTGTACAACATGAATTTTGTGTTTAATTCAAAATCTATGTAAGAGGTATGGGTGTTAAACAGAGATCACCAATTATGATAAAATAGACTAATGTGAAGTTTTAAGTCAACAGCTCCAATATTTGTTGAATTTGACCTTGCATGCAAAAACTTAGAATTTCACATACGGCTTTAATAGATAAAATAACTGTGCTAAAGTAATGGTTTTAAAGTGTGAAGTTTCAAATGAACAAGTTTATAGAGTAATTAAATATGAAGTTACACATATTTAACCATTAAACAAAGCTTTCATGTTAACATTAATAATAAGATAACCCCATTATGATTCTACGTTAAAAATCATGTAATTTTAAAAACAAAACATACATTTTTAAAATTAAATTTAAGTTCAAATTAACAAAGTAATTTATTAATTATGTAAATCAACTAGTATATATGTATAATAATAAGAAACACTTTTAGCAGAAAAAAAAAATTGTTGCCCAAAAGTCAGAAGGTGCCATTTCAAAAGTTAATATTTCATCACAAAAACAACAGCCTTAATGTCAGAAAGATATCAACTATCTATGACTTTGGTTAACTGAAATTGCAAGAGGAATAGTCTGTACATACTTTATTACCACCTTTTTTATTCAAGGGCCATAACTCAGCGTAAAATCATTCAACCATAGAACCGTGTAATATGCTCAATTGCTCATGTACTTCAGCTATAGATCAATGTCTGTGAAGTTTCACTGAAATTGCGTAAGTGGTATAGAGGTGTAGTCCGGACAAACTTTGAAAATAAAAATCATCAAATGACAATAACACTGATGAAATTCATTCAAAATGCCTACGATATGCAGAACTAAACTTGGTACTGATTGGATGAGATTGCACCTGTATTTTCAGAGGAGTTATCAGGACAAGCACCTTTTTTATTTTCTTTTGAGAAAAAAAAAAAAAACTAATACATATTATCTAAAATAGTTTTCTCTTTTACGAATTGGTATATGTCTATTGTTGTGCTATAACTTGATCTAAGATATAAGCTGGAAAGAGTAAACAATATTTGCATTAAAATCTAAAATTCACTACCCTGAATAAGACTTTACTTGTTAAGACATTATCCCAATTTACATCTAAAAAACTACTTATTCGTTCCAATGACTTTAACATTTTTGTACAATACTTTGGTTTTTTGGAGTAGTTTGTTCAAAGATTGTTTGTTAATTTCTTTATTTACTTTCAACACTAATACTTTACTTTTCTTTGCAGGAACTGCTGTTTCATCATCTGACTCTCCTATCTTGCTGAATTCATCACTAACTGACACGGACTGTTCAGATATTAATCCTTTGTTACTGTGTTCTTTTGAGATTGTTACATTTGTATTGCCTGTATTCACTATGGATTCCCCTTGCTGTTCTTTCTTGCTGGTTCAGTTTCATTTGCCCTTTTCTTAGGCATTGGTGTGCTAATATATTTAGTATTTAGCTTTTTCGTATTCCCATAATATGTACAAGCTGGGAATTGATGGTCACTCAAAGTTACTTTAGCTTTCACTATTCTCTGAGTTGACTTTGCTGAAACATTATCTTTGCTTTTTCCTTTTATCTACCTTGTCAACATTATTTGATGTGACAGAATCATCTAAACTCTTATTTGATTGGCGTATCTGTGTAGTATTCCTTTTGACATTTTTACTTGTTGGCACTGTATTTCCTGAAGAGTTCATGCCTGGAATTTTTATCCAATCCTGAAATTCTGCTCTTTGAACTAAAAAAAAACCGGCTTGACTTTGCACTACTACAAACTGATCTGAAGCATTCATCCCTAATGGATTTACCATAGTTGGCATATTTTGAGGAGTTATGAAACTGGTTCATTAAATTTTGGTTTGGTATCATCATCACTGGATTTGTTGCTGTGCTCTGTATGCCAATATTGGCTGGAAACATAGATGGAACATTCTTAGTCCCACTTATAAACAGTACCTGTTGTTTTATTGTTTGTATTTACAACACCAGTAGAACTATTATGTACAGAGGTCCCATTACTTGATGAAACTTGCTTCAACAGTACTTTGTGTCACGGTGTTTAATTTTTCACTTGGGACTGAAATGGTCTCAACATTCTTTGAGACAGTTGATTTCTCAATTCTTAAAGGTGTTGCATAATATGTATCCTCGTTTTCAGAGTCCTCATTTGACAGACCAGACATGCTATTCACCGACTCAGAAACTGTCGCATCGGAATTAATTTTTTGAGGAGAGGCATCTGGACTGGTAATTTCAGATTGTACATCATCTTCTCTGATGATTTCTTCATCATCAACAGTAGTACCATCTGCTTTCATTGGGAATATTTTATCATGCACAACTTTTGATTTAATTGTCGACTGTTCCCCCTTTGAAGCCAGTTTTGATACATCATCACAATTCATAGTTTTAGTCTGGATACACGATTCATCAATAGAAATGTCGGTATCATCTGTGCTTGTTGCTGATTCAGGCTGTTCCATTGTATTTACAGTTTCAGTATTTGTATTTACAGTTTCAGTATTTGTATTTACTGTGTCAGTATTTGTATTTACTGTGTCAGTATTTGTATTTACAGTTTCAGTATTTGTATTTACTGTGTCAGTATTTGTATTTACTGTGTCAGTATTTGTATTTACTGTGTCAGTATTTGGCAATGCTGCATCAGATTGAACAGAACTTACTATTTTCTGTTGTTGAGTATTTAAAGCAGCTGTGTTATGAATCAATGGCACATTCTGAGCAGTAACAAGATTTGTGTTAGGTAAACCAGTCATATTTTGTGGAAAGATGTATGGTGTTGTCAATCCTTGATTGGGAATGAAATATACAGGAGGTGTACTCTGTCCTACAATGTTTGCTCCAAGGTTGATATTCGGTGTAATATTGCTGTGGAGACTGTTCCTCAAACCTGCTACTTCCTTTTTTAGTTCACTCAGCTGATCAACAACTATATCCATAGCAACAGGGTTGTCTACTGGTGATTTTTTATCTGATTCGGAAACATTTTTCTTTGTAAAGAATTTCTTTGGTATTGCACTAGCAGCAGATTCACCTAATGATGCATGAGAATTGTTGGAATTATTCCCTTCAGTGATTGGTGATTCTGAGGTATCATCATAAATGCAGGCTTCTCTTTTTAACTCTGAAATTTTCGCCTTCAGTTTCTCCACTTCTTTGCTATGCCTCTCCTTCTGCTCTGATATCTGTGATAAGAAAAAAAACAATCAAATTTATTTTTTGGACCAAATGCTAACAATTAATAAAGTAATCTTAAAATGAAAAGAATCAGCCTGCATTTTCACAAGGGCTTATACATTTACACAGTAAAAAGTCTAAATAAAATGAATTCAACAGATCAGATTTCTTAGATAAAAATCTGCATTACAGCTCAAAGCTGGCGCTGACATTAACTTTCTATGTAGATCGTTAGTTACTTAAAGTATTCCAACATATCCACTATAAGAAGTAAAACTGAATTCGCTGTCAATTTGCAAAAATGCAATTAGAACTGCATATAAAATATTTCAGCTTTTAGTGGTATCTTGTATGTAACACATTGTTTCACTGAGGTTGACATAATGACATTTATTCAATTTTATTTGAGAACCTGTAAATCCAAGGCAGAGTAACAGCATACACAGAAAAATGGCATACAGTTTAACCTTTGATTCATAAGTATAAATTTGGCTACAATTTTAGATACAACACACTACAAATGTGCTCAAAGAAAATCACCTTTACTTTTCAAAGGCATGAGGCAAAGTTATGAAAAATAATCAATTGAGGACAACCACTTATTAACTATTGAGGACAACCACTTATTAACTATTGAGGATAACCACTTACAGTTTCTTCAAGAAAATCAATATATGAATTCTGAAGACAATTCTTCCTTTCCAACTTTTTATTTTTCATTTCAACTTCTCGAATCCTTGTTTTCAATAGGCTGACATCAGGGTACTCAGGATATGATACCACAACATTTTCCTGTCCAGCTGTGGGAATTTGCTGAAAAATAAAGAAATTTTCATATTGTACTTTAAACTACGGTAGAAATGTTTCCATAGAACATTGATGCTCCTACTTCATATGTCTTTCACAGTAATTGCTAATTAAGTATGTATATTCTATAAATGCATATTAACTATTATATCTATATAAATATAGTAGTAATTTTAAACAATACCAAACAATAAAATGTAGTGCAATTATGTACTTATGTATTATTTATATACTCACAAATTTACATATTATCAAATGTTGAAAAACATATTACCTCATACCATACAAACTGGTTTATTTTGTTACTGGTACTTTACCATAATTTAATAAACATCCACTGAGGCATAATCATTTACTTAAATGTTGGCAAAACTGAATGTCAAATAGATATTGAAATGGCAATCTCCTGGATTAGACCCCAATGTATATTTCAGAAGTAAATAGAAGTATAATACACTATAGAAAACGGAATGAACCATATATACACTCCTGGTTTAGACACCGAGGTCTATTCCAGGATATAGCCAATGAAATAGGGGTATGTTTATTCAGCAACAATCAATTATGACTACAAAAATGAAGTAAATTCATGAATTTGCAAATATAGACAAAATACATATTTTGGTAAGAAAGCGTGGAAATTTTCAAAAAATTTTAATTTAAAGTCTACGGTAATTTTCAAAAATTGATGGCCTAAATCAAAAATTTGTGAACATGGTCAATATTTTACCATTTCTCATGTTAACAAGAATAAAATAGCATCCAATGGGGCATAAAAAATGTTGTTAGTCATTAACTTATAAAAATAAATGTAAGCTACAATAAGATTTAATTACCCAGGCATCTCTATTTATTCTGTTTTATCAAAATCATCCAAGGGCTAGAGGAGATGTTATCCAAGTCTTATTTCTGTATTGAGCATAAAACCTTTTTTGTAAATTTTGTTAAAGACCACATCAAGATCATTTTTTATGTTAAGGTTCATTTATAATTTGTCAATTACCAATGCACCATGCTATGTAGAATTGTATTTCTGAGTAAGTATGTGAGCGAGTGAGTTGGTGAGTGAGTGAGTGAATTGGTGAGTGAGTGAGTGCATAATGCCTTTCTTTAATGAGGCTTACACATTCAGTTTTTCTCGATCTTCTACGTGGGCCTCAAAAATATAACAAGAGCTGTCGGTAGGACAGCAACGCTCGACTATTCTTAGTGCTTGATAGTAAAAAAAATGCTTGATACAGTTACCTCCTCCTGTTTACAGGTTGGGGTCATGATGGTGAACAAGTGTGCAAAGTTACAAACCCATATGTCAATGGACTTTGAAAATATTTGAACTATTACAAAAACTTTAACGTAAATTCTTAGTCGAAAAAGGGGCATAATTCTGTCAAAATGCTTGATAGAGTTACCTCCTCCTGTTTACAGGTTGGGGTCATGATGTTGAACAAGTGTGCAAAGTTTCAAAAGCCATATGTCAATGGACTTTGAAAATATTTGAACTATTACAAAAACTTTAACGTAAATTCTAAGTCGAAAAAGGGCATAATTCTGTCAAAATGCTTGATAGAGTTACCTCCTCCTGTCTACAGGTTGGGGTCATGATGGTGAACAAGTGTGCAAAGTTTCAAAGCCATATGTCAATGGACTTTGAAAATATTTGAACTATTACAAAAACTTTAACGTAAATTCTAAGTCGAAAAAGGGGCATAATTCTGTCAAAATGCTTGATAGAGTTACCTCCTCCTGTCTACAGGTTGGGGTCATGATGGTGAACAAGTGTGCAAAGTTACAAAGCCATATGTCAATGGACTTTGAAAATATTTGAACTATTACAAAAACTTTAACGTAAATTCTAAGTCGAAAAAGGGGCATAATTCTGTCAAAATGCTTGATAGAGTTACCTCCTCCTGTCTACAGGTTGGGGTCATGATGGTGAACAAGTGTGCAAAGTTTCAAAGCCATATGTCAATGGACTTTGAAAATATTTGAACTATTACAAAAACTTTAACATAAGTGGTTACGCCGACGCCGACGCTCGGGTGACTGCAATAGCTCTACTTATTCTTATCGAATAGTCGAGCTAAAAAGTAAAACCTATCCCCTGGCCCCGTGTTCACAAAGATTTCAGGATCAGGATCAAGATCAGGATCAAATTGAAAAACTCTAATATTCTTCATTTTTTATTGTCATATATTAAATATCTAATATTAATTTGATAAAACTGGACTTGCAATAGCAAATTAATGAAGTTTTAGAATAAATTTATTGTTATTTTTACAAGATACGGACATTTTACAGTTGATCCAAATATTGATCCTGATCCTAAAACTGATCCTTATTTTGATCCAAATATTTTTGTATTTGTGTTGTTATTTTCTAATTTTATCCCAAAACAGTTTGATTTATTTTCAAATCGGCAATTTTTTACATTTTTAATAATTATTATTTAATTCTAGCAAATCACAATAAATTTTAGTAACATAAAACAATGAAAATAAAATCAGGATCACTTGATCCTGATCCTGATCTTTTCTTTGTGAACACGGGGCCAGGACCACACCAATTTTAACCCCAGGGCTTCAATTTGAACAAACTTGTTAGAGGCCTACTAGATGTTCCATGCTGATTATCTTAGCTGTATTATTATGGCTTGAGAGGAGATGATTTTTAAAGAAAGCTTGGTAGAAGTCCACTACACTTTCAGAGGAGATGATTTTTCAAGTTTTTTCTTTCAGCAGTTGCCATGGAAATCTAAGTTCTGCATGGAATGCATTTTTTTGAACAACTTTTAAATTAGCATCATACCTAGAAAGATTTGATTTAATTGACCTTGTGGTTTAGGATGAGATGTTTTTCAAAGAAGTGTGGACAAATGTATTTGTGATTAGCCACAGATGGTGATTGATAACAAAAGCTCACCTTAAACACCTTGTGCTCTCATGAGCTAAAAGTTATGAAGTTGACTCATTACATTACAGCTATAAATAATATAAACATCTTGATATTTCACCTCAGATGTATAAGTGGACAGCACATTTCCATGTTCATCTTCCTCTACATACAAAACATCATCATGTACGCCAAGTCCTGTATCAGTGTATGGCCTCTTGGAAGGACTATGTCCACCAACATATTCTGTGAACCAAAGGTATATTAAACATGAAAAAATATATAGAGCATTTGTAAAATGCTGTACTCTATACAAGAAGGCCATTAAACTTTTTTATAGAATTTATTCCAGCTTGTTTTCATGGTAACCTGACTTTTCATAAATAAATGAAGCCAACTAAAACTGGCTTTAATATAAACTGTAAAAAAAATTGTTTCTGAAAAATATTTGTCTAGTTCTATGTTATTGTTCAAACAGAAAACAAAGTTTTTGAGGTGTAGACTTTGTAATTAAGGTGTTTGTCCCTCATCTTAGAAATTGCAGGTTTAACCTTACTTGTGATTCTTTAAATGACAACAGTTTGTGCTTACTTTAGAATTACTAACATTAGCTCTATACTTTGTTCAAATTCAGCTTAAATATATATAAATATTATACTGTTCAAACTAAGGGTGTCACGTTTATCCGGTTAGAAAATTCAGTAACCAGTAACTGAGGTTAGTATTTGACCAAGGGCCGGAAATGTTTTAAATTGATTCTAAATATTACCTTCCTTTTTTTATGACAAGATATGACAATTATTTGTGTTTTAGTTGTACTCAACAATATATTTTTTCCAAACTGATGGAATACAGTACAACCCTAGCAGAAAATAGTTACTTCATATTCGGATATGTATTATCATTTTGAGTACAACAAAATATGAACAAAATAGGATATCTTGCCATAAAGAAGCAAAGTTAATATTAAAAATCTAAGGATTTTATGAGTACAGTCGGCTAAATTTTTAACATGGTTATTACATCACCGTTTAAAAGGTTAGCATTTTTTCTAACTGTGACACCCCCAGTTCAAGCAGAAAACAATAACTAACTTGAAGGGCTAAGACTGTTCCCAGGCAGTGGGGTATGTATTCCAATACCATGAAAATCCTGTGTATTATTTACAGCAGATACACGCATTTCTATACCATGGAGAGTGTTCTGAATTTCATAGATAGTTGATGTGCTTGAAGTTAATGAATTTACATCCTGAAATAAAATGATCTTATGAGTAAGAAAAAAAAATGCCTGATAAAATATAAAATATCTGAAAAGAAACTATGATTTCCAAATTTGTTGTTATGTGGAGAACTACAAGGTCATGCTACTTATTAAATATCTAAAGTCTCAGCATTGTAGTTTCTGAAGAGATTTTTAAAATCTGATACTTTTACAAGTCAATGTATATAAGTCACAAATGTGACCTAAAGGCCAGACCATTTTCCAATAAAATTAAATGTTAACTTATTGAAAGTTAACTTACTGAACCCTAGGGCAGGGTCATTTTTAAGTCAAGGTACATAATTTACAGAACTTTAATAGAGGTCCACAAGGCAATGCTACATGCCAAGTATGTTAGCACTGTATATTAGAAGTAGATTTTACAATTGTGGTTCTTTTATAATTCTTATAGAGTACTGCCATATCTGTGAAGTTTGATTAAAATCTATCATGTAGTTCAGGAGATGTTGTTAAAAGACTTTGCGGATAACAATAGAAGACAGACATGACTTTATCAAACAAGGGTGCCATAGTCACAAAATACGCCCGTTTACGAAAGCTTTAGATGGAGATGGGGGCATTATGGATAAGTGTTATCTAGCAAGCAAGTTTTTATTCTTGGCACTGTGTTGTTAAATGAACCTTAAAACAAATCAGTAGGGAAGATATGCACAGGATCTGTGACCTTGACCTTGGTCGCAGGGACCTGAATTTTATGCACGGCACTCAGCCTCACAATGATGAACATTTGTGCCAAATTATATTGAAATCCCTCTATGCATGTATTGCTCCAGACAAGCGTTTTATTATGAGCTCTAACTGTGACCTTCACCTTTGACCTAGAGATTTTTGGTTCATGTGCAGGGCACTACGTCTCATGGTGGTGAACAATTCTATAAAGTAACATTAAAATTCCTCCATGCATGTAGAAAATATGCTCTGGACAACATCTGGATATTTAATCATCTCCAGTGACCTTGACCTTGCAAATATTAACCTAAATTAAATGTGTCACACCTGTAGTCATGATAGTTATCATTTGTGCTACAATCCATCAATAAATGATGACTAGATGGTCCCTATACACATCTTCAAATTTTTATCTGAACTTTGACCTCTATGTGTAACCCTGACTTTGGCCGCAGGGATCTGAATTTTGCGTGCGACACTCAGCCTCACAATGGTGAACATTTGTGCCAAGTTATATTGAAATCCCCCTATGAATGTAGAAGTTTTGCTCCGGACAAGCGTTTTTCAATGAGCTCTAAGTGTGACCTTGACCTTTGACCTGGAGACCTGGATCATGCATGGAGCAATACATATCATGCTGGTGAACATTTCCATAAAGTATTATAAAAATTCTTCCATACATGTAGGAGATATGCTCCAGACAAAGTCTGGATATTTCACTATCTTTAGTGACCTTGACCTTGCATGTATTGACCTGAAGTACATGTGTCACAGCCGTAGTCATGATAATGACCATTTGTGTTACAATCCCTCAATAAATGATGATTAATTCGTCCCTATACACATCTTCATATTTTTATCTAAACTTTGACCTCTATGTGTGACCTTGACCTTGGCTGCAGGGACCTGAATTTAGTGCGCGACACTCCGCCTCACAATGGTGAACATTTGTGCCAAGTTATATTGAAATCCCTCTATGCATGTGGAAGTTTTGCTCCGGACAAGCGTTTTTCAATGAGCTCTAAGTGTGACCTTGACCTTTGACCTAGAGACCTAGTTCATGTGCGTGACATGGCTTCTCATAATGGTGATTATTTCTATGAAATTTCATTAAAATCCCTCCATGCGTGTAGGAGATATGCTCTGGACAAAATCTGGATATTTCATCATCTTTAGTGACCTTGACCTTGTATATATTGACCTAAATTATATGTATCACAGCCATAGTCTTGATAATGACCATTTGTGTTACAATCCCTCAATAAATGATGACTAAATGGTCCATATACACATCTTCATATTTTTATCTGAACTTTGACCTCTATGTGTGACCTTGACCTTGGCCGCAAGGACCTGAATCTTGCGCGCGACACTCCGCCTAACAATGGTGAACATTTGTGCCAAGTAATATTGAAATCCCTCTATACATGTGGAAGTTTTGCTCAGGACAAGCATTTTTCAATGAGCTCTAAGTGTGACCTTGACCTTTGACCTAGAGACCTGGTTCATGTGCGCGACACTGCTCCTCATAGTGGTGAACATTTCTATGAAGTTTCATTAAAATCCCTCCATACATGTAGGAGATATGCTCCGGACAAAATTGGACGCCGCCCGCCCGCCAGGGGCGTTCCCATAATACGTCCCGTTTTTCAAACGGGCGTGCGTATAAAAAGTTCATCTCTCAGGCACAAAGAGCTAATAAAGAAATTTAGATTTATAAACAGTTTTCAACAATACAATATTTACATCACAATTTACCTGTGCTATATGAACTTGAAAACTGGAGCCAAATTCATTCAAATGTCTCTTGTAATGTATAGAACAATCTGGGCGCTTTTCAATGGCATTTGAACAGGCAAAACAATGCCAGTGACCATATCTAAATGTTTTATTATTGAGGTATTTAGTTTCAATTTGACATGTATCAAGGCACCGCAGTATTTTCATACCTGAAATGCAAATCATCTGTTTTACTTTTGATTGCAAACTTTGAATCGCAAAATGTTCAAACAGAGGTATTACTAAAACAAACAAGCTAATTTCTACCTATCACAAATTTAATTCGCATCATATTAGAGACCTTAAAAACAAAGTCTGTACATTTACACCAACTAAAAATTTGTCCATAGGACATGGGTGCCCCCACCGCACCACTGTTCTGTCAATCTTATGACTCAAGGTCAAATATTTTTTGAAAACTAAAAATCTTTTACTAAGTAAAGGGCAAGAACTTGACAAATACGAATAAATCCACAAGCAAACCCAAAGGTGCATAAGTACACATGCTGACCAACATTCTTGTAAACTTTCAGGCCTACAAGTGAAATACTTTTTGAGCTATGCATGAACAAGTTGAAAATTGCAAATTTATACTACTGTAAGTCAAGGGCAATAACTCTTACAAAACTGAGAAAATCCACATGCAAAGTCCCAGGTGCATAGCTTCATAGTGATGTGAATCATTATTCCTGTAATTTAGTGATGTTGATCATTATTCCTGTAAAGTTGGTTGATTCTAACTCAAGCACTCAACATAATGAAACGGTTTTTACTAAGTCAAGGGAAATAACTCTGGATAAATCCGCAAGCTAAACCCCAGGTGCAAAACTAAATATGCTGAGCAACCTTTACCTAAGGTTAAATGACTCTTTGTCAAATCCTTTATGAGTTACATGCAACACAAGTTGAAAATTGCAAAAAAATTCCAAGTCAAGGGCAATAACTCTAAAAATACTAAATTAATGCAGACTAAAATACCCAGGTGCACAACTACACATGCTGATCAACATTCCTGTAAAGTTCCTGACTCAATGTCAAATCCTTTTTGAGTAACATGCGACACAAGTTGAAAATTGCAAAATTTTACTATGTCAAGGGCAATAACTCTACAAATACTAAATAAATCCAGACGAAAATACCCAGGTGCACAACTACACATGCTGATCAACATTCCTGTAAAGTTTCATGACTTTAGATCAAATAATTTTTGTGTTACACGCGACACAAGTTGAAAATTGCAAAATTTTACTAAGTCAAGGGCAATGACTCTAAAAATACTAAAAATATCCAGACGAAAATACACAGGTGCACAACTACATATGCTGATCAACATTCCTGTGAAGTTTCTTGACTCTAGATCAAATACTTTTTGAGTTACGTGCGACACAAAAGAGAACGGACGGACGGACGGACAGACAAGGGTAAATCTAAATGCCTGCCACTAAAGTGGGGGCACAATAATTAAAAAGAAACAAGCAAATAATATAATGTCTGTCTTTCTTGTTTTGCCCACATGTTAAGCTCAATAAGACAGCATAAGATTTGCAATCCAGGGGTCAATGGTTTGATCCTCAAGTAAGGCTAAATTTCTCTATGATATTTGATTCAGGACATTAATTCTTGTTTGTTTTTCTTGATTTAACAAATGTTTTTTCGACATATCTTGCCAGTAAATCCACCTGATCATCTTTCCTTGATTGTAATTATAATCAGTTATTATGAATTGTAACATTGTAATCAGTTATTACCAGTTTTTCCATGAATGTAAAACTACTAATCCCATATAATTTCTGAATTAATAATTGGATGATAAACAGTGATACATCTGTCTTGTTTCCTTTGTCATTTGATAAGGTGGACAGACCCCTGAGATCAACAAATGTGTAAATAAACTAAACAGAAGCTCTGCATTGTCATAAACTCACCTCTTGTCTTACCACTACATTCTATAATGATTATTAAGTTTACCAACTTTCGAAATGTTTGAGAAATGAGCTATTATTTTAATTTTTCAACATCACGGTTTTAATGTAGGAGTTCTTTAGTCCAATCAAATCCACAAATAAATGACAAAATTAAGCCAATTAATTTATTGCAGGGGCATTTAGATTTGCCCTTGTAAATGCTTCAGTCCGTTCTAATGTTGTGTCATATGTAGCTCTAAAAGTGCTTGCGCTAATAAAAGTGCTTGCGCTAATAAAAGTGCTTGCGCTAGAGCCAACAAAATTGACAGGAATTTTGATAAGTATGTGGAGTTGTGCACCTAGGGTTTTGCTTATAGATTAATTCAGTTTTGACTTAGTAAAAATTGGTGAGCTTGACAGTGTCACATAAATCCAACCTTAAACAACATAAAAACAACATAAATTATCATTTCAACTTCTAACCACTTTGCACAATGTTCTTGATCACAGGGTTCAATATTTAAAATACTTACCAGAAAACTCCAAAGCTTTGTCAACATGTTCTTTTGTATAATGTGCCTTCAAGAGTGATATATTTGTGTACGAATCAACTTTAGAGCAGAATGGACAATGCATGTGGCCATCTACTAGAGCGCAATCTTCATCATAACATTCTACTGGAGTAAACTCACTTTCTGTACCCTTCAGTCGAACACTTGCATGTGTCTATTTAAAGAGTATAAAACTTGCATTTAGACCTATATAATGAATGGTTGATGGTCGGAAAATTCTTCCCCCCTTGACATGCCTGTGGTAAAGATATCTTTGCCTAAATAGTCATGCAATTTCAGACAATTTTTTTCAAAGTTAGAAGTCTTTGAAACAAAATAAAGGACAACTTTCTACAAAATTGGCAAGACACTTGGACATTAAGCATTTTCAAATATCATAAGTGGTTGATGTCATAAACTTCATACAAGAATATTTAAGTACAAATTCAAGCTAGATTTATGGGTCTTGTAAGGACTCAAACGAATGTCTCTGCTATACATGTTTTTAAAGACAGATTAGTGAGTGGCAAGTGGTTTGAAGTCAACATCAACCACTCCGCCATAGATGCCCCTCTTTTTAAAGTTTTTAAATGAATATTATTTAAGGAAAAAGAATGACTGAGTTGTAGTTCTTGGTTAGTAGGTTTACTGAATTAAACTATGATGCTGAGGTTTTAACTGAATACCTTTAGGGAACTTGCAAAAAAAATTATCAGATTCATACAGTTCTGAAATTTGACAAAATAATTAACCACTGTCACCCAGAACAAAATGTTTGAAATTTTAAGTGCCTATCTTCAGTAAATATGAATATTATGCAGTCAAAAGCCATACTTGAATAACTGACCTTAGGCAGTGAGTGATATAATACCAATAAAATCTGGGTACACATAAAGGAAGTGAAAAACACCATTAAAGATGAAAGAAATATGTACAACCATCTTAAACTAAGTGTTATCATGCCAAGCCAAAGTGAGGAAGATAAATATACCTTGAATACTTAAATAGTTCAGCTTAAGTTTAAATGTTTGTTGTATCATTTATTATATAAGTCCTACACATTACATTTAACACAATTTCAAAATTAATAATGTCATTTGAAAAGTACAATATGTACAAATATGTAAAATTTGGACGTTTACAAACCTGTTTATCCGTGCTAGCATTAGCAAAAACTATGCACAGGTGCAGCAACAATATCAGGTTCTGTCTTGTAAATGGCTTACAGGCTTTAGCAAACATCTCATTTGGAACTTGTCCAGTAATTTCATAGTAAAGTAACATCAACTCATGAATATCCATATCTTCAAGTTTCTGATCTTTTCTCGGTCGAGCAGTCAATGCAGGTATTTCAAGAACATCCTTAAAATGTAATGCCAAGTTTGACAAATCTTTCCCTCTTAAACTTGAAGATTTTTGTAACACCAGTCCTTTACGTACATGTTCGTCATATTCCTGTCAAAAGAAAATGCAATGTTAAATGCAAGTGAAGCACTTTTCTCTCTTTGCACTAAACATATTTCTTGCATAAAACCTCCTCACACAGTTTCAGTTACAAAGAGGAAAACATGCATTAACAGATAAACTCATGTAAGGCACAGCACATGCCATTAATGAATGTTTAAGAAATAATATCAGTTTCAGTGATATTTATCAGCTCTTAAACACTGGTTTGGAGTTTTGATACTTAGGAATTGACCATGAAGGTCATAGGCCTGAGGGGTTAATTTTTTCACATCAAAATGATGCCTTTAGTTTCATAACTGTCAAATGACATTGCTCTAGCACATGGATAGCATGACAAGATGGGTTCATTATACTAAAAATGGAAAACAAAACATAGTATTATGGACCTAGACATATACTTTTGTAATGCACCTTATTTTTGTGAATCAACTTCTGAAGCCATCATAAATTTTAAATTCCTTTCTCTTTGGACTGGGGCTTTAAATGTTGAAGTCTTTGAAATTGGAAAAAAAGCATCGATCTCTAGTGTCAAAATTATGAAATTAGTCATGCCTGGGTTAAAGTGCAAGTATTTGAAGTTTAAAGTTAATTCTTTACATAATAGATTGAACATATGAAGCTGCAAAAAAGAATTTGACAAGGAAACTGACTTGGTAATTTAAATCAAGAATTAATAGTGTTGTTAATAACTTACATTAACTATTCTGTTACATCCTTCACTCTTCTTGTGGTTTAATGCCTTGTGTTTAGGTGGACGTATTACTGGGCAAGGTTCATGATTATGATTAGTCTCTATATGAACATAAACCAACATAAAACGCTTTGTTTCTTCACTGAATTCATATCTCAATCTTCCTGCCATTTTTTTAATACTCCCCGAGGTGGGTTTATCAACATCAACCTGCAAGTAAAATCAGAAACATCTTATCGGCAGTAGTCAAAACAATTAACTTAGGTATAAAGAGGATATTGTTTAGTTTCAAGTGAATACTTCAGGTGTGTAGAAGATTGATGTTGCATGCAAAACTTAACCTTAGGAATCAGTAAAAATCTACATCAGAGTTATGGGCCTGGGAAATGACCACCTCCAATTATCATCAAATACCAGTTTGTCTTACAACTGCATATGGTCATGATAAGTAAATATTTAAAGTTTTTTGTTAATACTTTTTAACATGAAATATTTTTAACAACAAGAATGAACAATCATAATAGCTACTGTCTCTTTAAAACAGACAGGCTAAAAATTAAATTAAAAAAAAAACAAGAATTTCATGTTCATTAATTTACTACTCGACTTTTGTTAAGCACCAAATGTTTTTGTGTTTTTGTTTTTTTTGGCATTGAGTTAATTACCATCACACAAACATTTTAATGTCAATTTCATGTTTAATCAATTTAGCTCAAGGACAAACCAACAAAACTAACATTTTTTCTTACTGATTTTGAACTAGTTATGTGTTAGTAAAGAAGTGGATCATTTATATCAGAGATATTTTGGATATGCAAAACTTGTTTTTCAAATTTTCACAATCTCATTAACATTTACAGATTGAGACTCAGTAGTCACTAGTGTGTATGTAACCCATTGCAATAGACAACTGCTTGGCAAGTCTTTCTTATGCTCCCTATGAGATTTCTGGCAGCTCTAGAGGGGATGGCATCCTAATCTTGTACCAAAATAGCCTTATTCTCCTGGATGTTTCTGGTTGCACCTGGTGAGCTAACATTGACCCTCAGAATCATTAAGTATGCCTCGCTTTTGCAAACTGTCTTTATGACGGGCCTGGATCTAAAACTGTTGTTGTCATCCTTTGTCTGCCTCAGGCATACCTTCTAATTGATTAACCATTCTGTTGGCACCTTGCCCAGACTCTAATGATATTGGTGTAGTGTCCACTAAGCACCACACTAACCTCACAGTGTGTGTCCCCTGCTCTACTATCCTAACACCCTCCACATCTCTGCTTCAAATGCCATCTTATTATAGCATTTGACAGGTCAAAGTGACCAATGTATAAAATTGTTTGACCTTTGAATGATCAATAATATGTTATAACTGTTAATAAGGACAATACAGTGTATCTGCTCCCACTTAAAAAACAATACCTGTCATAGGAGTAAAGGAAACAGAAAAAAATTGGTTCTGATATAAATTTACTTTTGTATCAGTATCAAGAAAGCACTTAAATGTTAAACATTTTTACCTATTTAATATACATTTGACTATGTTCAAAAAGGTTGTGGTGGAAATTTTTGTGATACATTAATCTGATATTTTGATTTTGACAGGTTTGGGTCACATAGGGATCTATCCATATAGAAGTTGTAGTAAACGAGAACCGGTTGAACTGGGTGATGCTCCCCAAATAGGTTTTGGACACAGGAAAGTATACCTCTTGTAGTGTCAGAGTTATGTCACAAAGTTCAAATTGTAAAAATGAACAAAGGGCAATAACTCAAAAATTAAGGTTCTTTTGCACTGCACTTCTATTTAATGAGATCAATCTACCTACAAAGTTTCATGTTGATACCTCTTATGGTTTCAGAGTTATGTCCTGGCAAAAGTTCAAAGTGTAAAAATTAACAAAGGGCAATAACTCCAAAATTAGGCAAGACAGAATAATGGTTCCTTTGAACTGCACTTCTACCCAATGAGATCTATCTACCTACAAAGTTTCCTGCTGATATCTCTTATAGTTTTAGAGTTATGTCCCAGACAAAGTTCAAAGTGTAAAAATGAACAAAGGGCAATATCTCTTACAGTTTTAGAGTTATGTCCCAGACAAAGTTCAAAATGTAAAAATTAACAAAGGGCAATAACTCCAAAATTAGGCAAGACAGAGTTATGTTCTTTTGCACTGCACTTCTACTTAATGAGATCTATCTACCTACAAAGTTTCATGTTGATTCCTCTTGTTATGTCCCGGACAAGAATATTATGGTATAATGGTATAAAGGGCCATTTCTTTTGTTGTTTTCTATTGTTTAATAGAGGGCCAATGACCCCTTACTCTATTATTACGGAATTAACTCTATTGTTCTCTTTTGGTCTATTTACAGTTAGATGGCCCCCTATCCTTATTTGGTAGTGCGGACGGACGTCCTGATCAATAGACGGACAAGGCGGTGACTATATGCTCACCCTTCTGGGAGCCAAAAAGTAACATTTTTTTTAAGGAAAATTGTTCAAGGGGAGATAATTCTGGAAATATTGCTTCTGGAATTATGACTATTATCACATATGATGTGGTTGATATTCAAAGTTTGATTAAATATTACAGAAGTTTTAGTAAAAAGTTTTTTATACTTTAACATGGGGAAAGTTCTCCACATACTTTGAATATCAAGCTAAAAACTAAATCTATTATGTACTTTTATCATATAGTTAAAAAAAGAAATTAAAAAAAAAAGAAAAAAAGATTCTGTATTTATTTTATTCCCGTGTTGACAAATGACGCAACGTCCCTTTAACTATACGCTAAACAGAATGTGACATTCTGTTTAGCGTATAGTTAAAGGGACGTTGTGTCATTTGTTATTTTATAAACGTCAATTTTTTCTGAAGAAGACTTAACGTCGAGAGCTTAAGAAAAGCGTTTGTTTTTATTGAACTGATTATATATCATATAGTTAGAAACTTTTGGTGCTTAGCAAAAGTTGAGTAGTATATATTCTTTGCTGAGCTAAAAATCAATACTTACCGCATAATCAGGAAATTTAAGAACCCTTTTTATCCGAATCATAGCAGAGCAACCTAATTTTTTAGAGAAAGGCGCATTCCTCTTTTTCTTACTTTGTCCAGTTTCAGAAGGATAATTCTGTAATATGAACAATTTTTACTAAGCAACATTCTTTATCTTCATGTATTATTAATATTTTTGTTGATACTTATAATAATTTCATGAGAAAAATAAAATGAATGCAAAATCAACACATTAGCCAGATGGGTAGCTCCCAACATTAACTTGTATACATACGGTAGCTGTATATCACACTTTTGTAACTCTTGGAAATTAATTATTAACTGCACCATTCTCTTCCAAAAAAAACCCCTAGAGAGCCATGATGGCCCTGAAATCGCTCACCTGAAACAAATACCTTCCATGACAAGGAACACTATAAACAAAAGCAGATATAGACATGTAAATCTTATAGTGATATCACAAAGTTCATATTTGTATCTAAAATAGTGCATGTGTAAAAACATTACATGTTGCTATTGTTAAAGGGAAAACAACAGTTCCAAAAGATCTGTATATAAGGCAAATCAATGACACCCTGGGCAGGGCAAATTTTGACCCCAGGGCTTTTATTTAGATACCCACTAGAACATGTTTCATGCTAAATATCAATATTAAGTAAATAAATAAATAAGTTCTTACTACAATGTATATACATATAAGGAAAATCAATGACCCCCTGAACAATTCCTGTGAAGTTTGGATGAAATCTGTGTGAAATTGTCTTAGTGGTATGTGAGGAGATGTCGTTCAAAGTAAAAGTTACTGACGAACGACCACAAAAGCAGACCTTGTCACTTTGTTGGGGGTGAAATACATCTAAAAAAATTCAGAAATGTTAAATGTATCTGAAACAGGCTGCTGTGGTTAATTAAGTTATATTACAACTAAATTAGAGCAATTTTTTTGTTTACATGTTAAAATAAAATTTCTTCAGCACCAAAATCATAATTTACTTTAAATTTAACTACCTTTTTCCTAAATCGTCCAAACTGGCATTCTTTTTCTTCTGTTCCTATACACACTGTTGGCAATCCATCAAATATTATTGCCTTTTCATCTCCTACATGAAATCTGTAGTTGTAGGCAATACGAAAGTTTTGTAATGACTTTATATCTGAAAAGTCAAATTAACACATTTGGTTTAAACATATTTAGCATATTATTATACCAAATGTATACATGTTGACTATAAATAAATTACAGCAGATTGGTATTAGACCAAGAGCTGCTTTAGCTCATTGCTATCTTTGAACAAAAGCTGTACAAATAATTTCTAGTATGAACAAGTCCTTAATGTTAGAGTGACAGAGCACAAACATCACAGTTTAGTCTGTACTGTAACATAAAACTGGAAAAATCTAGAAGTTCAATAGGTGTCTACATAAGTATTTTTGTGTGTGTCAAAGAAAAGCATTGATTATCCTAAACACTTATGCCTACTGACTTTACTATCACTTGATGCATGACACAGTTTTTGACTGGACAAGATTTTTTAACTGCTGGCCTTTAACCTCTAAAAGTAACCTTGGCTTTGGAAGCTAGCAGTCTAGATCTTGTGTACAACACACACTCTCATCATGCTACACATTTGTGCCAAGCTATTTCAAAACCCTTTATGCATGACAATTAAAGTTAAGGGCTGAACAAGATTCTTTTACTGCTGAACTTTGACCTGTAATAGTGACCTTGGGCTTAGAGCTTACATCTTTTTTTACATTTAAACTGGAAATAAGCATTTTATCATAAAACATTATAACAGAATACATACTCATACACATACATTTTGTAATTTTACTTTTTTTATTCTTTTTTACATAAAATATGTCTTTGGTGGCACACAGAGAAATGACAAGTTATGGACTGGACACAAAGTTGGGACTGATGGACACTCCCATTTTTTTTTTGGGGGGGGGGGATAAAAATTGCACAAATTGATTTTTCATGTAAATTCAATTATGGTTCCAATTAAACAAGCAAATTTGTTGATTTTATATCCCCCGCCGAGTACTGGTTATTACTAATACAACAACTGAAGACATAAGTTTATTTATTTATATATTTATCATGGCGTAAACAGTAATATTCTTTGTACATAATAAATATTCAGGCCAATAACAGAGCCTTAATTAACTCAGTGTTAAATAGTAATATCTGAAAAACTTAATTAACTAGGTGTTAAAGACATTTTCTACAGTTTTATGAAAAATTAATCCTTTCATAGAATTTTCTAAATTTTTTGTATGATGAGTAAAATTTAATGACGAATTTAAAAATAAAAAGAAAAATATATGTTGACGTGTTGGATTTCTTGTAAAATGGCAGTTTCCATGGTAACCGTATATCTAAAAACTGTCAAAATAGCCTAACTGTGTTATAACGAATAGAAAATGTATTATATAGCTTAAAACACACAACGAGCATTGTTTTATGCAAAGATAATTTTATTTAATGATTCTGTATGAAACAAATGATAATCTGCACATATTTCTTTAAAAAATGAGTTTTTCATGTTCCTCAACCGAACAAAAAATGAGAAAAATAAACATGAATTCTGAGAATAATTAGAGATATTGAAAAAAGTGTTTCATAGGATTTTCTAATTTTTTTGTATGTTGTGTAAAATTTAATGACAAATTCAAAAAGAAAAAGAAAAATATATGTTGGCGTGTTGGATTTTTTGAAAAATGGCAGTTTCCATGGTAACCGTATATCTCAAAATTGTCAAAATAGCCAAACTGTGTTATAATAATGTATAAAATAGCTTATTACACTCACAATAAACATTATTTTATAAAAAGCTTGCTTTATCTTAGGGTTCTGTATAAAACAAACGATAATCGGAACATATTTCTTTAAAAAATGAGTTTTCATGCTTTTTAACTAAACAAAAAATGAGAAAAATAAACATGAATTCTGTAAAAAAAATTAAAGCTATCAAGAAATTTCTTTCATAGAATTTTCTACATTATTGATATATCAAGTAACATTTGATGGTGGATTCAAAAATAGAAATAAAATATATATGTTGACGTGTTAGTTTTTTTGTAAACGGGCAGTTTCCATGGTTACCGCATATGCCAACTGTCAAAATTACCACGCTTTCTTAAGAAATATCAGTGTTATACTAAATGTATTGTCAAATATACAACAAAACAAGAGCTGTCGGTAGGACAGCACACTCGACTATTCTAAGTGCTTGAAAGTAAAAGAGCCTTGATAATGTTAAATTTTTTAAGTTCACAAAAGGGCTAATTTTTTTTTTATAAATTCATGTTATAGACCTTAGACAGAGTCTAATTATACAGTATTGGCTTGACTTTTCGGAAGGTAATGTCACAAGGGTGTTTTATTGAGTATAATAATACTAATTACCTATGAATACATAAATTTGACAGAAAAGGTACAAAGATGCTTTATTATTATGAATGCATAAAATTGTCCCAAAAACAAGCACAAACCCTTCAGTAGTTATTTAGATAACAGCTTACAAGCAAAACTTTACCATGAATTTCTAAGTTGAAAAAGGGGAGAAAAATCAGCCTAAATGCTAAATAAAGATAGAATTATGGATCTTTGTCAGTGACCTACAAGTATGACCCTAAATGCATATGTGAAGTTTTAAATAAATATCTTTAATAGTTATTGAGATATGTAAAACTTGCATGTAAACATTAACCAAGAGACTAAGTAGAAAAGGGGATATGAATCAGCCTTAATGCAAGATAGAGTTATGGAACTTGGTAAGTGACATACAATTATGACCCTCCAATTATGACCCTAAGTGCATGTGTAAAGTTTCAAGTAAATATCTTTGAAGACCTTTAACCTTTAACCAAAATTTCTAAGTTTCAAAGGGGCAAATAATTCTGCAAATATTGCAGGCAGAGTTATGCAATTTTGCACACTGATGTACATTGTTACTATAAAAAAGTATTTTAAATTTTGATGTACATTGTTACTATAAAAAAGTATTTTAAATTTCAATAGAATATCTCAAGCAATAATTGAGATATTTGACTTTACAAAAAAAGTTTTACCAAAATTTCTAAGTTCCAAAGGGGCATAATTCTGTCAATATTGTAGGCAGAGTTATCCAACTTGTCAATCTGATGTACCTTATTACTATAAATAAGTATTGTAAGTTTCAATTGAATATATCAAGCAATAATTGAGATATTTGACTTTACAAAAAACTTTAACCAAAATTTCTAAGTTAAAAAGGGGCATAATTCTGTCAATATTGTAGGCAGAGTTATCCAACTTTTCAATCTGATGTACCTTGTTACTATAAATAAGTATTGTAAGTTGTTTCAATTGAATATGTCAAGCAATCATTTAGATATTTGACTTTACAAAAAACTTAAACCAAAATTTCTAAGTTAAAAAGGGGCATAATTCTGTCAATATTGTAGGCAGAGTTATCCAACTTGCCAATCTGATGTACCTTGTTACTATAAATAAGTATTGTAAGTTTCAATTAAATATCTCAAGTATTAATTGAGATATTTTATTTTACAAAAAACTTTAACCAACGCCGACGCCGACGCCGGGGCGACTACAATAGCTCTCATATTCTTCGAATAGTCGAGCTAAAAATGTTGTAATAAATTTTTTTTTCTTTTGATGTTATATTAAGTAAATGATAAAATATCTTTTTAAAACATATCTAGGGCCATATTATTTTTTTCACTCGACTAACATACCCGAACAGTAAGCAAGTATTCAGAAATTTACAAAGAAAATAATGAAATTCGGAACATTTCTTAGATATTAATTTTGTTTTTTATTCAACACTTTTAAAATATATCATTTTAAACTTCTTTGCCCAGTTGTCTGCCAGTAATCAAGTCGCGACGTACTTTCTTCACTATACCACAAGTGGGTGGGGTAACGCGCGCAGAATTATCATCAATGCTGTCTTACTAATGCTTAGAGAAATCCTTTATGTGATGTTGTTTAAACGACCTCTTATTCTTTTGTACCGATCTCCTTTTGAACATTTAGAAATATCTATTCTGTATTATTTACTCATTATTTGCTTATAGCCGAAATTTAAACACTTATCCGAATACTATTCAACTTGACCTTCATTTGAAGAGTAATTATCCGTGATTATCTTTCTTGGAAGCGCATAATGATGCGCACAGAAAACTACCGAAAACGTCTTTAAATAGTAATATCTGGACATGGCAATTTGCCTTTTTGTACCTATGGTTCCATAAAGTTTTGTTGAAATCAATACAGTAGTTGCAAAGAAATAACAATATTGCTCTATATGCATACTACATAACTAATCAAGGGTCATAACTCTGTAATGAAGGGTCTGGTCTGAACAAGGCAACAAATTATCCACATCTCATCTTGCTATTAATGGTTCCCATAAAGTTTAATTGAATTCCAGCCAGTATTCGCAGACAAGTAGCGTGGAAACAATTATTGCTCTATATGCATACTGTATAACTAATCAAGGGCCATAACTCTGAGTTAGTGTCTGACAGGAACAAGGCGATGATATGCACATCTCCTCTTGGTATTGATGGTTCCATAAAGTTTGCCCTATATGCAAACTGCATAACTAATCAAGGGTCATAACTCTGAGTTAAAATGTCTGACCGGAAAAGGCGATGATATGCGCATCTCCTCTTGGTATTGAAGGTTCCCATAAAGTTTCATTGAATTCCAGCCAGTAGTTGCAGAGAAGTAGCACGGAAACGATTATTGTGCTATATGCATACTGCATAACTAATCAAGGGCCATAACTCTGAGTTAAAGTGTCTGACCGGAACAAGGCGATGATATGCGCATCTCCTCTTGGTATTGAAGGTTCCCATAAAGTTTCGTTGAAATCCAGCCAGTAGTTGCAGAGAAGTAGCGTCGAAACGATTTTTGCTCTATATGCATACTGCATAACTAATCAAGGGCCATAACTCTGAGTTAAAAGGTCTGACAGGAACTAGCTGATAATATGCGCATCTCCTCTTGGTATTAAAGTTTTCCATAAAGTTTCCTTGAATTCCAGCCAGTAGTCACACAGAAGTAGCGCAGAAACGATTTTTGTTCTATATGCAGAATGCATAACTAATCAAGGGCCAGAACTCTAAGTTAAAAGGTCTGACAGGAACAAACCGACAATATGCACATCTCCTCTTGATACTGATGATTCTCATAAAGTTTCACTGAATTCCAGCCACTAGTTGCAGAGAACTAGCGTGGAAACGAAATTCGCATGGACAGATGGACAGACGGATGGACAACACCAAAACAATATCCCCCTTCCGATTTCATTGGCGGGGGATAATGAGTCATTCTAAATGCCTTGAACGAAAATTCTGTTTTTTTGTTCATTCATACAATATTTATAAACTTAAAAAGAAGAGACTTAAAAAGAAGAGACAGGACTTAAGACTGTTGTTTGCCAATTATAAGAAGTTTTTAAGATTTTAGATGCCAATGTAAACTACTGTAGTCATGTTTTTATTTATTTTCTTCTTACAAAAAAGTCAAGCTTAAAACAATACAACACATAAACATCCAATATTTACCTGTTCTTGACAGTTTAGATCTAGCAACAAGAACAAATTTATTGTTTGTAGCTATTTCGTAGTTTTTTATATAGGCATATGCCTCTTCTAATGACCTGAATACTTGGATCTCTGGAGCATTCACTTCACTACTGAAAAAGGAAAATTACTTTATTTGAAAGGCACATATATTTATATAACTCTAGAAATGTCGAGCATGTGTTCAATAATTTATATAATAATGGATTTACAGCATGTTAAATGTGTTAAACACTGAAAAGGCAGCATTGAACATGCAGACGTTACATAGTTTGTCATCAAGATAGCAAAATGTAGACAAAGTAGTATCTTAACTTTAGTGTAAAATACTAATTCACTTTAATCATAAAAATTGCCAACAAAGCAAAAGATAATTTAGCAAATGAGTAATTTTTTGGAAACTTAAACATGATCCAAAAATAAGTTTTTGAGTAAAAAAAATTTCTCAAGGGTCTTTTCGTTTTTTTTTGTTTTTTTCTAACAGTGCTCTAACACAGTTTTAGGTGACTGACCATATGACACAGAAGCAGGAAAGACAGAATTTATTAAAATCAGAGTAAGGGCAATTTTTTACAATGTGACAAATTCCCAAAACTTGTGACATTTGGTAGTTTAATAAACCTTCCTTTTTCAAATCCATAAAAATTTAAATGAACTGTTCCAATTTCAGGGCAGGATAATTAATTACACAAATAACATGTAAGTGAGGCTAAAAATGACATTATGGGCATTGCTATCATTACAGGCCTCCAAAATTCTATAGCACAGAAACAACTATACATGTATACATGTAATCTTTCAAAAAAGTGATCTCTACCTCTTTTGTTCAGCTGATACCACTTCTTGTGTTTCTTCACTTGTGACCTCCATTTCTGGTACATATGCATTGGCTGATTCATCGTCATGTGTAAGTAAATCTGAAGATGTAACTGGAGCAACACATTGGTCTATAACAGGTGTATTATCTTGCTGACCGGTGTCCATTCTATGACAGCTTTATATGAAAGAAAATCAAATTCTGTAAAATTTTCAATTACAATTCAATATATATGCACAGTACATAGCAAAGGCTATCTACAACTGGATTAACTGAGCTATCAGTCAGTTAAATTTATCAGCTTTCTCACATAAGTCAGCTGCTGTTAAGTCATAGTTCTGATGAAGAATAAACAGGGCTTTTCAGGGGGAAATACAGTATTTTTAAGGAGGAATTATACCTATTTTAGGATTAGGAATTAAACAGCCTTTAAAAAATGTAAAATAAATGGGAAACAATCTTTTTCTTGTTGGTTCAGTCTTGACATTGGTTTTATTTAGTCCAAATAGGATTATGAGCATAATCAGGCTGGCATAAACTGCAAAAATTTGTACAATACATATAATTTATAAATAATAGTTTTTTTTATTTAAGCAAAATTTAGGGTTTTTTTATGCAATTCACGTCAAGAATTACTGTCGAATTGTGTCAATATACAAACTTCAAAGACAGAGTCTGTGACATAATAGTGTTTTTTTACATGACTGTTCATAATAATGTTGGACTTTGTCTTTAATACTTTTATAAAAACTTTAGTGTCTTATCTATTATCATTGCCTGTAGCAATGTGAAATCAATCAGCTTAGCTTAATTGTTGAAATTGCCTCAATCGTAGATTACCGATGCACCAAGCTGTGTAGGATCCAACTAATTGTGCTACGAGATGAGATATTGTGCTATTTTGTGTCTGGCATTAGCAAGATTCTGACCCAGAATGAAAATATCTCAGAATCTAGCTTTGGTATGTCAATATATTCTGACTAGATCGTGTTAATAAACAGTTGTCAAAGACAAGCATCTGTCAAAATTTGACTTGTCCTGTGCAAACATTCTGTTTATTGTCAGTTGTCTGAAGTGGTTTTAGAGGCACTATTATTAGTATATATTGTAGGATTTGTTGAGCCCTGTATCAGAAAAATTTTTGGTGTCAAATGTGGTCTCGGAAAATCTCGTAAAAATGTGAACTTTCATGATTGTAAATTTGTGATAAAGATTTTAAGTGTTTAAATTAATACCCAGGTTTATACTACATATAAACAATTCTACTTCATGTTATCGCAAGTAAGGTACAAGTTAAAATATATAGGCTCCCAAGAAAGTGGCAGAAACATGTGCTTTTACTGGCAAGACAGGGTACACATTGAATTATACATGTATAGGCTCACAAGACAGGGTACAGTGATTTTGTTATATACTGTTATTATAGCTCTGTGATCATGTGCAGAACACATGTGCTCTCATTACATCAGTACCTGCAGACCTTTCAGAAATGTCATACACAACAGTCTAAAATGTTCTGTAAATAGTTCGATAAGCATTAATTTTTGTCTGAATTTCCAAAAAATATTATGGTTCGAAGACTTCATCAATCTCCTATGCAGTGATCACCCCTTATCAGAGATCTCTGCCATCACAAATATTTTTATTAATATTCGATATTTTCAATTTTTTAGCTTTTGAATTTAATTTTCATTATTTTGTATTCTTTTGATTATTTTTTTGAAAAACTGTAACGAACGTAGGTACTAAAAGTTAAAAATAAAACAGAAAGAGAAAAATGACGTTAGATTTTCTATGTAATGGTCGATATTTGAATTTCAACGTTACGTCATGTGACTTTCATCATCATATTAAGTCTGTGAAGGCAGTGATTACAAAATAGAGAATATAAGAATCCCTAAAGAAAGCCCAACAGAGTCAAAAAACCCTTCTTTGTAGATGCCGAATATAGGCTGCTTCCCAAACCAAACTAGCGTCTTTTTTCCCCAGTTTTGTCCTCAAAATTCCCAAGTCTTTTAAAATTTCCCATAAAATTTAGAACAAAATTAAATGACGGTGTTGAATTTAGGTCTTATTAGTATTTCCCAGTACTTTTTGCTTTTCTGTTTTAAAGAACTTGTTAAAAGTATGCCAAAATCACGCATATTTTCCCCAAGGAAAAGGCTGAGGCCCCTTCCCCAAAAATGGTGTTTTGGCCCAGAGTGCCCAACACAGCGCAACTGAATATATTGCAGGCTTGGTTTGATTGAGCCTGTTCATGAACGGTACTGTCAAGTGCAAACTACCGTCCACGCCCCCCGTCACCGGCTTAAGCAGAATTCAACATTAAACATGAACTGGTACAATTTTAAAACATCCGCAGAATTGTGTTCATATGGCGGTTTATCTAATATCATGGAACCTTCAATGTGACATGTAAGTGTCATTCAATGAAAAACGGCATATGGTCCACAAGTAAAAAATGCGTGTGACCTAAGCGAGAAAACAATGGACGGAACTAAATTAAATAAAATGGAAGTTTGAAAGGGGATCAAAATTCTGCCAAGGGAAGTAATCACTGTTAGGAGTTCGAGACTTCATCAGTTCATAGTCAGAAATTTTTTAAAAAATCCATTATTTCAGTTTACGGTTGTACCTATGAAATCAAGGTTGCATAAATGAAAAGTTGGATTGTAACATGAGATCTACACAATCATCTGACGTTACTTCACTAGTGAGTTGTTGTTGTAGCTTCAAATTGCGGGAAATCCTAGAATGTAGTTATCATGCTTCACCGGCATGAGACTAGGCATTAGACCACTATTTCTCAAATAACAGTTACCTCCCTTGGATTTACAACAACAACAACAATATTATCCGAAAGGTATCCAGTATCATATTTTTCTCGTGTTATCATGGTACTAAGCCTTAAAAATGCATAGAGGTGAACCTAACATAACAATTCTTGGTAGTGTTTTCTTGCCCAATACACAGAAAAATATCCAATTCAGACAAAAAACAGCATATCTGAAGAAATTTATTACAGTAAACCCGGCCTAGGCTTGGCCCAACAAATTGTGAGCTTTAACTGAAAAAAAAACACTGACCCCTAAAAACTTAACCACAGGGATGATGACACGGACGCCGACAAATAGGTTACTGCATTACAAATTGGGCCCGGGTTGACCAGAAATAAAATTGGTTTCGGACCTGATTGTCAAATTTTTGCCTGAGTTGATTTAAGGACCTGATTGTCAAATTTTTGGCCTGAGTTGACGTAGGGACAGGGGTTTCGAGACGTTTCGGCCCCAGGACGTATCGGCCCCAAATTACCCAAGACGTTTCGGCCCTTAACCAAATCGGCCCCATAATATGTACTGTATTTTAAACCGATATATTTATATCATTTCAATGATTAAATGAATCAATTAATATATATATTTTATCATTTTGTATAAAAACTAGATTATAATAGTAGTAGGGGAAAAGTAATCAATACAAACAGAACAGAACATAAACTTTATTTGAAAAAATATAATACACAAACAAACAATTATTTACAACATATATAGATAATATTTTATTAATACAAACAGAACAGAACATAAACTTTATTTGAAAAAATATAAAACACTAACAAACAATTATTTACAACATATATAGATATTTTATTAATACAAACAGAACAGAACATAAACTTTATTTGAAAAAATATAATACACAAACAAACAATTATTTACAACATATATAGATAATATTTTATTTGAAAGATTAAGAAGCAAGACACAAAACAACACATGAGACAGACATTAAATTATCATCAACAACTATTTAACAGTGACGAGTTTGATGGATACGAAAATACAAGTACAGAACAGTTAAACAATTTTACTTGAAACGAAACAAATGTGAACAGACACTTTTTTATAAATAACATTTTTGAAATTTTACAATTAAACAACTTTACTTGAAAACTTGCGTGAAGAGACATTTATATAAATTACATTTTAACAATAAAAGTGAAAAAACAACACAGGACGGTTAAAATATTAACACTAGATATATACAAAATGAAAACAATAACAAATCAAGTAGAACAAATAATAGTCTTAGTCTATAGTATAGTGTCTATAGCTTTCCTTTTCAGTACATGAGCACAGTAACATACTTATATCATTTACATGTACACTTTAGCAACCTCTGTGAGGAAATCCGAGGTTATCAACTCCCGTGTGTCATTGGCGTCCCAAAGCTTCTCTAGTTTTTCATGCAGCTCCGATACTTGGGACGTCTGTACCTTGTAAGTAAGTGTTCATTGACTTGTTGTGCTTGAATGGATACCAGTTCACTTTCCGCGTACAAAAGGGGAATTAGTACATACATCTGGACATTCCCTCTACCAGCCTTTCCATTAATTCTACGGTGGTAGCCTGTAACAAATCAAAATAATTGTATAATCACGTATATGGTATAACAATTAATTAAAAATTACGTATAGTTTAATTAAGATCAAAAGATAATGTTTTCTAAGTAATAATTGTAATTAACTTTCTTAATCCAGAAGCTTTAGTGGTTTTACAAATTAAGTAACCTGCCTTTATTGTTTGTTACACCTTTAAAAACATTAACGTACATCTAAATGGTTCAAGAGATCAAAAGATAATAAATAATTATTTAAAGAATTAAAGTGTCATAATTGTTTAATTGTTATTAAATTAATTGTTGTTAATCAATCAAGCAATATACTATAGTGGAAACGTCTAGCGGAAAAGGGCCGAAACGTCCAGGGGCCGATTTTTCGACTGGGGCCGATTTGGTTTGGGGCCGAAACGTCCTGTTTCCATTCCAGGTAGTCTCAATATTTCGACTGCAACACCTACATGTACCAACTTTACACAGTGATATTACAGGGACGTTGGCCTTTGCGAAGGGCGATCATCGTCCGAATAATAAAACGTTTTATATCACTTTTGGATGACAAAATTATAAGTATTTGATGAGTGGTGGTACTCTTGATAGAAATAGTAATTTTTACATCACAAGATGAAAATACATCTTGTCTTTATAGAAAAGAACTTGACTTTTCTGTTTATTGTATACTTTTTCTCCTTTTTGACCTTACAATTCTTTAGACTCAGCAAGATACCAGTGAAAATACAGAAAATATGTTTCTATAAAGTCAATACAGTTATCAGGCATAATGACATGAACCACGGATTTATATTACAAGGATCGGACACTTTCGTTTAGTTTAAAGTCTTGTCGCCCGCATGAGCGGAATCGCACATCGGAAAAAGGTGGACGGAATGAGAGATGGCGGAACGCGCGGAGTGCCAAATATGACAGATTTTCACAAGAGTATGTGGTGTGACTGCAGCTTTGTGAAAAATTATACACATATGAATGTATTGATACAGTATTATTTTGTGTAGCTAAAGTATTAATATATGAAAATATGCTGATAGAACGATGCAACGCTTAGCTAAAAAATGACCTAACTTAAAAAATATTCGTCTATTGTTTAGGCATACTCTCTACACTTTTATGCTCTTTTACTTCAAGCACAAATTACTACCGCGATTCAGATTAAGGTAATTCTTTTTACATGGTTTGTCAGGTTTAATGGGTGCATTCCAAAAAAAAATTCTTGATTGCTTTAAAACTTTTAAAGAAATTCCTGTTTGAAATTTGTCTTTATTTCTGTGAATTATTATTTTCAAATGATTTGTACATTTTTTGTATAATTATTAGTATAAATATAGTACTAGTAAATATTCTTCTTATTAGTGTATTAAATATATTTTTCAGATCATTCTAGACAAGCGTTCATATATAGATAAATTCATTAGATTGGCAAGGAAGAAACTTTTATTGGCATACAGAACAACTGTTTTATAATACTGTATTTTTTGTTTATTTTGAAACAGATTTTTTCATAGATATCCTTTACAATTCACGTCAAATGATTTATTCGTCATATGTTTATTTTCATTATTTTTCAAGGAAACGGCTGTACAAATTTAGTTGTATATTTTTTATTTCATTTATAAATGTTCATAAAGAAAATAGGATTTACATTGTATTTATATATATCCTCTTCAGAATTGTTTTCTTATCACACATACAATGTACCATGGATTGTAGTTAAAGACCGTGCACATACAAAATATACATTCAAATTCTATTTGTTTTTGAAGATTGTGTGTTGCAATTATCACAATGTCATGTAACCTGGTAATGAAAGTTTGAAAATAAAATTTTTTAATTATCACTTGTTACCTGGTAATAAACCCCCTTCAAAAGTAATTAAACTTCAAAGAAATTTAAGCGATGAATAAAAAATAATCAAAAGTTACTTTTATTTCGCATAATACTGACTCAAACTGTGAAGATTTTTTATTGTTTTTCTAGCGTTACATTAAAAAATATCAGAAATATCTTTCTACAGGCATTCAAATAAAAAGAATAATTAAAATATACGAGTGACATTGAAAAGGATAGAATCGAGACAGCCACACGAGAGTACTTTTAAAACTGTTACGATGATTGTCTACTTCACTACAAAACAGATTTACAAAAAATAATAATGATATAAATGATGAATGAAATTTAAATATTCTATGAATATGGCAATATTAAAATCTTGGCAATATTTTGTACTAAAAAATGAATAAATTTTTTTCTCTCATGTGTTGAGCGAATTGTAAAGCCCGTAATACATTGCCCGTTAAACAATTGTGTGTTAATAAATTTGACTACATAACCCAATAAATCTTAAATATTGCATCTTTGATCATCTGTGAATAACTTACATCGGCTTCTTTTTTATTTTGAAATTGAATTTATTATGTTACCGTAATAATAAATTTCAAATACCTGCTTTTTATATAAAAAATGTAAATTTACCGCGGACTTCGTCAAATTAATTTTGTAATAGTTGTTGCGGACAGATAAACTGAACCTTTAAAAAATAAATTAGATATTTGAATAAAACAAGTATTTTTCTTCAAAATAAACTTTAAATTTCCAAAATCGGATAATAAATGGAAAAGCTATATGGTATTTTGTAAAGTAGGTATCCGTTGTGAACGGGCATTTACGCTAAGCGCCGGAAAATTATCGATCGATGTACCTTTAGTGGGTGCACAACAAGATATTTAAGCATTAATATAGGGTTAACTGGAAGTGTCTGATCCCTGTAATATAAATCCATGCATGAACACAATGGATTGTCTTCAAACTTGTGCATACAAGAAATTTAAGAAGATTAAACTGAACTTGACCTTATACTTGATTTACTATGTACATGTATTTTCTTACAATTTGTCAAAACTTAGTTATTTATTTACAGATTTGATTCATATTTGGACCAAAGAACATATATGACACAACTGACATGTTGAATTTTTCAGATATGACCTTGACTTTTAACTTAACTTGACTGTCAAGGACAAATTATTAAAACTGGCTTAAATTGTCATAACGTAGTTATTTATTTACAAATTTATCTGATTTATACTTGGATTGTTTCTATTAAGTTTAGTCTGTTTTAAATTGACAGCATAAAAGGCCATTTATATAAAGGAGTTGAATTTACTTTACTCAACTTAATATGCTTATTCTTTTATGTAGAATGGACACTGGTCAGCAAGATAATTCACCTGTTACAGACCCATGTGTTGCTCAAGTAACATCTTCTGATTTATTTACACATGACAATGAATCAGCTAATGCATATGTACCAGAAATGGAGATGACAAGTGAAGAAACACAAAAAGTGGTAACAGCTGAACAAAAGAGGTAGACATTCCTATTTTGTTAATACTTTCACGCATATATAGTTGTTTCTGTGCTTTAGAATTTTGGAGGCCTATGAGAGAAATGTCAATTTTTAGGAAATTCATATTGCAGAGAGGATAATGAAAATATTGTATTTATTACAGATAAAGAAATTAATGAAAACTTAGACACTAAGCCCACATAAAATTATGGAAAATCTGTCAAAATTTCAAATTAGCAAAATAGTGCACATTCTGATTGTTATGAAGTACGGATATGACATTAAAATTAGTGAATTCTGTCAGATTTTCATAACATTGACTGCTTAGGAACAATAATAGATTCATTTAGTAAGAGATTTATTTGGCCATATATAGACGACGTCTCAGCCATATTAAAAACATTTGTTGTCATTTGTTAAATGATTGTCTGTCATCCAGTGTCCATCTTTTAACATTTTTACTTAAACAACATCTTCCCCTAAACTGCAGAGCCAATAGTGTAGAAATTGTATGGAAATGATCGTTGGGTGGTACTCAAAAATTGCTCAAATTGTGCCAGATGGCTGCCAGAGCTTAAAATAGGAAAACCTGTGACATTCTCTTCTCAATCCCTTGCTATATTTTGATAAATGATTCAGCAATGATATTAAGGTAGTCATTTTCAAAAATTGCACAAATGGTTCATATCTGTTAAAACAAGATGCCCAGCATAGCTAAAAAATGAAATAAGCTTTAAATGATTTTTCTTACTTAGTCACTTGTTTGATGTAGATCTTGTTCATGTTAACAATATCCTCTGGTGAGCAAATAAGTGCCATCATGGCCCTCTTGTTTTTCAGAAGTGAAGAGGGGACACTAGAGATACAGGTCTTTAGGTCCGTAGAAGAGGCGTATTCATATATAGCAAACTATGAAATAGCAACAAACAACAAATTTGTGTGTATAAGAAAAACTGGAATTAGTAGATCAGGTAAATTATAATTAATCATTTGTAATAATATTTCTACCTCACCTGGGCTCTGTTAAATTTTGTTAAATGGTTCCGTTTGGCTGAACAGAATTTCTGCTCATTTATTCCTATAAAATACAACTATTTCTAATATCTAGAATAATTTTTTGCCTAGAGTTAAGATAGTTGACAGATAGCATTGCCTTGTAGGTATTAATCATGCCCCTTGGGTGAATATTGACCCATTCTGGGATCTCCTGTTTTATATAAACTTATATACAGTCAAGTATGAAAACACATTTAAGTGTTATTGTGTCAATTTGTAAAAGAATTTAAAGCCCAGAGTTTAGATATTTGGCATGTAGCATCACTGTAGATTTCTACAAAAGATATATTCATCATGACCCTCAGGTTAAAATTGGACCTGTCCCGGAAGTCATTAATTGCTTTATGTAGACTAAGGTATAGGAAAACATGTCTTATCTTTTTGTGGATAATCATTATGCCTCTATGTTTGGCATATAGCATTGCTTAGTAGACCTGTATAAAAGATTTATGAATTACATGTATGTGCTTAGAGTATAAAATGCCTCCACCTTGTAGCTCATCTAGTATCATAAGGATAATTGAGATAAAACATTTTTCAGACAAGTTTCTTCATTGGTACTCTTCTCTAATTGAAAGGTTATTTTTAATTACTAAACAAATTTTCATTTTGGAAGTATAGTTCAATTCCTTTGTGGTGCTCGTTTTTTGGTTCCTACATGCTAGAACTAGTGCTAGTGTTCCAAAGATGGTGAATGAAGATTTGGCAAGAGAATATTCTCTTTCTTTAAGATATTGCATAATTATTGCAATTTTCTTGTGAAATTGTGATCTGTATTAAAATTCAAAATAAACTAACTGTAGAACTGTTTACAACATGACAACATTTTATTGTGTTGCCAAATGTAAATGCATGTTGTCAGGTCATGGAATTTTCTTTAAAATTGTTGTTCTATATAAGCAGGTGAGGAAGTGAATACAATTACACTATGAACTATTTGTACAGATTAATTTCTGACATTTCAGATGTACAATCATTAGATGATTACCGTATTATCTTCAACTACACATTTTATGTAGGAGATCAGAAGAAAACACTAAATGACGGTATGGCAACTGTGTGCCTGGGTACTGAAGAAAAATCATGCCAGTATGGGCGTAATTATAGGAAGCCAAAGGTAATTTCTAAGCATCTTTTATTATTATCTTTTGCCCTGTTTATTTTTTGCCTTAAGAGCCAGCAATAAAGAAAAACAACAACAACCTATTCTTTGTATTCTGTACTCTGGTAAGCAATGCAGGGCCATCATGACCTTTAAATTAAGGTTTAATTGTGATTCTAATACGACCCACAATAGAAGGACCGAAAGTAGGTGTTATTAAGCAATAAAACAGACATGTGACGTAACCACTAAAAATTTGAATGCTGAAAATAAGTGCAAGTAAGCTTAACCTTTTCCCTTATATAAGCGTGTTTCGACGGCTTTTTGCCCCCCCCCCCCTTTTGAGGCCTCAAACAGTGAAAAAATGCCCTATTTAGGCCCCAAACACTGTTTTTCATTTGAGAAATGTTGTTAAAAAAAGTGACTACTTTTTCGGCGCCGTCTCCCATCCAAATGTTACATCAGGGGGTTGCCAGAAGGGGGATGTGCCCCCTTCTGTTTGGGGCTTTGAATCGCCAAGAAAATTTTGGACATGTGACAGGCTAAAAATGGCCTCAGGTCGATCTTAGGGTAACTAGTAACCGACACTGAAAAGCCTTTTACTCTATCTCAATTCATTGAGAAGTTGCAGCACTTTGAAATCTGTTTTGGGAAAAAACAATGCAAAATAGGGATTTTTTCGCAATTTTGAGACGTCCCCCTGTTGCCATGGTAACAGGAAATTCATGATTGAGAATGCTGTTACAGAGGCTATGGTCTAATCAACATTTGTGCCAAGTTTCATCAGTATTGAAGCATTTTTCATAGTTTCATAGCAGTTTGAAATTGTTACAGGAGGCTTTTCAATGAAAACGGCCATTTTTCGCAATATGCTCATGGGGTAAAAGGTTAATATTAGGTACAGCAGCATTTTTTTGTTGATGTCGTTTTAGAATCGAAATAATATATCCAAATTTGTGATTTTATCAAGTGATAAAATCACTGTTTTTATCGTTTAGATGCACATCATATTATATCATGAGGGCTTTTATTATAATTCCTTACATTAGAATCCCAAACACTGATTTTATATAGTAATAAAATCGCTGTTTGGGATATTTTATTTCTTAAATGAAAAGCCTTTTTAGATTAATTAAAATGTTATTATGATGTCACCTGAAGAATCATGGGTATGACTTGCGTAAAAACTTGTATAACTATACGCTGCTGCTTATATTAAGCAACAATTAATTAATTACACATTCACTCTTCAATTAATGTAACAGCAATTTTGTGAAGAATGTAACTTAGTTTAAATGAAGCATGTTTTTTACAGGGAAATCGTGATGAAAATGCATTTAAAAAGACAAGAAACGTTTTAAATTCCTCTAAGAAGCTAGGCTGCCATGCTGTTATTCGGATAAAGAAAGTTCTTAAATTTCCAGACTATAATGTAAGTATTTGTATTAAGCTCATCTTAGAACATTTATAAATTTGACTTAGAAATTTTGTTGTTGCAAACTTAAAATTTGGTTCAGATTTTCTGTCTGAAGGAATGTTTCATTAAGTTGGTAAATTAAATCTGAACTTTTTGGTTGGAGTTATGGATAATTGATGGGAGAAAGTCATTGTTGTATTAAAAAAAAGATTTTTTTTACATGTGCTTGTACAGCCTTTTTTATTGACTGATGTCTGTCATATAACATAGAGCATAGGATAGGTTAGGGTCACTTTTGGTCACCACTAATGGCCGTCAATTACATAATTTCTTTTTGCTAATTTTTCATTTTATCTTTCAATTTTTGCATAAACAAATTATACCATGTTCAAGGCACCCTTTATTAACTATTTATTCATCAAATAGCACTAACATGCCAATTTCCATTTTTTCAATCAGGTATAATACTTATTTATGGATTTGGTTTATTCATGGACAAAATACCACTTATGATAAAACTGACAATAGTGATTTATTCAAATGTGACTTTGAGCTCTGAATAACCTTGACAGTCAAGGTCAAATATGAAATTCAGAGTATTCTTACTGCAATATTCTTTCTTCTTGTTTGAGTAAAGAAGTAGAAGAAAGAAAAGGTTGAGTGTAGTCCCACATTTAGTCTGGTGAAACTACTTGTTATGAATATTAGCTTTTGTTTTAATTCTTTGACTTATAGTTTCAGAATACAGAAATGAATGATAGAAACCGAAGAAAAATGGTTAAAAAATTAAGATTAGAATTCAGCGAAGAAACAAAGCGTTTTATATTGGTTTACGTTCATATAGAAACAAACCATAACCACCCACCATGTCCTGTTCAACGCCGAACAAGATATATAGGCATAAAACACAAGATAAGTAAAGGATGTAAAAGAATACCTTGTGTAAGTTATTTTAGATTGAACATGTTGAATGTACATGTATAAAGCTTGGAAAAATGATTCCTTGTCACCATTGTACCTGCATCCTATTTCTGTAGTAACGTTTTCTTTGTTCTATCATCTTAATGCAAACTTTGAATTGTTTTTCTCAATCTTAACCAAAACATACATGTATATTTCAAGAAGAGTCAAGGTACAGTCTTTCAACTTGAAATAAATTTATTATGAAGTGCAGGCAAGTCTGCCATTCGTTTTGCAGAATTATATGCCTCTTTTCTACTTTCCTTTGTTTTTGTTGCAACTCCTACTACATTTTTCAAGTGATTTTACCTAAACTTTTACAGAAGCTTTTTTGTGTATAATGTTGTTGTTTAGCGATTTAAATTTTTTGGCAGAATAATGGTCCTTTTTTAAAAATACTTCTAAACTTGTATGTTGATAAAGATTGATTATTGATAGTGGTTGCCAATCGAGCATTTTCAATGCATGTGGTGCTCTTGTTTTTTTACTATATCTTCTTTCATAATTACTTAAGGTGTTTACATGTAATACTTAAATCTTTAAATGAAAATATTCTAGCATAACTTCATCACATGTGGCAAGTTTTTTAGCTCCATTGCTTCAAGAATTATTTTAAAAATGTAATGTTAATTTTTCCTTTTCATTAAAAATATTTCTCTTAATGAATTGTTTTTCTCATAATTTTATATGCATGTTGTGTATTGTTCAATATTTGGCATTTTAATTTTATCAGTTAATATTTACCAGTAAGCACTTTATACAATAGAATTTTGTTATTATAATATTCAAGTGTTTAAACATTTTTCACAGGAATATGATGAATATGTCGGTAAAGGACTTGTGCTGAAGAGAAAATCTGCAAGTTTAAAAGGGAAAGATTTGTCAAACTTGGCATTACAATTTAAAAATGTTCATGAAATACCTGCATTGATTGCTCGACCGAGAAAAGATCAGAAACTGGAAGATATGGATATTCATGAGTTGATGTTACTTTACTATGAAATTACTGGTCAAGTTCCAAATGAGATGTTTGCTAAAGCCTGTAAGCCTTTTATAAGACAGAACCTGATATTGTTGCTGCACCTGTGTATAGTTTTTGCTAATGCTAGCATGGATAAACAGGTTTGTAAACATCCAAATTTTACAAATTTGTACATATTGTACTTTTGAAAGGACATTATTCTGCCTTAAATTGTGTTGAAATGAAATATGCACTGCATGTATCATAAATGTAAAGGATACAAATATTACAGATAAATAATACACCAGATAGGTAGGTTATTCAAAGAAATGTGAAAAGTATACTACACACCTTGACATTGTTAAGCTTTTGCATACAGTTTAATATTTCTTCAACAAGTTGTTAAATTTTGTCTCATTTGTATCCACCTTTAGAGCATATTGCCTATTGGCCCGCAAGACCTTTTTAAGTCCCCCCTAAGTGGGTAGATATATAGCTCTTGTACTGTCTGTCTATTAGTCCATCTGTCTTTAAGTCGATATGTCTATTAGTCCCTCTGTCTATTAGTCCATCTGTTTTTTAGTCCATCTGTCTATTAGTCCCTCTGTCTTTTAGTCTGTCTGTCTATAAGTCCATCTGTCTTTTAGTTCATCTGTCTTTAAGTCGATATGTCTATTAGTCCATCTGTCTATTAGTCCATCTGTTTTTTAGTCCATCTGTCTATTAGTCCATCTGTCTTTTAGTCCATCTGTCTATTAGTCCATCTGTCTTTTAGTCCATCTGTCTATTAGTCCATCTATCTTTTAGTCCATCTGTCTTTTAGTCCATCTGTCTATTAGTCCATCTGTCTTTTAGTCAATCTGTCTATAAGTCCATTTGTCTTTTAGTCCATCTGTCTTTTAGTCCATCTGTCTATTAGTCCATCTGTCTATTTGTCAATCTGTCTATCAGTCCATCTGTCTATTAGTCCATCTGTCTATTAGTCCATCTGACTATGATTTCACTAAGGTGGCTACAAGAACAACAGGTAACCATAAAGGTTAGAGCTTAGATAATTGGCATAAAACATCATGTAGTAGACCTCTACCAAGCTTGTTCAATCAATAGCCCTCGGAACAAAATTGGCCCAGCACAACATGGGTTTACATTATATGTATAAAGGAAATTATAAAAATTATAAAAAAAACAAAAACATCCCCTCTAAAAGTCTACAGCTACTTTGCTTTGTTTGATTTTACTGTGCACCAACACAATCTAGGTCATATAGCACTGAAAGGCTAGAGCTAAGATATTTGACATTTAACATTGCAATGTTAAGGTTATTAAATCTTTTCCAATACAGTCTGGTTTAAAGGGCCATCATTGTCCTCTTGTTTTGTTTTTATCTTTGAATTTTAATAAAACTGTGTTTGTAAAAATTACGTTGTAATAATAAAATAAAGTGATCCTTACTGAAATTCGACTGTTAGATGTTTAGATGATGTAAAATGTGACTTTATTGTAATAGTTTTACATGTGCTTGTGTTTAGCAGGCTAATAATGATCATGAGCTTTTATAGCTCATCTGTCACAAAGTGACATGGTGAGCTTTTGTGATAGCTTTTCATCCATCCTCTGTCTGTAAAATTTTACCTTAAACCACATCTCCTCATAAACCGCTAAGCTAATTTCATCTAAACTACACAGGAATGTTCTTTTGGGGGCAACCTCTAAAAATTGTTCAAAGAATTTAATTCCATGCAGAACTGCCATGGCAACCAAAAGAAAAAACTAAAAATATCTTGTTTTAAAAAACCCAAGAGGAAGCGCTTAGATATTTGGCATGAAACATCTTTTACTGAGTGTCAATCAAGTTTGTTCAAGTCAAAATTCGCCCAGCCCTGGGGGTCATTGATTTCCTTATATGTATATAGTAAAAACTTAAAAAATCTTCTTTTAAAAGAACCTGAAATGCTAGATCTTAGATATGTAGCATCTTCTGGTGTGTGTCTACAAAGTTTGTTTAAAAAGAAGCCCCATGGTTAATTTGGCCCTGTCCCGGGGGTCTGATTTTCCTTACATGTCTATAGAAAAAGCTTAAAAAATCTTCTTTAAAAAAACCCAAAGAGCAAAGGCCTAGATAATAAGCATGAAACATCTTCAAATGGGTGTCTACAAAGTTTGTTCAAATAAAAGCCTTAGGATCAAAATTAGCCCCGCCCCAGGGGGTCATTGATTTTCCTTATATGTACTGTAAATCCGTGTTTTTTGCGATGTTTTAAGTTTTTGCTATTTCATTTGGTGTCAAAGGGGCTCCACTTAAACCTTTTGACCTATTTCTTAGGTGAGCAATCCAGGGTCTCTGGGCCCATCTTGTTTGGCTCTGTACTGCAACAGCAGAATTAGTCACACATCAGTTGAAATCATAGGCAGTGATGTTTCTTTATATAGTAACATGTGTATTAAGATGTAATATTCACCATCAGAATGTCATATTATCATATAAACAGCCTAAGATTAAAAACAAAAAGAGTAATGTGTGAAGGTTTTATTGTTTTATGGTTTATTAGTGAAAAAAATACAAAAACAAAAAGCCCGCAATTTTCTAATCATTGCAGGGCAACTTTTGTGAAGTGATGATGTTTTAAAGAATATGCCAAAATGAGCAAAATAAAGCTTTAATATTTATGTGCATGCATATTTAAAAGGTACAGAAATTTTTTTATCTTTGGATGTCAGTCTTTAACAGAACCTACAGCAAAGCATGTAAGCTAAAAAGGCAATAAGATTGAGAAATTTATTTGCATTAGTGTAAAATATATTACAATGTATATGTCTTAATAAAAGTATTATTATTTTATAAATAGACACATATAAGTGTTCGACTTAAGGGTACAGAGAGAGAGTTTACTCCAGTAGAATGTTATGATGAAGATTGTGCTGTGGTAGACTTACACATGCATTGTCCATTCTGCTCTAAAACAGACTCATACACAGATGTATCACTCCTGAAGGCACATTACACAAAACAACATGTTGACAAAGCTTTGGAGTTTTCTGGTAAGTAATTACTACATGTAGTTATTTAATTGCAGCAAAATGATAAGAACTGTAGGATAGTTTTGTATGTATTCCTATGTATGGGTATTGCTGGCAATATTTGATTTATCAATCAACACTGTAAAAGTCATATAAAGACATGCCGACTTTACTAGTAGGGTTTTGCCTCTAATGCTGCATTATATATTATTTCTGACACAATCTGTCACAGATCTTCTATAAACAAGCTAAATAATTTCCTCACAATTACAATCCTGGAATCTACAGTTGTTAGGGTCAAGTGTCCTGATGTTATTGATTTATTATGCTCCCCGAAAAATTTCGAAGGAGCATAAATTATAGTTGTCAGGTCGTCCCTCTGTCTGTCTGTCCATCAGTCAGTCCGTCCGTCCATACGTACGTCCTGAATTCATGTCCGGCCCAAAACTTTGTTATTTGAAGTCGGATTTAAAACTATTTCCCAGAAATGATCACCAAATTAAGACAACGTGTCGCACACAACATTTGGGTCGCTACCTTGAAGGTCAAGGTCACAGCATGACTTTGTAGCAAAATCGTGTCCGGTCCATAACTTCATTATTTGAAGTCAGATCTTAAAACTATTTCACAGAAATGATCACCATATTGAGACGATGTGTGGCGCGCAACATTTGGGTTGCTTCCTTGAAGGTCAAGGTCGCAGCATGACCTTGCAGCAAAATCGTGTCCGGTCCATAACTTCGTTATTTGAAGTCGGATTTTAAAACTATTTCACAGACATTATCAACATATTGAGACAATGTGTCGCGCACAACATTTAGGCCACTACCTTGAAGGTCAAGGTCACAGCATGTCCTTGCAGCAAAATTGTGTCAGGCACATAACTTTGTTATTTGAAGTCGGATATTAAAACTGTTTCACAGAAATGATACCATATTGAGATGACGTGTCGCAAGTAACATTTGGGTCACTACTTAGAAGGCCAAGGTCACAGAATGACCATGCAGCAAAATAGTGTCCTGCCCATAACAACGTTTTTTGAAGTTGGATTTAAAAACTATTTCACAGAGATGATCACCATATTGAATTGACATGTCGCGCCCAACATTTGGGTCGCTTCCTTGAAGGTCAAGGTCACAGCATGACTTTGCAGCAAAATCATGTCCGGTCCTTAACTTCGTTATTTGAAGTCAGACTTTACAACTATTTCACAGAAATGATCACCATATTGAGACAACGTGTCAAGTGCAACATTTTGTTAGCTACCTTGAAGTTCAAGGTCACAGCATGACCTTGCAGCAAAATTGTGTCTGACTCATAACTTCGTTATTTGAACTCGGATTTACAACTATTTCAAAGAAATGATTACCATATTAAGACAATGTGTCGCGCGCAACATTTGTGTCGCTACCTTGAAAGTCAAGGTCATAGCATGACCTTGCAGCAAAATCGTATCCAGCCCATAACTTTATTATTTGAAGTCAGATTTTACAACTATTTCACAGGAATGATCACCATATTGAGACAATGTGTTGCGCGTAACATTTGGGTTGATTTTACACTTTGAACTTTGTCTGTGACATAACTCTGACACTACAAGAGGTATACCTTTCTGTGTCCAAAACCTATTCGGGGAGCATTACCCGGTTCAACCGGCTCTTGTTAGTGGGGTAATTGAAAATTTTTAATTTTGTCAACAAAGCAAAACCAAACAATTCTTTACTTGTCTTCCAATAATAATGGATGAAATGTACATGTACATACAATTATCTTGTTTGTTTAAGAACACTGAAACTCGTTTATAAGGAACTCATTCAGATTTTGACATTTAGTTCCAAGGTTTCTTATAAACAATATAGGGAAATAGTATCTTACAAATAATTTGTAGAGATAGTGAACATAAATATATAATGAACGGCTTACATGTTCAATGATTTTATAGATATAATTGTTATTTATTCTTATCATAAATTTATAGACAATCATAGGTTTATTAACATACCCATATGTCACAAAATTTAATATGCTGTAATTACAAATCGTAAGCATTTCATTTTTGGAACAGGTTAATATAATTACATAAGATAAAAGTTTATTAATAGTTATTTATTGACAGCTGGTCTATTTATAGTAATAAATGCTCTCAACTTTATTTAGGCAAATCAACAATACAAAAAAAAACCAATAAGAAACAGTTACAATATTACCATTCCATATATATAATGGACACAAATGTTCTGATTTAACTCTTGGTTATACAAAAGTACATAGATTATCCATTACTTGCTTCAACAAACATGCATCATACTTGAGCCAACTCTATCCGGGCATAAGCCCATCCGTCCAAAAATGACAATGGGGACAAAAGCCCTCCCTTTTCAATGCACACAACATATCAACATTGTAAATGTGAATATTTTTTGTTTTCCATTGGCATAAGTGTGTTTATATGAGCTTGGGCACACTTAATTATGCTGTGTTCCAGAACATTCCGAACAGGCATCTGAATAATAAATGCTAAAATCTATAAGCACTAATTTATTTACGAAAATTTGAAAGGATTACTTGCATATGAAGTAAGATTGATAGAGTAAAAATGATGAAAAGAAGTTCAAATGAATGTTTGGTATATGGCATGGGTGTGTTCTAGCTCATACACAAACGAAGGCCAATTGAAAAAAATAACAAATATACACTAACATACTTATGCAAATTCTTAAACTTAACACAAAAATTTCCATTGATTATTTTATGTCCATAGCAAGTATTTGTTTTTATATTTTATGTTAATTTAGTTTTGAGCAAATGAAAGATTGAATATATAAGATTTAAAAACATGTGAGTATGTTTGAATTTATTTTCTAGCACATTGAAAAAAATTTGTGTAAGTCAAGAATTTGCGTAAGTATGTTAGTGAAAAGGTATCCAGGTATTTAACATACATACATATTTTTGTTACACTGTGTTCGAGTTTACTACAAGTAAGTACCACTGTAGAAGTATATTTGTTTGCTTGATGACTTTGTATGGATTTTGATACCATTTATAGGGTTTTCATTATGAACCGATTGGCGATCAAAACCATCAGTTAAAATTGGTTGTATTTTCAGCCTGTATATTAAACTATCACTCTTGACCATGGGCAAAATCTGTTGTGTTCTTTGTTGCCTCAGATAAAAATGAATACCCTGCATTTATTGTTTAGAATGATGTCACAATTATTGCATTATATTTCAGGTATGAAAATACTTCGGTGTTATGATACATGTATAATTGATGGTAAACATGTCTGTAATAAAACATTTAAAGGAGGTCACTGGCATTGTTTTGCCTGTTCAAATGCCATTGAAAGGCGTGTTGACTGTTTTGCACATTACAAGAGACATTTGAATGACTTTGGCTCCAGTTTTCAAGTTTGTATAGCACAGGTAAATTGGGATGTAAATGTTGTAATGTTAATATTTTGAAGTTATTATACATTGTTGAATGCAATAAACAATTTTATTAGAATATAACCAATGCACCTCCAGCATTTTTACCACATGACGTTCCATTAGAAATCATTATTAGAACAGTCTTATCAATTTAATCTCTTTTTCATTTCCAGAATACAAAAAGTCCATGTTAAATCCATATTGCACCCCTTCGAGCCTTGTTTTCTTTTTTTTTTGAGAGTCGAAAATCCTTATCAAATCCTAATTGCAAATGAAGTAACAAAGTTCTGTCAAAATGCCAGAAAATGGTGGTGTGAAAAAAAAAATCATTCATCTTGGTTGAGAACAACACTGATTCAGTTTAACTCCAACACAGCTGTAATCAAAGCACAAATGGCGCTGGATTTGTTTGGGTCTCAGAATGTCAGAAAGGTGAAGATTGTGAGATTGTAAAACAGTATGTTTTTGTATAGTGCCGCCAATGCCTTCCAGCGTTTTAATTGTAGTAAAATAGCTATAAGACTAATTGCAACACTGATATTTGATCCAATGTTTATTTGACTTGAGTTGCCTTAACTGGCATTTGAACTCCAGACCTCTCGCTTCCTAAGCAAGCGCGCAAACCCCTCGGCCACGGTGAATTTATATTCTAATGGCGTGTAGAAAACCATATTATTCTAGTTAGGGTTTGTATCGACGCTAACTGTTGTTTAACACTTGTGTAAATAATCATGGCGCTTACTATAAGCATGTTTATCTATAAAGAATAAAACATTAGAAATCTTCGACCATTCGGGAATTATTTTGCTTGAAAATTAATCAGCCTGTCATGTTACCATATTTACGCAGTAATCTCCCCTAAATTTTTGGCCTAAGTGTTACATATAAAGGGAAGTAACCGCTTCAAAAAAGCGGACTACTTTCGGCACTTGCAATTAACAGCATAAGAGTCTGAAATTTCGCTACCATTATTTGTTTGGTCTGACGACCCAAACAAATAAAAACTATGTCAGAATTTGGCTAGTGCCTCTTCCAGTATAGTTCTCATCTAATAGAGTTCAGTATTGTACTCTACAATGTATAATAGCCTCATACTATTGGACAAGTTATTGCTAGTCAAGTCTAATATAGGTTTTGCAGCTGTGTACGATTTTATATTAGTGAAAATGCTGGACGTTTATTGGTTACAATCTATCAGGACTGGAATAAAAGAAAGCTTTATCAAATCATCTAATTCACATCATTACTTATTAACAGTTATGGTATATTTCCATGTGAAAGGTGTTTCAATTGGTTATAAAGTTGACTTATTTTAGCCATACACCTGAGGGGCATACAGGGCCCGGTTGTTTAGGTTGCTGACTTCAAACCACTTGCCTTTCACTGCTGTAGGTTTGAATCCCACCAGGGACTTTGGATTCTTTCATTTGAAGAAGCTATATATCCAGCTATTTTATGCGATATTGGTGGTTTTACTCAGGTGCCTGCTTGTGCCTGAAATAATGTACAGAGGGGCATCCCGAGATGTCCCTCTACCAGTATAGTTGGAAAGTCACCATATATGACCTCTTCTATGTTGGTACAATGTTAAAACCAACCAAGAAAACATTAACATTTTGTAATTTTAAATGCCAACATGAAGAAAGGAGTGTGTAGTGGCAGCAGTGTTGGTTATTTTTTATACCCATGGATTATTGGGACATATTATTCTATGGCATTGTCTGTCTGTCCATCTGTCCGTCCTGACAGGAGGATACTAATATTAGGCTACAAGAACAATAGTTAACTGTATTTTCTCTACTGTAAACTTTTTGTGGCCATTTTTATTTTATGTGGCGAAAAGAACATTACACATAACTGTATGTTATAGCATAACACTGCAATCAACACATTATTCAAAGAGTTATTACTGTGTTAAAGCAATATTTTAAGTGAAGTTATTGGTTTCAGCAGAATAAATCTTCAATAAGTCTATTTATATTTGGATTCAAGTATGTCATATGAAAAGAAATCCATTTAAAAGAATTTCATTGAATGTGTTCATATTTGGCTAGCAATATCAAAACACAAGTCAAGTTTGTTTTCTCTGCAATCTTGATTTAATAAGATTACTTCCAATGAAAATAAAATTAGGTCATTATTTTCTATTATCTTCTGTTACTGATAAATTTTTATGTTACAGTAACTTATAACCCATTGACTGTATATTTTTCTTTTACATTTGATAAAAAGCATCAACTTAGCCGTCTTCAACTGCTTCTTGAACTGCTGTCTTTCTTTAAAAATGATACCATCTTGTAAATTTGCCATTAGGTGTATATTGCATCAACTTTCATGTCATTAACTGAAATGTTATTGATATCAAACCAATTACCCATCACTGCTGAGGATTTGAATCCCTACAGGGACTTTTGATTATTTCATGTGAAAGGTAACTATCCAGCTAGCTTACAGAAGGTTCAGGTGGCCTTCGTGTCTGAAATAATGCACAGATTGGCACATGAGGTCTTCCTCCACCAGTAAAACTGCAAAGTCATCATTTGACCAATACTGTGTTGGTGTGACGTTAAGGCAACAAGAAGGAAAGCACTAAGAAAAGTGGAGCATGCATCTCAAAAAAATATATTTCATCATAAAGTAGTGTGTGTATTCATCATGTTGTTGCATTCATTGTAAATCTTCACTTACTCATTTAAAGTAAGCTCCAAGGGTGTCACTCTGAAATGGTCTTTCTATAGGTTTCACTTTCTTATAAAACAGAGTTTAAACTCTACTGCTCGAAAGAAGTATACTCATAACATATTCATTTGGTACTAAATGTATTCTTGTTAAGTGGCCTTTGCAAATGTAAAACTAGTATTTATATCGCGGACAAAGTTCTGCTTTGGAATAGCTTTGTCAATTCTGTTAAATACATGTATATTAATTGGATAATTGTTAAACCTTCAATGTTATTTGTTATTTTTGATCAGGATCATTACTAACAATATGATTTTATTATTTCAGGATGTCAATCCAGCATCAGCAAATATCACAACTACCTATGAAATTCAGAACACACTACATGGTATAGAAATGCGCATGTCTGATACTGACAGTACACCAGATTTCAGGGATAATAGAATGTATACCATGCCAGACCCGGTCAATATTAGTCCTTTAAGTAAGTATTTGATTTCCAATGGAAAAAAGAGTGTACAGAAACACTTCTCTTTCTTCAGTTGAAGCATATTTCTCTGACTATAGGACAATATTAAGGTAACTATAAAACATTCATGAATAAATTACATTATAAAAGCTGCCTTATAAAGGTAATGACATGAACATTATGTTGTACTATATTTGAATCATTATTATTATAGCACAAATAATCGGAATTCTATCTTTATGATTGTATAAAGATATAACAATGCCCCATTGACAGATGAAAAATGTGACCAGTTTTCTGAACCAAACCTCCTTCTGTTTTATTAATGTTGTCTTATCAGGCTTTGGTACTTAAATGATGGTTCCAAAACAAGAACAACACCATGAACAGTTATAATTAAAATGCTATATTTAGTTCATTAAAACACCCGATAGATCAAATATATGTCACTCATATATGTAAATGTCCATTCCACTTGTTTATAATTATTAACTCTCTCTAAGGTATTCCATATATGAGTGGAGTAAATATGTTTGATCTATCAAGTGTTTGAATGAGAGAAAATATAATATTAATTATAACTGCTACATGTTGTTGAACAATGTTTGTCTGGAGCAAAACTGCTACATGAATGATGGAATTTCATTATAACTTGGCACAAATGTTTCCCATGTTTAGGCGGAGTGTCGGTCAGTCAAAGTTCAGATAAAAAATATTATGATGTGTAAGGGACCATAAATGGTAACTGTGATGACATCAGGTGCGATGTATAATTAAGGTTGATGTTTGCAAGGTCAAGGTCACTAGAGATGATTAAATATCCAGATATTGTCCACAGTATATCTCCTTCATGCATGGAGGAATTTTAACGTTAGTTTATAGAAATGTTCACTGCCATAAGACAAAGTGCCCTGTACATAAACCAGGTCTCTAAGTCAAGGTCACACTTAAAGCGCATTGAGACATAGGCGCAAATTTTCATCATTATGAGTGACATGCATAAAATTCAGGTTCCTGAAACCAAGGTCAAGGTTACACATAGAGGTGAGATGAAAATATAAAATATGTATGTGGACTTACTTGCTTGCCAGCCTTCTGAACACCCATATCTCCACCTAAAGCTTTTGTGATGGGCATATTTTGTGACAATGTCATCCCTGTTCATGTTAGGAAGCTATCCAGCTTGCTTAGGTAATGTCTGTGATTCCACTCAGGTGCCACCTTTTATTTCGATTACTGCACAGAGACATGTAAGGTCTTCCTACACCAATAGAACTATGGCATATACAATTTTGGTATGACTTTCAAACAAAATAGCAAAACTTATCTGTTCACAGAATATGTTGGTGGACATAGTCCTTCCAAGAGGTCATACACTGATACAGGACTTGGTGTACATGATGATGTTTTATATGTGGAGGAAGATGAACATGGAAATGTGCTGTCCACATATACAGCTCAGGTATTCCATTATCAATAGTTCTAATGAATCTGGTCAACTTGGTTTAATTTTGTAGCTTATGTTTAAATACATTATTTACTTAGGTGGTAATGTAGCAAATTTCCTTGTTATTTTCTGTTTCATAAACACATAGTTTGTCTTTTTAATCGAGACATATCAGTCTAATGCTCTGCAGCAAAGTTATCATATTTTTCAGCCAATTCCCACTGCTGGACAGGAAAATGTTGTGGTATCATATCCAGAGCACAGTGATGTTAAGCAGTTGAAAACAAAGAATCGAGAACTTGAAATGAAAATTAAAAAGTTTGAGACACAAAATGTTCTTCAGAAGTCATATGTTGACTTTCTTGAAAAAACAGTAAGTGATTATTCTCAGATATTTTAAGTGTTCAATGTTTGTTAAAATCATTTAAAATTCTCCATCATCTTTCGTGAAGCCTACTTCTGAGCAGAAATTGCTGTAAGTAATTCACTAAAATATATTTTAGTGATACTTGATCATTTATGTGTTGAACATTGCAAATGTTTAAGTTTTAGATTACTATATGAATTTGCCTGTCAAAATCTTCTGTATTTAAAATATTAAATGATGTTGGTTTTTATTGTAGATCTGTGATTTGAAAGAGGAACATAGCAAAGAAGTGGAAACATTGAAGGCTGAAAATGAAAATTTAAGAAAGGGACAAGGTGTAAATGATGAGTCTACAGGAGGACCTAATGAGGGAGGGGAAAGTGTCAACAGCTCACATGGGTCATTTGTTAGATCTGCTGTTAGTGCAATGGATCAGAAAAGCATAACAAGAACAAGTGTTTCAACAGCAGAAATTAATGCTCCAGTGAACAATTCTCTTGCAATAGGTAGAGTTGAAGATCAGCTGAGTCAACTTAGAAATGAAGTAGCAGGTTTGAGAAACAATATAAATTATAATATATCACCCGGTATCAATCTTGTGAGACCATGTAATCCTCCCTATTTCCTTCTCAAACAGGGACTCATGACACCATGTATCTTTCCTGAAAACATGACTGGTTTAGTTAATACTAATCTTGCTCAGAATGTACCAGTGAAAATGTTTCAAAACACAGCTACCTTAAATTTATTGCCTTTAAATTCTCAACAGAAAGTATTCAATACACCACCTGTTAGTTCTGCACAGTCCTGTGTAGCTAAGCAAAATACTGAGAAGTGTGATAAAGATGAATCTGACATTGACAAAGGGAGAAACAAGAAGAATGTTACTGACAATTGTGACACCAATTCAAAGATAGGAAATATTGGTATCATCTCTAATGTAGCAAAGGGAATTAAAGAATCAACAAGTAGCACACTTCCTACAGATGTCACTGTGAGTGTACCTTGTATCCAGACAGAAAATATTAAAGATACTATTGGGACAAAAATGCTTTCAAAGGAAGTACAATCTGCAGCTCAGCCAGAAGTTGTGCTTAAATCGATAAAGGAAATACAATCTGCAGCTAAGTCAGAAGTTGTGCTTAAACCAATGCAGAAAGAAAAAGATAATACAGTTAATGACAATGATGAAACCTGTCTAGATAATCCAGTATCTCAAATAAAAAATCCAGATAGTACTCCAGAATCTTCCCAAATCACAACTAACATGTCCATTAAGAAATCAGAGAATGGGGATGTTAATGATAAATCCACAATTTTACAAAAGTGTGTGACTCGTTCATTAAGCTCTGTCTCAAGTAGACCAACATGCACTGTGGAGCAAAGCACATCTGCAGTAGTCTCAAGCAAAGGACCATGTGTTACTAGTTCCATTGAAACAGCAAATAGTAAATTAAAATCTTCAACAAGTAATGTAAGTAGTAACACTACGAATGTTCCGAACATGCCCCAACCAATTGTTGACATGCTGCACACTACCCCAACACCAGTTTTAATGGTACCAAACAAGAACTTCATGAACCCGTTTATTGTCCCTCAGAATATACCACTGGGATTGAATGTTCCAAGCATTCCTGGTAATTTAAGTAAAGAATCTAGTGTACATGACCAAAAGGATCAGTTTGTAGTAGTGCAAGGTCCTACAGGTTGTTTTTTGCTTCCAAGGAGCAGCATATCAGGATTAGATCAAGTTCCTAGCACAAACACTTCAGCATTTACAAACACAGTACCACTGAGTAAAATTGATGGAATATCTGGACGTACTGGAGTGCAGGAGAAGACCACAACAACAATAGTGAATGCTGAAACAAAAACATGTTCATCAAATAATGAAAAACTATCGCAGAATAGTTCTGTGGATAATGGAAAAAACAAATCTAAACTTGATTTTGGAATGAAATCAACATCAGAAAAAGTAAAAGGTGAAATAGGTCAATTTCTGTTGGACAAACAATCCACAGCTGGTACATCAATACCTTGTACAGTCCTGAAAGATAGTAAATCAGCAACTAAAGAAAGGTATGCTGTATCTAGAAATTATACAACCAAAACAAATAAACCAAGTCCAGAAATATTGGAAGTCAGTAAAAAGGAGTTACTATCACTTCATGCAAAGTCGCTTTATGATAAATATAACGATGCTACAGAGTCAGTCACTGAAACTCCTGGTCCTGCAAAGAAAAGAAAACTTGTAGTTTTGAAGGTTGATAAAAATATGGATAAAAGTGCATTGAATGATTTTCTCAAGAAACATAAAATATTTCTCAAAAAAGAAAGTAAGCCGGATGGAACTGATTAAAAGAAACAATAAAAATGTCTAACTGAAGAACGGGACCCGATTATTTTAAAGCAGTGGAAGTCGTATTCAGAAAGAGGGACTTAAGATTTATATTTTAACTTTGACACACAATATAATTACATAAATTATGAAAAACATTTTTAGCTCGACTATTCGAAGAATATGAGAGCTATTGTAGTCGCCCCGGCGTCGGCGTCTGCGTTGGTTAAAGTTTTTTGTAAAGTCAAATATCTCAATTATTTCTTGAGATATTCAGTTGAAACTTACAATACTTATTTTTATCACACACCCGTGCCGATTTTGCGACTCCGTAAATATGGTATTGCACGGCCGTGCATATATTTTGACGTGACGTCATTAGCGTTATACAAACATAGCGTAAAGACGCGCTAAATGTTAGCGTTATACTATAGGCGCGTCAATGAAAAATGACTCTTATTTCACTTTAAACGGTCTTTATTTTGGGTATGTGATAAATAGAATATTAAATTCGTGTAAGTTCATTACTGAATTTATTGCACTCGTTGAATAAAATAATATTATGCTCGCCAGAGGCTCGCATAATATAACTTTATTCAACTCGTGCAATAAATTCAGTATTGAACTTACACTCATTCAATATCCTCTATATAGTAACAAGGTACATCAGATTGATAAGTTGGATAACTCTGCCTACAATATTGACAGAATTATGCCCCTTTTTAACTTATAAATTTTGGTTAAAGTTTTTTATAAAGTCAAATATCTCAATTATTTCTTGAGATATTCAATTGAAACTTACAATACTTATTTATAGTAACAAGATACATCAGATTGACAAGTTGGATAACTCTGCCTACAATATTGACAGAATTATGCCCCTTTTTAACTTAGAAATTTTGGTTAAAGTTTGTTATAAAGTCAAATATCTCAATTATTGCTTGAGATATTCAATTGAAACCTACCATACTTATTTATAGTAACTATGTACATCAGATTGACAAGTTGGATAACTCTGCCTACAATATTGACAGAATTATGCCCCTTTTTAACTTAGAAATTTTGGTTAAAGTTTTTTGTAAAGTCAAATATCTCAATTATTGCTTGAGATATTCAATTGAAACTTACAATACTTATTTATAGTAACAAGGTACATCAGATTGACAAGTTGGATAACTCTGCCTACAATATTGAAAGAATAATGCCCCTTTGGAACTTAGAAATTTTGGTTAAAGTTTTTTTTGTAAAGTCAAATATCTCAATTATTGCTTGAGATATTCAATTGAAATTTAAAATACTTTTTTATAGTAACAATGTACATCAGTTTGCAAAATTGCATATCTCTGCCTGCAATATTTGCAGAATTATTTGCCCCTTTGAAACTTAGAAATTTTGGTTAAAGGTTACAGGTCTTCAAAAATATTTACTTGAAACTTTACACATGCACTTAGGGTCATAATTGGAGGGTCATAATTGTATGTCACTGACCAAGTTCCATAACTCTATCTTGCATTAAGGCTGATTCATATCCCCTTTTCTACTTTGTCTCTTGGTTATTGTTTACATGCAAGTTATACATATCTCAATAACTATTAAAGATATTTTAAATATTTCACATATGCATTTAGGGTCATAATTGTAGGTCACTGACAAAGATCCATTATTCTATCTTGCATTTAGGCTGATTTTTCTCCCCTTTTTCAACTTAGAAATTCATGGTAAAGTTTTGCTTGTAAGCTGTTATCTCAATAACTACTGAAGGGTTTGTGCCTTTTTTTGGGACAAATTTATGCATTCATAATGATAAAGCAGTGATTTACTTGATAAAACATCTTAATAACAAGCCTTTGTACCTTTTCTGTCAAATTTATGTATTCATAGGTAATTAGTATTATTATACTCAATAAAACACCCGTTATGACCGTTAGGCCGTTAGATGACCGTCAGTTATTGGACTGACAAGCTTTTTGAGCCAAGTCCCTTCTGACCTTGACCTTTGATCTAGTGACCTCAAAATCAATAGGGGTCATCTAATGGCCATGACTAACCTCCATGCCAAATATTAAACTGTGGGTCAAAGGATTCTTAAGTTTTTCGGCAGACAAGCTTTTTAAGTCAAGGTCCCTGTAACCTTGACCTGGTGATCACAAAATAATAGGGGTCTTCTACTAATGCATGACCAATCTCAATACCAAATATGAAGACTGTGGGCCAAAGAAATCTTTAGTTATTAGGCGGAAAAGAAAAAACGATGACCAGACGGACAAGCTGAGAATACAGTAATGTTAAAAAGAAAAAAATGTTGAACCCTCGGTTCTAAGTTTCAGTGTATTTAACAATAGTTCTAGCCTATTTGAATAATCTTATAAGCAGAGGTAATGCATTAGGATGGTCATACCTTAACATCTTAAACCATTACTGCTGAATTGTCATAATGGATTTTTTTACCTGTTTTAACTTATAGACAATAGTAGATTATTTACAGATTTCAGTAAGAAAACACTACAATTGAGTAGCCAACAATCTAGTGTGTGACAAGACTGCACATGCTGACTTGTTTATCTTTTTATCTGTACTACAGCTCGGTCACTATCACTCACAATAAGTTATTAATGAAAAAATACAATATTATAATATTGCTCCTTTATTATATCAAAAGGTTTATAACAGTACATGTATCAGGGTAAAATATTCTCTTAAACTCGTCACAGTATACATATTTCAAACTGCTTACTAGGGGAACCAACTGTTGCAAAAATACTTGTTGACTTGCTGTTAAAGATATATTCAAGAAGGAAACAACAACTAACTTAACAATTAGCTAAAATTATTTTTTTAACATCTCTTTCTTTTGAGCGTTGCTCAATATTTGAATTGATGACTTTGTTGCTCATTAAACCTCTTCTGGAGAATTCAAACATGTTTCAGAATCAGTAAGATTATGCAAGATATCATAATAGTTGTCAGCACATTTGTGTAATGATGAACACCTATACATGTAAGTTATACTATTGTTGACTCCAGGTTTGTGTAATGATGAAGAACAATGTCTCAAGATCCAGTTGTATTGTCTAATGAGCTGTGTAACACTGATACATTATTTATGCCAGAAACGCTTGAATTGCCAAATGGACTTTGTATGCCAGATACACTTGTATTGCCTAATGAACTGTGTAACACCGATGCATTGCTTATGCCAGATGCTCTTGTATTGCATAATGGACTTTGTATTACTGATGAATTATTTATGCCAGAAACACTTGAATTGCCTAATGAACTTTGTATGCCAGAAACACTTGTATTGCCTAATGGGCTGTTTACAATTGATGCATTGCTTATGCCAGATACACTTCTATTGCCTAATGGGCTGTGTAAAATCAATGCATTGCTTATGCCAGATACACTTGTATTGCCTAATGAACTGTGTAACATCGATACATTGCTTATGTCAGATACATTTGTATTGCCTAATGGACTGTGTAACACTGATGAATTACTTATGCCAGATACACTGTCTAATGAGCTGTGTAACACTGATACATTATTTATGCCAGAAACACTTGCAACATGTTGCATGCTAATATCACTTTTAACAAATGCCGTCTGCTTCAATAAATCAATCTCTTGTCTCATGCTAGATAACTGATTGAACATTTCCTCCATTGAACCAATTTGACTGGTTCTACAACCTTTAGATGTTTTAGTTTCCTTGTCAAAACCAGTCATTTTTCCTTCATTCGGCTTACTTATTTTTGCAACTGCTGGTACATTGTCATTAGAAATACTTGAGTATTTCCTTGTAGCTGTTCTGGTTCCATATTTATGTGATGGACCAGCAGATTCTTTTTGAGTATTCTTTAACCTCTTTTCTAGTTCTTTTGCTTTATCTAAAGAAACCCTAACATCACTAGGAACTTGTTCTAATTCTTGACTCCCTTGTGATCCACTTCTGTAATGTTTAGCTGCACTATGTTTACATGTATCTGCTGTAGGAGCAGATGACTTTTGACTTGTGAATTTTAATTTGGCTATTTCTGATTTACATGTATCAAGTTGTGATATAAGATCTTGTTTTTCGTACTTATAGTCCTCTATAGCCTTTGTCTGGTTCACATCCTGTAACATATAGCACATATATTTTATTGATCAATCAGCCCTTTGTAAATAAATAAATTAAACCACACCTTACGTAAAACATGTTATCTTCGATATTGATAATAGTCTTGGATATTTATTTTATTAACCTCACTGAGCTTAAATTGCAGCAAAGGTAGAGATCCACACAAGGTGCCTACATACTATACATCACTCAATAAATGAAGACTCTATGAGTAAAGGTAGAAAGAGTCATTTATCACTATGATATTTGCTCTATTGTAAACCAAAGCAATGGCTGAACATATATATAATCTGAAAGATGCATTATATATAAAGTTGAAGATGTCCTTCCTTTAGTCTCAATCACCTTGACAATATCATACAAACCTTAAATACCCACCTAAATGAGTACAGACCTATGAAAAAAAAGACAAGCTGTTGACTGCTTCCCCATTAACCCCTTCCCCACTCCCCCATACACACAAATGATAAAAAATGATTGAGGCACCAACCTTCATCTGCATGAATTCAATAAGAGATTTCTGAACAGTATTTTTCTTCTCCAACTCTCTACAGTTCATCTCAAGTTCTCGAACTTTATTTCTCAGCTCAGTAAGTTCACCACTATCAGGTACTGTTATCACATATGTCTCATTTCCAGCAGTTGGTATTTCCTGTAGAAAATCAAATACACTTATTATAAAGCAATCATTAAGAATTAAAATGTGACTATTTACTAAATCTCAAGTTAATTCAACTCTCAGACAGGATAGGTGTCATGAATTTATAGGTAGATAAATGTGACTGCTGAGACTGGACAATAAGAAACACTAATAAAATGTCCTCTCTATTTGCCTTGGAACTATTTGAGCAATTTTAGAAAAGAACCACCCAAGGATCATTCCTGTATAGTTTCATTATCATTGGCCAAGCTCTTTATAAGTTCTTGTTAATGTAAAAATGTTAATGCCGGATACCAAACACAGGTGGTATCACAATAGCTCACCTTGAGCACTTTGTACTCTGGTGAAGTCATAATGAAATAGAAATGCATATTTCTATACAAAATTTGACTGAATGAATAAAATTGTATTGTAATCTCTACCCTAAAAGACTCTTTAAAAGTTCATTTCATATTTTTTTATTTATTTTTTTTTCAAAATCTGAATAACCTTGCCTAAGCTTTATTTCAACATAATTACTTTAATAAATTAAATAATAATATTATTTAATGAATTTTTTTTTTCCAAATAAAATATCTTTGTTTATTATATACTTTTAAATGAAATATTGAGAAATATTGATGAAATAAAATGCGTATTTTCATTTTCCGTATTTTCACTGTAAAAATTTATTTTTCACTACAGTGAAACATATTTTCCGTATTTTCGCTGGTGTCTTGCCGGACTAATTTCTTTTAAATTCTGCCAGGACTCAAAATTTAAGGGAAAGTCTTTCAAATTTTAATGTCCAGAAAGAGAAAAATGTATATAATAAACAGAAAATTCAAGTTTTTTTCTATAAATACATGATTTATTTCATCTTTTGGCATGAAAATTACCATATTTCACTCGTGGCTACCGCCACTCATGAAATATTTATTTTCATACCACTCGATGAAAATAAATCATGTATTTATAGAAAAAACTTGAATATTCTCTATTTATTGATGCAAAATAAAAGAATCTGACAAGGTCAGTGATACCCTTCTTAAACTTTGCTAAAAGCATGGCTAATTAGTTAACAGATTATTAGATAGCAACTAGAAATGTGTCCATAGGACACGGGTGCCCCCACACGCCTCTGTTCTGTCAATCTTATGACTCTAGGTCAAATATTTTTTGGACTACATGTGCCACAAGTTGAAAATTAAAAATCTTTTACTAAGTAAAGGGCAAGAACTTTACAAATACTGAATAAATCCACAAGCAAACCCCAAGGTGCATAAGTACACAAGCTGACCAACATTGTTGTAAACTTTCAGGCCTACAAGTCAAATACTTTTTGAGCTATGCATGAACAAGTTGAAAATTGCAAATTTATACTACTGTAAGTCAAGGGCAATAACTCTAACAAAACTGAAAAAAAATCCACATGCAAAGTCCCTGGTGCATAGCTTCACAGTGATATTGATCATTATTCCTGTAAAGTTGATTGATTCTAACTCAAGCACTCAAGGAACAAATAACACAACATAATGAAACAGTTTTTACTAAGTCAAGGGAAATAACTCTACAAATACTGGATAAATCCACATTCAAACCTCAACTACTGGAACATGAGTTTTAAAAACATAGTTTACAGTAAATTCGTAACAGATATATTTTTACAGCTAATACTTTTTATATGCCCGAAAGGGCATATTATGTTATACCCCCTGGCGTCCGTCTGTCTGTCTGTCCGTCCGTCCGTTAGCAATTTGGTTTCCGGAGCATAACTTAAGTTCCATTTGGCCCACAATGTTCAAACTTCATAGGATGATTGTCCATATTGGGTAGAAGACCCCTATTGATTTTGGGGTCACAAGGTCAAGGTCAGTATTACCTTGAAATTGATAACAGTTTCTGGAGCATAATTTAAGTTCCATTTGACCCACAATATTCAAACTTCATAGGATGATTGTCCATATTAGGTAGGAGACCCCTATTGATTTTGGGGTCACAAGGTCAAAGGTCAAGGTCACCATTACCTAAATACTGAAAACAGTTTCCGAAGCACAACTTAAGTTCCATTTGGCCCACAATATTCAAACTTCATAGGATGATTGTCCACATTTGGCAAAAGACCCCTATTGATTTTGGGGTCACTAGGTTAAAGGTCAAGGTCACAATTACCTTAAAACCAAAAACAGTTTCCGGAGCATAACGTAAGTTCCATTTGGCCCACTATATTCAGACTTCATAGGATGATTGTCCATATTAAGTCAAAGACCCCTATTGAATTTTGGGTCACAAGGTCAAAGGTCAAGGTCACTATTACCTTAAAATTGAAAACAGTTTCCAGAGCATATCTAAAGTTCTATTTGGCCCAAAATATTCAAACTTCTTAGGATAATTGTCCATATAAGGTAGAAGACCCCTATTGATTTTGGGGTCACAAGGTCAAAGGTTAAGGTCATTATTAATAACTTAAGTATTAATCAACCTATAGCTGTAAAATTTTAAAGGATGAACAGCTAATTCCCATGTCTTACAAATGCTTCATCCTTACTAAAAAAACACAACAACTTTCGGGCATATAATGCTCCGCCTAGCGGTGCTCTTGTTCTAATTGAAATCATTTAAAATGAATAAAGTTGTTACACAAGTTTCATCTACATGTTGGGGACTTGTCAGCTGTCAAAGTGTTTTTCAGATTTATATATATTTTCAAAACTCTTGGACAAGTCGCTGATTTTTGTCTTCTACAAAATTTTCAAAAGTTCTTGACAACTCTCTGCAGCCAATTTTCCCTATTTTCTAGAGACTGTGGCCACATTACAAATAATTATTTGTTGTCGCTTTACAGAGAATCAAAGTTGTGAAGTTTATTAGTGACCATAAACATCACATAAGACCAATATGTTGTAGTTTAACAACCATAACATAAATAGCACAGAATAAACTCATGTTACAAGATATGAACAATATTGTACCTGAGCTGTGTATGTTGATGTCACATTTCCTATCTCATCATCCTGTACAAACATAGCTGAACTATCGATAGTTTCAAGGCCAGTGTCAGCATAACTTCTTTTAAAAGAGCTATTGCAACATGCTCCCTTTGCTGGAAACAAAGCAAATAAAATTGAATCTGTAATAAATTTTGAAAATGGGGAAAAAATATCAACAGTTTAATTGGTAAAAGTTTGCAGACTCAGTTTGATTGGGTCTGATATTGATCTGCATTATCAAATGTTACATTGCTTACTAAATCAATATTCAATTTTCAGAATAATATAAAAGAGCAACAATTTAAATTGTGTCATAATATCTCTAAAATTAACAGTAAATCGTACTGCTACTATATTTTTAATGGGATCATCTTTTTTTTTCAAAATCAACATTATTTTTTTATGTCAAGATTTTAAGCAACAACAGTAATGGGGGCAATGAAGCTAGTTAACAAGACTTATCACTGTGTGTTTCAAATCATATACATGTATCTTATCTACCTAAAACTTAAGACAGACACAAATGTACAATCATCGCTTTTAAACTAAACTGTATTTATTAATAATGTAAATTATCTAAACCTAAATGAAATACACAACTAACAGCAGCCAAACAGAAAGTCAGACTATTATTAAATTTTAAATTTACAACAAGGAATAATTCAGTTAAAATCAAAACTGTATCTGTAATTACTGATCCTAGAAAATGTCTAGCAGTTCCCCAATACATGTGTTATATTTAAAGTGTATATCACTATGATTAGTGAGATATAAATTTAGGTGCAATACCTTAATAAAATAATGGTCAAACACATGATAATTCAAGTTTGCTTTAAAACACCCAGCTTAAAAATGATAAAAACTTTTCTCTTGAAATCATGACACTGCTGAAAGTGGCACACCTTTAGATAAGTAATATCAAACTTACATATAAATATGATAAGAAATGTATAAATATTCACAATCCAAGTGTCATTTTGTGACTCTTTCTGACCTTGGTAATTTTAGCAGAGTGACCAATGCTATAACAAACAATTTGATTTTAATTGTGCATATTTTAAGATGAGAACTATTTATCAGGAGTCATGCCACTATATCACCTATACAATTAATAGTTGAAAATATATGTAAAGATTAAAGACAATAATAAAGTGTACATACATGTTGTAGCGACATTATGTAAGGTTACAGAAGTCTGGTATAACTCGGATGTAGCATGGGTAACATCTATTTCATGAGGAACAGTTATACCACTCAAAGCTGGATTTACATCCTGGAAAATGAAAACAGTGTATTGAAATCTGGGACATTATGAATGATTCACTTTGATGACATTAACCTTACCTAACACAAAAACATGTGTGACCAGACATGTAAGACTTGTGCCTGCTCATGATGCTCAAAAAGGGAGAGCATGGGCTTTGTAATCCAGCAGTCACTGGTTTGATCCTTGGGTGGGGCAAAATTTTTCTATGAAAGTTGATCTCTAACATTGAGTTAAATGGTCATTTGTCTCTCAACACTTATTCAGAAATCATGGGGGTTTAGCAATGGGTCACATGCAGAGATACTGACAAATACCCAGTACTAGTTACTTATTCAGGAAAGCCAGTTAGGTGGACATAACACCGAGATCAAAAATGTTACCTAAAATCATAATAAACATTTATTTTTAAACTAAACTAAGAATGTCTTGTTTTCATCTAAGATCAAATATAAAACGGACAATAATACATATTTTTGGTATTTCAATGTTACATTTGGGAATATTCATTGTATTAAAATCTTCAAACTAATTTCCAAAAGTGTTAAAGTTAAATTACTTGAATGTTTAAAGAATTAAAAAAATAAATCTAACCTGAGTCACTTGTATCTGGAAGTTTGACTCGTAATTCCTAACATGTGATTGATAATGTGCTATGGCACTATTACGCTTATCTAAACCATTTGCACATTTGTAGCAGTGCCAGTGACCACCCTTGAATGTCTTACAATCTTTGTTTTTTCCAGCTACCTCACAGTTGTCATAACAACGAAGTATCCTTAAACCTTTCAAACATAATAAATAAAATGTGTTAGTAAACCAAAGCTGGGATCATGATGTTGGGAAAAAACTTTCTACAAACCTAGAAACACGTTGAGTTTTACAAAACAACGCTGGGAATATAATATACATAAAACAATATATTTGTTTTATTTTTATTTTGATATTGTTGATATCAGAAAAGGAATTTTAAAATTTTACATGACAACATATTTTCTAGGCAACTTATGTTAGACACAATTATTTTGAGATAACTAAGGAAGATCAAGAATTGTGTATAAAGTTTGATGTTTTATCTATTTAATGGTTAAATATTATTGATTTGATGTCATCCAGTAACATTCAAAATAACCATGGTAATGCCAAAGTAGCACAGCTCACCCTGAATTTTTATAACACTGTACACCAAAATGTCGGACACAAAAATGGATCTTTTAAAAAATATATTTATTGATTAAATGCATATATTTAAGATTTGTTTTAACTATTAATCTCAAAAATTTATTTATCCAAAACTTATTCTTATAATGATTGAAATTAAGTAAAATTCAAGTCAAATGAAATATTTGATTTTTTGATTTCCCCCACGAACAGTTAAATAGTGATAGGTTTGAGTTACCAGTATAATAACGATGAGCTACATCCAAAACTTCCAACATACATCTCTTGGTATGAGAATATAATCATTTACCCAAAGTGTTAAAAGGCATCAACCTTGTTTTGCGTAAACAAAAATTAATTGAGTTTTGATGTCAAAACGTTCTGAGTGTGCCATATGCACATTACTATATTTGCTTTGTTATGCAAGTGTTGGCCACCATGTGTCTAATTGTTTTAATCCTTGTTTTCTTGTAAAGAGCATATTTATGCATTTAAAAAACCATTTATATAATGTGAACTTTTAATAAATATTATCGAATCTATGCCTTCAATGGCTTAATTCTATGTATTTCTCTATCATCCTTGGTAAATATATATCATCTTTAAAAAAATAGATCTATGTCAGTAGGAAAGATTCAAAGTTTTCTTAATTAAGAGTATAATTTTAAAGGTCATAAAGCAATATATAAATCTATAAACAGTAAAGCTATGTTGATTTCATAATTATATGGTACATTCTTGAAACAGTTGTAACATAAAATGTCTGTTATTTAATACATAAATATTTCATGAACACATAATAGAATGTTCTGGAACTAAATACATGTATTATGCTGCCATTTTTACCATTTATCGTTGATTCTAGGCATGTGCCATTCACTCATTATGAAATACAAAAATATATTTTCATCATACAAGTGTTTTGGAAGTATTCTTTTTCAAAATCCAAGCAATAAATTTTCAGCAGATATACAGCTTTATACACTTTTATGTTTAACAAGAGATTAATCTGTAATATGATAAAATAAATTCATGTTTATACCTGCAAATTCAATGGCTTTGTCCACATGTCTGTTTTTGAAATGTGCTTTGAGAAGGCTAGGATCAGTGTAACAGTCAGTTTTAGCACATAGTGGACAGTGCATATGTGCTTCTATTATTGCACAATCAAGTTCTAAACACTGAACTGGTGTGAAAATATCCTCTGTTCCCTTTACTCTAACACTGGGATGTGTCTGAAAAACAAATGAAAAAGAAACCAATAGACATGAGACATGGCAATGCCATGAAATCAGGTTTTCAACAAATTGCCACTGCAAGCAGGGGCCACACTTTCAGCTTTTTCTTAATACCAAAATGCTTTATTAAATGAATGTCAAAAATAATCAAAGTCATTTTGAAATTATTCAATATGTCAATATATAACTTACATTATAGCCTTGCAAACTGTTAGCATAAATTTGGATATTTTCTTCACAATTTTTTTCAAGATAATGCAATGTTAATATATGCACCATGCATTCACCTTTGAGAATATTTTTTACCAAAAAACTACAAGAAAATGGACAGGTACATATAAAGTAAGAATACCTGTTGATGAGTACAATCATCACTAGCAGCATTAGCAAATATTATAGAGAGATGTAGTAGTAAACGGAGGTTTGTAGTTGTAAACTCTTTATTTGCCACAGTGAACATGTTGTTTGGTATTTCACCAGTGATGTCATGGTATAATGATACCAGTTCTTCATCTTGCATTTCTTCAAGTTTCTGATCAGGTTTAGGTTGGGCAAGAGTTTCAGGTAAGTCTGTTGTTGTCTTAAACTGCATGACCAAGTCCATCAAGTTTTTTCCCATTAAACTCGCCCATTTCTTCAACAATGGTGCTCTTCTTGATACAGGCTTGGGCACAGAATCCTATCATACAACAGGAAGAGATATATATTAAATATTCTGTCATGACCGGCTACATACTGCGCCATGTAATAAATAAATGTGCAAATAATGCAAAAGTATGCCAGATCTGTGCATGTTATGGCTAAAACAAATAACACAGTAAGTAAATGGACTAACGTATTTTATCTTGCATCAAAATTGAAAAGTAACGAATATGAAATAATATTTTAACCAGCATTATAAATTTTCTCAGGAATATATTTACCTTTATAAATCATTAGTGAGAATGACAACCTGACTGCTGTGTAAAGGCAACTTTTGTGTTTCAAGTACATTAATGCATTTTCTTCACATTAGGTATATAAACTGTTTTTACTTTCTTTCTATTAGCATCTTAGAATGAAAAAATAAATTAATCTCTTTCTTGCCTTATGGTACAATAATATATGGTTTATATATATTACAGAGCTGTATGTTATTCATCAACAGCAAATTGAAAACTGAGATCTATTTCTTTAGTCTATTACGGTTCTCTAGACTTAAAACATCTTTTTTATATAATCAATAATTAGGTTCTCACCACAGAAATCCTGGTGCATCCTTTATCAAGAACATGTGTTATTTTCTTGTATTTACACTGTACATCTATTGGTGCGTCACCATGGTTATGATTGTTGTCTATGTGCACATAAACCAGCACATACCTCTTTGTATCTTTGCTAAAATTTGCTTTCAATTGTTTACCCAATTCAGTCTTAAAACTACTTGGATATTCTTTTCCTATTTCAACCTGCAAAACATGCATGTCTATGTCATATCATCTATACATGAAATACTTTCTATCATTTGTTCTAGAAAATATCAACATTTCTTTCCCAAAACTGTGTTCTGTATAGATCTGTTAACTAACAAGGGAGAATATTTGTAAGTAACTGAGTGCACTATGATGGAATAAAATTCAGAGTCCTTACAATATTTTCCTTGTACCCATTAAAAAAACTTCAGTAGTGAGTAACAGAAATGGTATAGATTTGTACATTAAGACAATATTGTGTAAGCGGCCTAGGTAAACTGAGTGGCCAGGTAAACTGAGTGGGTAAAGCTGCAGAACAATATTCGCAGAGTCCTCAGTTCAAGCTCTCATCAGAATTAGTATATTTCTCACCAAGTGACAACCATACCATTGTCCCCCCCCCCCCCCCACTAAACCTGTCAAAAATTTCTTGTAAGACTGTAATCTGACTAAAATCTGCTCTACATAAGATTACAACTTATAATTCAACTGCATTCAAGAGATATATACTGGTGGAATAAGTTAGTGTCATTACCCTAAACTGAATCAAAGTACTTCAAAACTTCTTGAATTAAATTTTACCTTCAAAAACCAATAATAAGACCTGAATAAAAAAATTGCACATCTTTTCTTATCTCATTTAATATCTCTTTTTCTACATTTTTTTTTAACTTGTTGTAAGTTCAAACCAATGTATTTGTTCTTTCAAACTCTGCTTTAGATGATTAGCACATGAACTTTTTAGAATAATAACTAGAAATATGTCCATAGGACCCAGGTGCCCCCACACTCCACTGTTTACTGACATACAGCATGACCATAGAACACAGGATGCCCTACACTCCACTGTTTACTCACATATAGCAGGACCATAGAACACAGGTGCCCCCACACTCCACTGTTTACTGACATACAGCAGGACCATAGGACACAGGTGCCCCCACACTCCACTATTTACTGACATACAGCAGGACCATAGAACACAGGTGCCCCCACACTCCACTATTTACTGACATACAGCAGGACCATAGAACACAGGTGCCCTCACACTCCACTGTTTACTCACATATAGCAGGACCATAGGACACAGGTGCCCCCACACTCCACTGTTTACTGACATACAGCAGGACCATAGGACACAGGTGCCCCCACACTCCACTGTTTACTCACATACAGCAGGACCATAGGACACAGGTGCCCTCACACTCCACTGTTTACTCACATACAGCAGGACCATAGGACACAGGTGCCCTCACACTCCACTGTTTACTCACATACAGCAGGACCATAGGACACAGGTGCCCCCACACTCCACTGTTTACTCACATACAGCAGGACCATAGGACACAGGTGCCCCCACACTCCACTGTTTACTCACATACAGCAGGACCATAGGACACAGGTGCCCCCACATTCCACTGTTTACTGACATACAGCAGGACCATAGGGACACAGGTGCCCCCACACTCCACTGTTAACTGACATACAGCATGACCATAGGACACAGGTGCCCCCACACTCCACTGTTTACTGACATACAGCATGACCATAGAACACAGGTGCCCCCACACTCCACTGTTTACTCACATACAGCAGGACCATAGGACACAGGTGCCCCCACACTCCACTGTTTACTCACATACAGCAGGACCATAGGACACAGGTGCCCCCACACTCCACTGTTTACTCACATACAGCAGGACCATAGGACACAGGTGCCCACACTCCACTGTTTACTCACATACAGCAGGACCATAGGACACAGGTGCCCCCACACTCCACTGTTTACTGACATACAGCATGACCATAGGACACAGGTGCCCCCACACTCCACTGTTTACTCACATACAGCAGGACCATAGGACACAGGTGCCCCCACACTCCACTGTTTACTCACATACAGCAGGACCATAGGACACAGGTGCCCCCACACTCCACTATTTACTCACATACAGCAGGACCATAGGACACAGGTGCCTCACACTCCACTGTTTACTGACATACAGCATGACCATAGGACACAGGTGCCCCCACACTCCACTGTTTACTGACATACAGCATGACCATAGAACACAGGTGCCCCCACACTCCACTGTTTACTCACATACAGCAGGACCATAGGACACAGGTGCCCCCACACTCCACTATTTACTCACATACAGCAGGACCATAGGACACAGGTGCCCTCACACTCCACTGTTTACTCACATACAGCAGGACCATAGGACACAGGTGCCCCCACACTCCACTGTTTACTGACATACAGCATGACCATAGAACACAGGTGCCCCCACACTCCACTGTTTACTGACATACAGCATGACCATAGGACACAGGTGCCCCCACACTCCACTGTTTACTGACATACAGCAGGACCATAGGACACAGGTGCCCCCACACTCCACTGTTTACTGACATACAGCAGGACCATAGGACACAGGTGCCCCCACACTCCACTGTTTACTGACATACAGCAGGACCATAGGACACAGGTGCCCCCACACTCCACTGTTTACTCACATACAGCATGACCATAGGAAACAGGTGCCCCCACACTCCACTGTTTACTCACATACAGCAGGACAATGATACAGGGACAGACAAAGGACTCCTCCAAGGTACAAAATTTCACATGCTGATCAACATTCCTGTAAATTTTGTTGACTCTAGCTCATGCACATTTAGAGCTTCATGTGACACAACAGGAGAACACATGGACCGACAGACAAGGGCAAATATAAATGCCCCCCTATAGTGGGGGCACAATAAGTACCAATAAGTGTACATAATTAACTTGAAAAAAAAACAATGAGCCTCATTCCCCAAAGAAAGATGTCAATTAAGATTTTATTTTTATCATACCTATAATTTAACTATAAAGAATATTACTTTTAATATAAAACCAGATATCTTACAGAATATTCGGGAAACTTCAAAATCTTCTTTATCTTCACTTTCGATGGACAATTTAGTTTCTTTGATGGTTGAGTTCTTCTTCTCTTACCAGTACAGGTTCCAGATGTCTGAGTTGTTTCCTCTGTCTTTGACACAACCTCCTGGTTACTAGCTTCACTCTTATTTCAAATACATTTATTTATTTAATAATCTGTGTTTGTATGGTATAACTACATGTGTTAGACAAATAATAGTATCAAGCACAAAGTTCACATCTCCAATGAGGACAATTTCTATAAGTTTGTCTTAAGCATAACATATACAAATTATATGACAAATTCTTCACTGCTATACATTGTACAGTGTATGTTACACAGTCTGATTTGCAGTACAATAATTAAATTTGTCACTTGATTTTATAGATACTTTATTGTTCATAGATGCATCTATATCAGAATTAAATCAAAATAAGTAAGAGACTTCAACATAATTATATCTGAATTAAGACAGGTGGAATAATAAATCAATTTTGTATTGCTGTCTTACAAAAATATCACATTCCTGAGCTGTTTTTAACAGAATTTTACAGCCAAATAGATCTTTAGAAATGATTATGCATAACGAAAAAAACACATTAAATTTTAGAGTCACAGTCCAAGTGTATCAATGAAAAAAAAATGTTTTGACTGTACTTTATTCTTATTTTGGGTATATGATAAATACAATACAAGTATATAGAGGATAGTTGATGTCTTGCATGTAAGATTGAAATATATTTCACAGAGTGAACACCACATGTAATATTATCATGACTGACAATAGAAGAATGAAATATAACATTACAAAAGTTGAAAACAAACGATTTTTTTCTTATATTTCATTCATTTTTTTGCAATTTTTATGTGTAGTGGCATACGCTCTCAATCATGATGTCATCAAATCATGATGTCACATTGTTATTGTTGAAACTGTAATTCTGTAAATTCTTAAAGATTTTGTTAAATTTATAACATGATTCCTGCAAGTTGTCAATTGCTTCTCAAATCAAGAACATTTAACTAATTTGTGTATTTCTTATGACAATTCCATTTTTGTATGAAAAATTCTTTTCATGTCATACTCTTAAAGGGACATTATGCGTCAACGATTAAATTTTTACTTCTTTAGAAATGGCAAACATGCATTTTATAACATTTAAATCATGGTTTAAGAGCATGGAAGACACTTATTGCCTGTGAAAAGTAACATTAAATGTTGTCGTTAAAGTAGCAAAATGTAAACAAAGTAGTATTTTGACTTACATACAAAATACTAAATCACTATAACTGTGCTAATTATTAAAAAACAACATAAGAAAAAAAGACTGTTCAGTTAATTGGAAAATGAAAACCTTTTTGGAAACTTTAAAAGTACACAAAACTAAAGAGTTTTAGAAAAATAAAAATAAATGCATTTCTGGTGCATAATCATGGTATTTAAAATTATATTTAATAATTTTACTGTGAAATTATCAAAATTAATTGTGAAATTTAATATAAAAGCATGTAATAAATTATTAATTTTGTAATTTTGCTCCATTACAAAATTTATTGAAAAAAATAAATAAAGTAATATAATGCTTGCAGAGGCACTAACTTGTCTGATATAATTATTCAATATGGAATGTACACGTATTCAATGACCACTATATAGTACCTCAGTAGGAGGAGATTTTATCCTCTTTCTAGGTGGTCCATACTGGCAATCTCTCAGCTCTATACCAAAGTAAATAAATGGTATACCATCTTCTACCTTCTCTGAACCAGCTCTCACACCAGATGTATACTGCCATTGTATGTTGTAAGATTCCAATGATGTCAAATCTGAGAAAAAATATTTTTCTGTTTACACAATTATCATTCAGCCTTAACGACTGTTAGACTTAAACCAAGTCCAACAAGCATTCAACAAAGTGGGGACAAAATGATAATAACTATCAGCTACCAAGTCCAACAAGCATTCATCAAAGTGGGGACAAAATGATAATAACTATCAGCTACCAAGTACAACAAGCATTCATCAAAGTGGGGACAAAATGATAATAACTATCAGCTTCTGTCATTTCATAACTTACCTTGTTTGTTAATTCCTTTACTTTTTGCTACAACATATCTGTTGTTTGTAGCTACTTCATGACTTCTTACAAAAGCATAAGCCTCCTCAACAGATCTAAAAGGTCCAGACATCTATATTTTCAATCTGAAAATATTTTAAGCAGAATGCAATTTTGTTATGGGTCTATAGGCTAATTATGGATAATGTTCAGTCACATAGCCCGGAAATTGCTTCATCATATAAAATAATCTAATAACCATCCACATTAATATTAATTTCATTTACATTACACATTTATGTGCACTTCATTGAGAGGCACAGGGTACCGGCAGATGTTTAAAGATCCTCTGTTACATGCAAGACGGCAAGTTTGCATTTGTGATGACATCATTGGAACTCCTAGTGTCGTGATGTAAAGTCTTTGAACTGAACTTTGTTTAGGTAGTTCATTATAATTTATTTAAAATAATCAGGAAGATATTGCAAAAAAGGTGATTTAGTGTTGGAGTTATCTTTCCAACAAGTAGTATATAATTTATAATATTTATACATATCACATCATTTTTTTATAATGAAATAAAAAAGAATATAACAATTCGTCATCAATTCATATGTATAGGGTCTTACATGACTTCACTTAAGTTGTCATTTAATGTCAACTTCTGGAACATGTTATTTAGCAAGCCTTTTGAAAGTGTACTGTAGTGTATATCAAATGACTAAATTTAGGCCAAACAATATGTTTACAACTTTGTTATCATAATAGCATCACAGGGCAACAATTTTTAAGTGGGCAGTTGGAAACCTTGTTAAATATTGTCATACTAATAAAATGTAGCATACGTTCTGTCAGAGCTCCCTTTGAGCCTACAGTATTAACATGTCTTCCCAAACCTCGTATTAAAAAAAAAAAAAAAAAAAAAAAAAAAAAAAAATGTTTTGCACTGATGAAGGCATATAGCCGAAACGTTTGCAATTAAATTAAATTACTAAATGTTCGTGTTTGTGTGGCTTGTCTGATTATTTCAAACCTCGTATTAGGAAACCACAGAAAAAGACCAAACAATTCAGATTGGACATTATAAAACGGATGTATTTCATATTATGGCAAGTCTGTGTATGTCACTTTAGAGGTATATTTATGTATTGTCCAGGTCAAGCAATGCCATAAATGACAAATGTTACATAATAACAAACATGACAAATGTTACATAATAACAAACATGGCATGTACATATTTGTATCGAAATAACCAAACTGGGAGGTAAAAACCGCTGAAATAGGGCATTTATTAAATGCCATAAATGACAAATGTTACATAATAAGAAACATAGGGCATTTATTAAATGCCATAAATGACAAATGTTACATAATAACAAACATGACAAATGTTACATAATAACAAACATGGCATGTACATATTTGTATCGAAATAACCAAACTGGGAGGTAAAAATAACAAACATGGCATGTACATATTTGTATCGAAATAACCAAACTGGGAGGTAAAAACCGCCAGATTATGATAACATTGTAATGTAATTCAAATAGATTACAATCTTAACAAAAGTTATGTAAGATGACAAAGTTGAACCAAAAACCATCTACATAAATATAATAAAATGGATTGCTGATCAAAAACAATTGACCAGAAAAAATAAATATTTTCCAAATCGTGGTCGACTCGCCCAGGAAAAACCATAGTTTGGAAACCTGTGCCCTTTTATCTTGTGTCTAGTACCACTTGATGTAGGGCTCCATCCTTGGAAAATATTTTAAACATTCTATACATTAATAAGTGTATTACACATGACTAGATCATAAGTATTTATGACAACAAATAGAAAAATATTTGAAAGAGATAATATAACATCGACTAGTTTTATAAATCTTTGCATGAACAATATACATAATATTATATACATATATATAGTGTATATCATGAATAGTTGCACATAAAATTGAGATAAACAATAAGTGAAACAACTGATTCATTAAGAATAAATGAAATGGTATTTATATCAACATCAAAAATTGAAAGAGGAGGATGGAGTTGGAGGAGGTGGATTTTAGTAAACAGAAAGGCGAGAATTATTCCTCGCCAAAATTATTTCTTTGTGATAGATCTAATGTAATCATTGGTTAATTAACATCACATGATTTAAGTCTTGATATCGATTGGCTAAGACGTACTTGGCTAAAACCTGACCCGTAATGGCTAAAACCTGACCCGTAATATTCTGTACCGTACTGAGAATAGGGACAGAACAATGACATAAATTATTTTATGTGGGCATAAAATCTATTTTATGTATTGTCCAGGTCAAGCAAATATAACTGGCAAGACGAACTTGTTTGGTATGAGATAAAACACAACACTTAGGTTGAATGAAATAGGGCATTTATTAAATGCCATAAATGACAAATGTTACATAATAACAAACATGACAAATGTTACATAATAACAAACATGGCATGTACATATTTGTATCGAAATAACCAAACTGGGAGGTAAAAACCGCCACAAAGGGAACCTTCCGCCACCCAGAGAGACTTGACTAGGGATGAGCTTGACCTGTGATAAGGATTGAAACAGAGGGGCTAAATTTTCCGAAGTTACCATTAATTTAATCAAGTCATGTTAGGACAAAAATGTTACGACAAATCATATATCTAATGACAATATTATAATATGTGTAGAATTAATGTCTAACATTTAAATGGATCCTGACTGGTTCTTTAAATATATGTGGACTGCAGCCTTAAACTGTCAGGCACATTACAGGATATGCTATTGTAAACCAGCAACTGAGTTAATAGACCAAATAATTAGCTGTGAAAATACTTATAACAATTACATTATATATGTATTATTGAGACATCCGACAGTATGCATTATCAGGGCTGTTTCAACGTCTAAACTGGTTGTAACAAATAGAGGTAGCATGAATCAAATTTATAGAAGTTTCAAATTATGTGTAATGGAAAAATTTTACAAGATATACTAGTCACCAATGACAATGAAACTAGAAAAAATTCTTTTTAAATTAGAAATTAGGAATGGACTATTATTGTATCCTTCAATGGTGAACAGCCAAAATTGCATGGCCATGGCTTCCAAGTTGCAGTCATCAAACTTAGCACAGGCCCCTAGCCTGTGAAACTTAGTTCATGAAGTGAAAAATATACAAAAATTTAGTTAAATATATAGTAGTATGAATTCAAAACTGGAATTTGGGCTAGTAGATTGTAAATTAAAATCTTTAATGCATAGACTGGAGTATGTCAACAGTGCGTGGCACCTTAGACATTTAAACATACACATCTCCTATGTAAGGTATGTGACATGTTGAATTTCAGTTAGTATCTTCAATTTGCGTAAGTCCTAGCGGATATGCCAATTCTTTCGAATCATTTATTCCTTAAACCTTTAAAATGCATTAGACCAAAATAGATGTAAATGTCAATTTGTTCGCTATACGTTTTTCCAATTATCAGTTAAGACCTAATGTAGAATTGAAATCAAAATTGTAAAATATCTAATTAAACCTTATTTATGCATTTGATCTAAATACATGTGAGTCTGACGTGTCTAATGTTAATTTGTTCATTATATGATTGTTGCATGAAAAATATAAATTAATGTATTAATTAAGGATAAATAGAAAAAGTTTCTATACAAGACTAGACTCTTCCAAAAAATTATAAAGTAACAAGACCTTTGAACAAGATGTGAATGTAAACATTTCTACAATAATACATAAAAACCTTCAGTACAAATGTACTTATAACATTTACATAAATCCATTCAACTAGTGATATTAATATCATGCAGTAGCATGAACTCAATCTGAAATTATATGTAATGATTAATTATGAAACCTGCAGCCTTGTACTGTCAGATTTATAAAACCTTAATGAAGCCAAATTGCGCATATCTGCCACAAGGTATACATGAATAGGAATACTGTCATACACGATATTATGGCACGAAAGAAATAAACTTCGGCCTTGCACCGTCAGCAAGGAGAAAACTGCAGTACCGTACTGAGAATAGGGACAGAACAATGACATAAATTATTTTATGTGGGCATAAAATCTATTTAATCAACATTACCTGAATAATTTGATTACAAATGAAAATGTTTCTTTAAAGGGAAGTCACCAGGTAATACGGAATGAGGTATCGTATTCAAAGGGAAGTAACTATTTATCTATCTATCCAGCCACAACAAAACACGATCCCTGGTCATACGTACCGTGCACATTTTTCACTATTTACTTTTTTTATTAGACTTATTTTTTGTTATTCTAAAGTCAAACACATCAAATAAAATTTATTCTATTCTATTCGTCAAAGGAAGAATATTAAAGAGTACTCCTTCAAGAATATTAAAGAGTACTCATTTAAAACATATTTTTTGTAACGAATAAAATTCTATTTCATATTTCACCTTGACGGTCAAGATCAATAAAAGGTCAATGTCTTATCAGAATAATATGTCATGATCAAATAACGGTCAGGGTCCAGTTAAATCATCTTTAATATCTTGTGCCAGAAGACAATACATTCGTTATTTACAAAGTTACAGCAAATTATAGCAACAAATATGAAATTACAATAATTTATTGATTTTTTTTTTCATGAAACAAGACAAAATGTGTTTCGTTCAATGCAGTACAAATATTTTGATTTGCATGTCCCCCCCCCAAAAAAATACACAAAAATATCTTTTCCAAGCGCATTTTGGTTGTAAATGTCCAAATAATTTTAGTCAAATATAAAACTGCAAAAAAAATCAATAAAGATCATATATTTATAAGTCACATATATTGTATAGTGTTATTTTCATAATTATGGTTAAGGTTTCCTATTTTTTTAGAAAAACGATATCATCTATTGGTACGTCCACCTCACGTCTCTCCCTTATGTTACACAAATTGCAGACAATTCTTGTCTGTTCTATAAATCATATACCAGTCGAAGGATTTTCTTTAAACTTATCTTTTGCTTCAAACGTTAACCTCAACAAGATGATGTGACTTTAGGTCAAAATTGTAACATTTTATGAACACTGAATTTTTCTTAAGTGACAATAAAACTTAACTCATTTTTTTTTCTTTCAAAAATATTGATAAATTGCACTACACAAGAACTTGTGTCATAGATATCAGGTAAGGGTATTCGGGTCTCCTGTAGCAGCTTTGGTTAAATTTGAAACACATCATATTTCTAGTTTAACTAGAAAATTTCGGAAAAATCATCATTTTCATAAGCCTACCGTTCTAAAACAGTTCGTCCAATTCAAATTCGATTTTGTACAACTTAAGAGGGTCTTCTTTGTACAGAAAAAGGCTTAAAGCCGTAACCCAGGTAATATGTCCAGGAGATCACCTCGTGGCTTAGTCATTTTTTGCACCGCGATTTGTTCATTCTGTATATAAATTTCGGGAAAATAATCATTTTCACGAGCCTACCGTTCAAAAACCATTTGACCAATTCCAATGAAAATTCGAATTTGTACAACTTTGGAGGGTCTTCTGTGAACATTACAAGGCCTGAGGCACAAACCTTAGTAATATGTCTAGGACATTTCCGCGTGGTTTGCTTATTTTTTGGCACCGCGATTTGTTCTTTCTCTATATAAATTTTGGAAAAATCATCATTTCACGAGCCTACCGTTCAAAAACCGTTTGACCAATTCCAATGAAAATTCGATTTTGTACAATTTAAGAGGATCTTCTTTGTACAGAAAAAGGCTTAAAGTAACCCAAGTAATATGTCAAGGAGAATTCCTCGTGGCCTGGCGATTTTTTTTGGAACGCAATTTGTTCATTCTGTATATAAATTTACGAAAAATCATCATTTTCACGAGCCTACCGTTCTAAAACCATTTGACCAATTCCAATGCAAATTCGAATTTGTACAACTTTGGGTCTACTGTGCACATTATAAGGCCTGAGGCACAAACATATGTCCAGGAGATTTCCGCGTGGCTTGATCATTTTTTGCACCGCGATTTGTTCTTTCTCTATATAAATTTCAGAAAAATCATCATTTTCACGAGCCTACCGTTCAAAAACCGTTTGATCAATTCCAATGACAATTCGATTTTGTACGACTTAAGAGGGTATTCTTTGTACAGAAAGAGGCTTTTAATAAGCTCTAACCCAAGTCATATGTCCAGGAGATTTCCGCGTGACTTGGTCATTTTTTGCACTGCGATTTGTTCATTCTGTATATAAATTTCGGAAAAATAATCATTTTCACGAGCCTACCGTTCAAAAACCATTTGACCAATCCCAATGCAAATTCGATTTTGTACAACTTTGGAGGGTCTTCTGTCAACATTATAAGGCCTGAGGCCCAAACCCAAGTTATATGTCCTGGAGCTGTCCGCGTGGCTTGGTTATTTGTTGGCAATGCGATTTGTCCTTTCTCTATATAAATTTCGGAAAAATCATCATTTTCACGAGCCTACCGTTCAAAAACAGTTTGATAAATGCCAATGAAAATTTGATTTTGTACAACTTTGGAGGTTCTTCTTTGTACAAAAAATGCATAAAGCCATAACCCAAGTATTTGTCCAGGAAATTTCCGCGTGACTTGGTCATTTTTTTTTGCACCGCGATTTGTTCATTCTGTATATAAATTGCGGAAAAATAATCATTTTCACGAGCCTACGTTCAAAAACCATTTGACCAATTCCAATTCAAATTCGATTTTGTACAACCTTGGAGGGTTTTCTGTGAACATTATAAGGCCTGAGGCCCAAACCCAAGTAATATGTCCAGGAGATTTCCGCATGGCTTGGTTATTTTTTGGCCTTCCTCTATATAAATTTCGGAAAAATCATCATTTTCACGAGCTTACAGTTCAAAAACTGTTTGATCAATTTCAATTAAATCTCAATTTTGTACAACTTAATAAGAGGGCCTTCTTTGTACAGAAAAAGGCTTAAAGCCCTAACCCAAGTAATATGTCCAGGAGATTTGCGCATGGCTTGGTCATTTTTTTGTACCACGATTTGTTCATTCTGTATATAAATGATGGAAAAATAATCATTTTCACGAGCCTACCATTCAAAAACCGTTTGACTAATTCCAATGAAATTTGATTTTGTACAACTTAAGAGAGTCTTCTTTGTACAGTAAAAGGCTTAAACTAACCCAAGCTATATGTCCAGGAGATTTCCTCGTGGCTTTGTCATTTTTTGCACCGCGATTTGTTCATTCTGTATATAAATTTCGGAAAAATAATCATTTTCACGAGCCTACCGTTCAAAAAACCATTTGACCAATTCTAATGCAAATTCGATTTTGTACACCTTTGGTGGGTCTTCTATGAACATAAGGCCTGATGCCCAAACCCAAGTAATATGTCCAGGAGATTTCCGCGTGGCTTGGTTATTTTTTGGCACCGCCAATGAAAATTCGATTTTGTAATGTGTCCAGGAGTTTTCCGTATGGCTTGGTCTTTTTTTTTTGCACCGCGATTTGTTTTTTCTCTATAAGAATACGGAAAATCATATTCACGAGCCTACCGTTCTAAAACCATTTGACAAATTCCAATGCAAATTCGATTTTGTACAACTTTGGAGGGTCTTCTGTGAACATTATGAGGCCTGAGGCCCAAACCCAAGTAATATGTCCGGGAGATTTCCGTGTGGCTTGGTTATTTTTTGGCACCGCGATTTGTTCTTTCTCTATATAAATTTCGGAAAAATCATCATTTTCACGAGCCTACCGTTCAAAATCCATTTGACCAATTCCAATGAAAATTCGATTTTGTACAAATTAAGAGGGTCTTCTTTGTACAGAAAAAGCATTAAAGCCCTAACCCAAGTAATATGTCGTGGAGATTTCCGCGTGGCTTGGTCATTTTTGGCACGGCGATTTGTTTTTTCTCTATAATAAATATGGGAAAAAATCATTTTCAGGAGCCTACCGCTCAAAAACCATTTGATCAATTCCGTTGCATATTTGATTTTGTACAACTATGGCGGGTTTACATGCTTAAAGTTTTAAAGCCTTAACCCAAAGAACGTGTCAAGGAGATTTCTGCATGGTTTGGTCATTTTTGCACCGGCAATTTGTTCTTTCTCTATGTAAATTGCGGGAAAAACATCATGTTCACGAGCCTACCATTCAATATCCATTTGATCAATTCCGTTGCATATTTGATTTTGTACAACTATAGTATGGACGGTCTACTTTACATGTTTTAAGTTTTAAAGCCCTAACCCAAGTAATGTGTCCGTGACTTGGTCATTTTTTTGCACTGCGATTTGTTCATTCTGTATATAAATTTCGGAAAAATAATTATTTTCACGTGCCTACCGTTCAAAAACAATTTGACCAAATCCAATGCAAATTCGATTTTGTACAACTTTGGAGGGTCTTCTGTGAACATTATAAGGTAAGAGGCCCAAACCCAAGTTATATGTCCAAGGAGATTTCCGCGTGGCTTGGTTATTTTTTGGCAACGCAATTTGTTCTTTCTGTATATAAATTTCGGAAAAATCATCATTTTCACGAGCCTACCGTATAAAAACCGTTTGGCCAATTCCAATGAAAATTCGATTTTGTACAACTTAAGAGGGTCCTCTTTGTACAGAAAAAGGCTTAAAGCCCTAACCCAAGTAATATGTCCAGGAGATTTCCGCGTGGCTTGATCATTTTTTGCACCGCGATTTGTTCATTCTGAATATAAATTTCGGAAAAAATAATCATTTTCACGAGCCTGCCGTTCCAAAATCATTTGACCAATTCCAATGTAAATTCGATTTTGTACAACTTTGGAGGGTCTTCTGTGAACATTATAAGGCCTGAGGCCCAAACCCAAGTAATATGTCCGGGCCTGGCTTGGTTATTTTTTGGCACCGCGATTTGTTCTTTCTCTATGTGTTTGTATAATAATTATTGATAAAACTAATCCACATGTTGATTGAAGTTTCTGATTTTCATAAACTATATTTCTCATAATTATTGATTATAAAACAAACTTCACACAATTCTAAACGCTGTGTCAAGCAGAAGAGCACCATCTTTTACTAGGTCAAAGGCAAAAACTCTACAAATACCGCTAAATCCACAAGCAAACCTTCAAGTGAATTACTACACTTTGCCACATGCTGATCAACATTCCTGTAAAGTTCCATAACCCAGGACAGACTAACAACACCATTTCAAGATAAGTTCTTCTTTAGTAGACTGGCCTGGCTTCAATTTTTGAGACTATCTATTATCATTATTTTTGAAGATCAAGTTGAAAATTAAGTTAGCCAACAGTATAGAGCCTGGCCAGACTGCAAAATATGCAGGCTAAACTAGCTATATACTGGTGACAAAAGCTAACCATTTTTGGTTTCAGCCGAGTACAGTTGTTTTTAGTATCACAAGTGAACATTTAATTAGTACTTTTTTCATTTGAAGAATCAATGCCAGCAGTTTTCAAAAAGAGCACAAAAGGAATTAAAATTTATACTTTTTTTATCTTTTATAATGAGACATAAAAAATAAACAACATTCATCAGTATTTTGTAATAATTTCAACATATCTTTTATGCAATCATTCCAAACATTGATCAACTATAAAATAACTTTCTAACTAGGAAAATTATTTCTCTTTTCTTCTCTTCATGCGAGGTTCAGCACAAATACTGCCATCATTTTCAACAATAGGATTGCCATCAGACAGATCATCCTGTAAACTATGAACTAAAATCTCTGGATATTCCGAGTCTTTCATCAAATTTTCATTTTTAACACTTGCCATTTCACCTGTCTCTTTCGTATTTTCAGAAGAAGAATTTGCATTTAAAACACTTAGATCAGTCTGTATTTCCCCTGAATTAACATCATTTTCATCAGCAGGAGAGTTAAAATCTAACGCCACTGAAACTTGTGAAGGGTTATCGCCACTTGCCTGAAATGTCTGTAAATTAACTGTCTGACCTAACTGTGCACCTAAAGAACTTGCATTTAAAACAAGCATTTTTGGATGGACTGAGGTTTGAACAAGGGAATGTTTAAGTTGTGTAATTTGTTGACGTATGAGCTGTTTATGTTGTGTTTCCAGTTGGTTACAAAGATCTTGTATCATCGTGTCTTGTGGTACAGCAATGCCTTGTTGTAACTGCTGCATTTGCTCTAATAAACCTTGCTCTCTTAATTTATATGCTGCTATTTGCTCAGCCTGCTCCTCAATCTGAAACAAAATATGAAATAAAGAAAACAATTAAGATCATTTTTTTCTTCATAACTGAAAACAAGGGAATAAATCATGAAATAAAGACCTTCATTAAGTTTATATATATAGTATTTCACACACAACCACTTAGATAGTGACCCCCTTTTACACTTGAAAAAAAAGTTTGTGAAGTTCCAACTCATTCCTTTCAGCAGTTTTGGAGGTACCAACGGTCAAGATCTTTCAGGTCAAAAACACATTTGAATAAATTCTAAGTGTTCTTTTGTGCAAGAATTAATCAAATCAATAAGTAAATAACAAATTTATGACAATTTAAGCAAATACAATATTTTGACCATGCCATTCTTCGAAAAAAGTCAGCTAAAACACACAATATTTACTGATATTTCACAATTGTCTAATTCTAGTTATTGTAAAACGGAAATGTGTCCATAGGACACGGGTGCCCCCACACAACACTGTTTTGTCAATCTTATGACTTTAGGTCAAATATTTTTTGGGCTACATGTGCCACAAGTTGAAAACTAAAAATCTTTTACTAAGTCAAGGGCAAGAACTTTACAAATACTGAATAAATCCACAAGCAAACCCCAAGGTGCATAAGTACATGGCTGACCAACATTCTTGTAAACTTTCAGACCTACAGGTCAAATATTTTTTGAGTTAAGCATGAATAAGTTGAAAATTGCAAATTTATACTAAGTCAAGGGCAATTACTCTAACAAAACTGAAAAAAATCCACATGCAAAACCCCAGGTGCATAGCTTCACAGTGATGTTGATCATTATTCCTGTAAAGTTGGTTGATTCTAACTCAAGCACTCGAGGAACAAATAACACAACATAATGGAACAGTTTTCACTAAGTCAAGGGCAATAAATCTGGCAAAACAGAATAAATCCACAAGAGAAACACCAGGTGCACAACTTCACATGTCTAGCATTAATCCTGTAAAGTTTCATGACACTAGATCAAATACTTTTTGAGTTATGTGCAACACAAGTTGAAAATTGTTAATTTTTACGAAGTCAAGGGCAATAACTCTAAAATTACTAAACATATCCACATGAAAATACCCAGGTGCACAACTACACATGCTGATCAAACACTGCCTTCTTAGTCGGTTAAGAACAATAAACATACTTTTTTACTAAGTAGAGCTATATGAGCTGTTTGTTCAGCTTTCTCCTTCTCCAACTGTGCTATTTTCTCTCTCAGCTGTTGTACAGTATCTTCATTTGTGTCTTCTATATTATCTGACACAGTGAGATCAGGGTCAGAGTCCTTGATGAATAAATAAAATATAAACATTATAACATTTAAGATGTTTTCCATTGTAAGAGTGAAACAGCTTGCATGAAGAATACATTGAATCATTATTAAAATTTGTTAGCTCTGTCATAATCATGAAGAAAAGATTACTTTTATAGTTAAAATGCAAGAAAATATTGTGCGAAACTTTCAAAGCAATGCCCATGGGTTGTCAAGTAATTGGTTGGAAACCATTTTAATACAATATAAAAAGTGACCTTGACATTTGACACCTTTACCCCCAAATCAATATAGGATCATCTTCTGTCATGACAAATCTCCATACCAAGGTTAAAGTTCCTAGGCCCAGGCGTCTAGAGACCAACCGACTGACATGTGCATAGAAATTTACGACCCCACCTCCCCAATTTCTTCCAAGGGAGGCCTTATAGTATTATTACCTGTGTTGTGCACAACTCTTGCATTGTTGAGATATTTCCCTGTCCATCATCCTGTATTATCATGATAGTTTGGGTCTCAGCAACACCGACAGTCTCTACAGCTCCCACCCCTGGCATTGTAACCATTCCCTCTAAACCTCTAGGCAAAATAGACATACCACTAGTCTGAGCTGGAATAGTCACAAACAAATCTTAAAATCACTTCCTTGTTTCCTTCTTCACTGTCTTTATTCAGCATGCTAAAAATATTTTCTTATTTAACACTAAAGAACAAATTGTTTAGTTTTACAACAATATTAAAATGTAACAATGCATCTGTAAGTCGAACACGATAACAATTACATTAAGTGGAAAATTACTGATTGCAAAAATAATGATTGGGTGGCAAATTACATTTAATGTAGAAGTATTGATAAAGTGGCAAATTATAATTAATGTAGAAATAATGATGAAATTGCATATTATTAAATGTACAAGAGGGCCATGATGGCCCTGAAGTCGCTCACCTGTATATAGGCCCCCAGAGCGGGGCCAGTTTAAACCCCAGGGCTTTTATTTGAACAAACTTGGTAGACACCCATTAGAAGATATTTCACGCTAAACATCTAAGGTCTAGCTCGTTGAGCTTTTAAAAAAAAGATTTTTTAAGTTTTAACTACACATATAGTTAAAAGCAATGACACCCCTAGGGAGGGGCCAGTTTTGACCCCAGGGCTTTTATTTGAACAAACTTTGGAGACACTCACTAGAAGATGTTTCGTGCTTGATATCTAAACTCTAGCTATTCGTTTTTTTTTTAAAGAAGATTTTTAAGTTTTTGCTTTACACATAAAAGGAAAATCAATGTCCCCCGGGGCGTGGCCAATTTTGACCCTAGGGCTTTCTTTGAACAAACTTTGAAGACACTAACTGGAAGATGTTTCATGCTAAATATCTTAACTCTAGCTATTTGGGTTTTTTCAAACAAGATTTTATAAGTTTTTGCTTTACACATAAATAAAATCAATGACCCCCGGGGCAGGGCCAATTTTGACCCAAGGGCTTTTATTTGAAAAAACTTTGTAGACACTCACTAGAAGATGTTTCATGCTTAGTATCTAAACTCTATTTGGCTTTTTCAAAGAATTTTTAATTTTAAAGTTTTTACTATATGCATATAGGGAAAATCAATGAACCCCGGGGCAGGGCCAATTTTGACCCTAGGGCTTTTATTTGAACAAACTTGGTAGACACCCATTAGAACATGTTTCATGCTAAATATCTTAGCTCTAGCTCTTTGGGTTCTTTAAAAGAAGATTTTTAAGTTTTTACTATATGCATATAGGGAAAATCAATGACCCCCTTGGGCAGGGCCAATTTTGACCCCAGGGCTTTTATTTGAACAAACTTGATAGACACTCATTAGAAGATGTTTCATGCTAAATATCTTAGCTCTAGCTCTTTGGGTTCTTTAAAAGAAGATTTTATAAGTTTTTGCTCTATGCATATAGGGAAAACCAATGACCCCTTGGGGTGGGGCCAATTTTGACCCCAGGGCTTTTATTTGAACAAACTTGGTAGACACCCATTATGTTTCATGCTAAATATCTTAGCTCTAGCTCTTTGGGTTCTTTAAAAGAAAATTTTTAAGTTTTTACTAAATGCATATAGGGAAAATCAATGACCCCCAGGGCGGGGCCAATTTTGACCCCAGGGCTTTTATTTGAACAAACTTGATAGACACTCACTAGAAGATGTTTCATGCCAAATATCTAAGCTCTACCTCTTTGGGTTTTTTAAAAGAAGATATTTTAAGTTTTTTCTTTCGGTTGCCATGGCAACCAGAGTTCTGCATGGAATTAAATTCTTTGAACAATTTTTAAAGGTGACCACCAAAGGAACATTCCTGTGAAGTTTGGATGAAATTGGCTCAGCGGTTTATGAGGAGATGTTATTTAAAGAAAAAGTTTACGGACGGACGACGGAAGGACGGACGACAAGCGATCACAAAAGCTCACCCTGTCACTTTGCGACAGGTGAGCTAAAAAATATAAACATTTTTTGTAGAGTATATACTTGGGATGGCCTCTGTAAGACTAGCATGTACAGAGAAACTGTCTGTAGGAATACAAGAAGCTGCCTCTTCTGTTTCAAATGCTTGTGTCACTGGTTGGTTTATATCCTGTAGTCAATAAAACACGTTCTCATAAATCCATTTGTTTTAAATCTTTTTTATTGGAAAAAATTATTCACTGAGTGATAATCGTTTCCAGGATGATAGATAGAATTAACAGCATGTGAAGTCACATAAGGCTATATAGTAAAAAATTTACATGAGGTTTAATACAAATGTATATAATATTCTTCTTTGTATACTCTTGACATTTGGAAGGGTGCTGGCCCTGGACATAAATTACATTTTCAGAATATTTACTGGTACATGAACAAAGACATAGTATGTTTTACCTGTGCAATTTGAATCTGAAATGTTGTTTGTGGATTTCTAAAATGTGTCTTATAATGTTTGATAGCCTCATCTCTCCTGTTAAATCCATTCCGGCATTTGTAACAATGCCAGTGAGCTCCCTTGAATTTTTTCTCTCCCTTGATAACACCAACAATGTCACATCTATCACAACAGCGTAAAACTTTTAACCCTGTACAATTTATACAAATAACATTTGACATTCCTTATTTACATATAATTTATACAAATAACATTTGACATTCCTTATTTATATATAATTTATACAAATAACATTTGACATTCCTTATTTACATATAATTTATACAAATAACATTAGACATTCCTTATTTACATATTTCAAAATTTATAAAGTAAAAGAGGTCCATACATTCAAGAAATCAACAAAAGAATTTCATTTAAGTTGTAATGCATAAAAAAGATGTACAAAAATTTGAAAAACCAGCGAATGATGATGGCTCTGGATCACTCACTATTGATTCAGGCAAGGAAAGGGTAGTCAGTAATGAAGTCAAATTAGTTTTTTTCATTTTTTTTCATTTTATTTATCTAGGCTGCATACTTTAAAGCTGCATGCCTCCAGATGAGCCGAAATATCTCAAGAAAATTAAATTTGAGAAAAATGTGCTAAAATTTTAAGAAAAGTAAAATGTTTAAAGATTCAAGTAATGATTTACATGTTATAAGCGATTAAGGGCTGATTTTGCAGTATTTATCACCATATTTCTACTGCGTTACTAACGCAGTCAGGGCTAATTTTGCTTATTTTGGCCACTTTGTCCACTTCACAATATTTTACTTTTAAATACATTTTTTTTTAATTATTGAAAATTAGCGTGAATCTGGAGGCATGCTGCTTTAAAAAACAAGAGGGCCAAGATGGCCATAGATCGCTCACCTGACCCATAAAACTCATCTGAGCAATTACCTAGACAAGCATCCTGACCAAGTTTCATGACAGGTGAGTCAAAAATGTGACCACGAGAGTGTTAACAAGGATTTTACATATTTGAGCAGTGTGACCTAGTTTTTGACCCCAGGTGACCCATATTCAAACTTGGCCTAGAAATCATCAAAACAAACTTTAAGACCAATTTCCAGGATAGTTGGATCAAAACAGTAGCCACAAGAGTGTTAACAAGATTTTTCTTTTGTTAGCTCCTGTGACCTAGTTTTTCATTAGAGATAACCCATGTTCGAACTCATCCGAGCAATTACCTAGACACAAGGGGGCATAATTTATATACTAGTAGCTTTTGTACAAGTCTACATGACAGTGCTACAAGCCAAATATCTAAGCTGTGAGCATTGCAGTTTCATAAAAGAAAACTTATTTTGATTTTACTTATAAGCCTATATAAACTAAAACACCCTAATTTTTATAACTTTAGTAGAGGACCACAAGGTGATACTACATGCCAAGAATGAAAGCTCTGGGCATTTTAGTTTCTAAGGAGGAGATATTTAAGGAAGTTAGCTCCAGTGACCTAATTACACATCAGACTGGAACCATTTAAACTTTTGTAGAGAAGCACCTTAAGATCAATCCTGTAAAGTTTGGTGAAAATCAATCAAGTGATTTAGGAGATGTTGTTTCAAGAAATAGTGGACAATGATGGTCAAGGGATTAGGGATTAAACGATGATTGAGTATAATTGAAAATTGATCGTTTAAAGGACCGATCGGCGATGATCGATAACAAGGTTTAATAATCGATCATCGGTAATTTATTTTTTTGCTGTTACTTAAGTGACTCACTGTATTATAACAACACTCTAAATTAAAGCCAGTTTTGGTTGAAACAATAATTTGCATTCAATTGAATATGAAAGCATACTGGTGACCATGGTGTTAATAGTTGACAGTGAGGGATAAACTATGCTCAAATTTGACATTAGAAAATATTTAGAATTGCTACACAGTCTATTTGTAAATATAAAATAAACATGTTTTGACTTCACACAAAGAAGATATGTTATGTATAAAATTATTTTACACACTAAAGGTAGTTACAATATCAATATATAGTGTCATTAAAAAAAACCTGACAGTTTTGAAAGAACCAACTTAACTTGGTCCCATGCATAGTTTATTCATTCCTTTATTGAAATTGAGACAGAATAATTTTATAGATTTTAATGAATTTATTTGATTAAAATATTTTACTCAAGGATGAGCATAGTATATCTGTAAACTAGTTTATTTCAGTTGATAAAGTTGTAGTAACACAAAATATAGAATATTAATGGAATTCTAATAAATAGTAAAGCATGATATGTACATTGTACATATTAACTTTGTTATTGTAAATATTTCGATTATATAATCGATGATTGATCGAAAAGGGTTGTTCGATTATTATCGATGATCCATTATGATTTTTGTCCGATTAGGAAACCCTACAAGGGATACACTGTCATCATAAAAGCTCACCTCTGACCATTTTGTGCTCAGGTGTGGTTCAAAGTATAAAATTGCTATCACAATTTTCCACAAGTTTGACATGTGAAACGAATTACAGCCTTTCTTATCCTACAGAATGATACAGCATGCTATAAATTATATTAACCTGCAAACTCTATGCCTTTGTCAACATGTTTCACTCTATAGTGAGCCTTTAAGATTACAGGATCTACATATGATTCTGTTTTCACACAGAAAGGACAGTGCATGTGGGGAGACTTGTCAGCACAAAGCGGGTCAAAACACTGGACAGGGATGTAGTTTGTCTCTGTTCCTTTGATCCTCACACTTGGATGTGTCTGAAAACAAGACATGTTCATGTTAAGGTTGTATAATTAATGTACTCAACTGATCCATTAATCAGAGTTCATAATTCAATATTTATTGTATATTTAAACATCATGAACTTTATCAACATGATAATTATACAAATAGTGATTGTATTTCAGCTGAGGATGACTAATGAATGTTACTGTAAATTTTGCAAATATGTAATTTAGATACAAACTATGTTTTAAATAACACAAATTAGCAGGCCAGTGTTAATACATACATATTTAAACGGTATTTTTTTCATATACATATGTAAAAATTGTTTGAAAACCAGTTTTATCCGGCAGCACGAAATATCCAAATATACCCAAATACACCCAAATATAGAAATATCTATTTTTGTTTGTATAAAATATAGATTAGAATGAGAAATAAACAAGCAATTATCATAGTATTGCAAGCAATCCATAAGTCCCCTACTGGTTAGAACCCCAGCAACTTTCTGATGGGCCATTGGCCATTCAATTTAACCAGTGAATGAATGACATGAATGAACTTAAATCTTTTGAGTTCTATGTTTGTCTATATCACAGTAATGTGTTAAGTTTCCCTGCCTAGTAAGGAAATTATGTTTATACAACCTTGTCATATTATTACGATGTGGGATTTTAAAGTAAATCCTATATGGAATGAAGAAGTTGGAGTGAAAAATACCAATTTCTCGAAAAAAATCTAAGTTCAAGGGGGACATAATTCTGGAAATAGTCTTGCTAGAGTATTTAACCTTCTCAAAAATGTTGAGTGATAATAAGAAACATATATATGAAGTTTGAAGTAGATACATTAGGAAATAAAGAAGTTATTTAAAAAAGACAACATTTTTTTCATAAAAATTCTAAGTTCAAGGGAGGTAATACTGATAATTTTTGAGCTAGAGTTGTAAACCTTGTCACATATGATGTGGTTGATGACCAGAAACTTATATTTTAAGTTCGAAGTAAACACCTTAAAAAATAAAGAACTTATAGTGAAAAAGCTGAAAAATTTAAATCAGAAATCTTAAAATTCAGGCTATTTGTTGCCATAGCAACCAGAATTTTCAACATAGGAAGAAAAAAAAAGACGTGCATAATCTCCATACTGCCATCTATCCATATATCAAGTTTCATAAAAATATTTTCAGTACTTTTTGCGTTATCGCGGGATCCAGTTTATGTGTTCAATCTGCCATATTTTCAGGCTATTTGTTGCCATAGCAACCAGAATTTTCAACATAGGAAGAAAAGATGTGCATAATCTCCATACTGCCATCTATCCATATATCAAGTTTCATTAAAATATTTTCAGTACTTTTTGCGATATCGCGGGATCCAGTTTTGTGGACGGACGGACGGACGGAGGGTAAACCTAAAGTCCCCTCCGGTTAAACCGGTAGGGGACTAATAAATATTTATAAAATAATATGACTTAGCCTGCTATAACTTTCATTCATTCCGTTGAAATGGGCAGTTAAGATGTTGTAAGAAAATAAAGTTGTGACATTTGCTACTATAGGTTCTCTATGAATATAATCAAGATATGATATTTGTTGTATACACTTACATTTTTAAGGTGTAATTTTGTTGAAATTTCATATCATATACAAGTGTCCATGTTATTTTTTTTTTAAATTAATAGCTTTAATAGAGTCAGGGCTTGAGCTAGGTCAAAATTTTAGGGAGAAGTGACTTCTCCCTCCAGCTGATTTAGGGAGAAGTGAGGAGACTTTAGGGAGAAGTTGGGAGACATATTAGGCGTCATCTGGAGAATTATAAGCTAGGAAACTTTACAAACCAGAAAAGAAATAAACACCTCACAAATAAAACAATTCTACTATAAATCTACTTTTTATAAATGTATACCAATAGCAAACACAATATTTACATATACTGTATACATGTAGAAATAGTGAGTAAGTTTAGTTGAATATTCAGGGCAGATAGAGCAGTGCCACTTGCCATATTGTCAATGAGTCAGACTGGACATCGACTATAATTTTCATTTAGCAATTTGCCCACAAGCCAGAATGTTAATGAAATTTAATTTTGTATAATCAGCGTGTTTACTTTACAGAGTTCAATGTATTAAAAAAATATTAGATACAAAACTTCACATATTTTCTACAGATTAGTGCTCCGAAAGTTTTTAACAATAGAGTTTTCGAACATAACCACACCTTTTAAATTGTTTATCTTTACCCGCCAAAACACCGCAACAATTATCAACAATTATCATTTATGTATATGCAGGTGTCTTTAATCATGCAATCGGCGAAAAATTGATTTGAATCTGTCGCCATTTTGTGTAATTGTCAACAAACAGCCGCTGTATGTTAATATGTCACCGATTGGTCAATGCAAACTGCCGTAGATACAACGAGCATTCTGATTCATAAATCGCATGAATACATAATTAGAAAGATATACATAGTGAACTCTTCCCTTGCAGCGTGTATTAGATTTTGTTGATGTTGACATGCGTTCTTAACTACGGATTAACGGTAATTGGATGTAATTGAGAGGTAAACAAATTTTTAACAGACCTAGCGTCGTAAATAGGTATGACAGATCATTAAAATATCGGGCTACTTCAAAATCGCTTTGAGTACATCTACTGTATTTTGGTTCAAAACACAATAATAGGAAAATGTATACATGTTTGTATTTGGGTATGTTTGATTATATCTTAGTGAAAGTGTATATTGTATTCATGATTAAAACAGCACTTGTTTAGTATAAAACAGCACTTTTTTAATATAGTTGAACCCCATTGTATCGTGCTATTCATTGTATCGATCTATTTACAAATCTTTCGATTTTTTTGCAAAATGCACTAACAACTGATTGTTTACATTTCAACAGTGTCACGAAAATCTTTCGCATTTGTTTTGTGCAGTAACAATGATCAAAGACATTGTTTCCAGTACCGTCAGACTTTGTAGATAATAAAAAGACTTATAACAAGCAAATTCGTTGAATTTATATCCCCCGCCGAGTACTGGTTATTACTAACACAACAACTGAAGACATAAGGCTTTATTTATATATTTATCATGGCATAAACAGTAATATTCTTTGAACTTGATAAATATTCAGGGCAATAACAGAGCCATAACTCTGTGTTAAATAGTAATATCTGGAAATGCCAGATGTATGCATACTGCATAACTAATCAAGGGCCATAAATCTGAGTTATATGTGTCTGACCGGAACAAGGCGACTATATGCACATCTCCTCTTCGTATCCCATAAAGTTTCATTGAATTCCAGCCAGTAGTTACAGAGAAGTAGCACAGAAACGATTATTGCTCTGGTTGTATACTGCATAAGTTATCAAGGGCCATAACTCAAAGTTAAAATGTCTGACCCGAACAAGGCAACGATATGCGCATCTCCTCTTGGTATTGAAGGTTCCCATAAAGTTTTGTTGAATTCCAGCCAGTAGTTGCAGAGTAGTAGGGCGGAAATTATTTTTGCTCTATATGCATACTGCATAATTAATCAAGGGCCATAACTCTGAGTTAAAGTGTCTGACCCTAACAAGGCGAGAATATGCGCATCTCCTCTTGGTATTAAAGGTTCCCATAAAGTTTCGTTGAATTCCAGCCAGTAGTTGCAGAGAAGTAGCGCGGAAACGATTTTTACTCTATATGCATACTGCATAACTAATCAAGGGCCATAACTCTGAGTTAAAGTGTCTGACCGGAACAAGGCGACGATATGCGCATCTCCCCTTGGTATTGAAGGTTCCCATAAAGTTTCATTGAATTCCAGCCAGTAGTTGCAGAGAAGTAGCGCGGAAACGATTTTTACTCTATATGCATACTGCATAACTAATCAAGGGCCATAACTCTGAGTTAAAGTGTCGGACCGGAACAATGCTGACATTTTAAAACAGACATGTTTGATTCTAATTGACTGAAAAATCTAGCATAAAGATGGGTCAGGCTTCCCAATCTTTGACTAACTGAGCGATTCTCACAATGCATTGATATCATGGCGTGACCTAATTCTTCAATCTGTTTGACATGTCTGTAAATATCCTTTTATTCCAAAGCTAAAAACTATATATCAGTGATGTTTGCCATGTAAACATTATGACAAAAGAATCAAAATAAATAATACAAAATAAAGATTCAGGGAGATTTAAATTTTTTTAATTGTGATTAATGGGTAAATAGATCGATACTACGGGGTTCCAGGCTATAACTGGGCAATATTTGGGTATATTTATGCAATATTTGGGTATATTTGGGTTTTTCGTGCTGCCCGTTTTATCGTTGTAACAGATGTGGCATTTGTGTTTAAATATTAAAATAGTTTTGATTGAGTGTTTACAGGCCACAGGGGCTATCAATTTGGGGGAGGGGGCAGAATCTGACGCCCAAGCGTCTGTGGTATTATGTGCTATGTAAAATGCATTTGCATTATGGAAAACAAATTATTATTTACAAATAGTATATTATTATTAGTAGAGTTGGCCCAAGACGAATTAGTATTGGGCCGAAATGACTGGGGTGGGGCGAAAGGGGGCCGAGTAAGTTAGTTTCAGGGCCGAGTTGACTCGGATTGGATGTTTCTACTCGTTTATGCTTCATATATTCAGCTACACTTACCGCAAAAGTATTGTTCATATTTATAGTATCTAGTAGTTACTCTGATATCAAAAGCAAAACATTTATGGTCTTCGCTCAGTTTAAAAGATTACTTATTTGTGAAAACGTCATCGGTTTCGTCAAAATTGTCGAAATATGCGCAGGTCAAGGTCGCTTGAATACTGTGTAAATTCCGTCCTCCCTCTATACACGGTCAAACGGTATACATAGTTTTAAATAGCACAGACACAATGTCATGGTAAATTAATATAGGAATGTGAGAAATTACTTAAGATTCGGGATAAAAATATTTTCTAAATTGAATAAACTTTGATAGAAATGCAAGGAAGACATATTGATTCTGGTTGTTGAGTCCTAAATTTAGCTCAGCAG